TCCCCTGGCAATGACCTTCATAGTGTTTTCTCTGTACTTGTCTGCGGCGAGTATTATCTTCCTTGAACACTGTGCGACATCTCTACTCATGGGGGATAATTTTGCATTTCTTCAGACATTTGAAACAATTTTTGTTAATGGTGCAATGGGTTTGTGAGATTACAAAATATTGGTATTTTAACATTCCTGCAAAACTGAATCGAGAAGGCGGTTAACACCAATACCATCAATAATTTAAAAAGGTCATATCACAAAGATTATAGGGAAGAAGGGACACCACGAGTCCTAATTATGAGGCCCTTACATTCACTCACGCGCGCACGCTCGCACGCGCCCATATACAAACATTTGTGTGTACTTACCTAGTTGTGCTTGTGGGGGTTGAGCTTTGGCTCTTTGGTCCTGCCTCTCAGCCGTCAATCAACTGGTGTACAGATTCCTGAGCCTACTAGGCTCCATATCATATCTACATTTGAAATTGTGTATGGAGTAAGCCTCCACCACATCACTTCCTAGTGCATTCCATTTATTAACTACTCTGAAAAAATTCTTTCTAAAAAATTCTTTCTAACGTCTCTGTGGCTCATCTGGGTACTAAGTTTCCACCTGTGTCTCCTTGTTCGTGTCCCACCCGTGCTGAAGAGTTTGTCTTTGTCTACCCTGTCAATTCCCCTGAGAATTTTGTAGGTGGTTATCATGTCTCCCCTTACTCTTCTGTTTTCCAGGGATGTGAGGTTCAGCTCCCTTAGCCTTTCCTCGTAGCTCATTCCTCTCAGTTCCGGGACGAGCCTGGTGGCATACAACTGAATCTTCTCTAACTTTGTCTTGTGCTTAACTAGGTATGGACTCCAGGCTGGAGCTGCATACTCCAGGATTGGTCTTATATAAGTGGTATACAGGGTTCTGAAAGATTCCTTACACAAGTTTCTAAAGGCAGTTCTTATGTTAGCCAATCTAGCATATGCCGCTGATGGTATTCTTTTGATGTGGGCCTCTGGGGACAGGTTCGGTGTGATATCAACCCCCAAATCTTTCTCTCTATTTGACTCTTGCAGGATTTCACCTCCCAGATGATACCTTGTGTTCAGACTCCTGCTCCCTTCGCCTAATTTCACCGCCTTACACTTTCCTGAGTTGAACTTTAGCAACCATTTTCTAGACCATTCCTCCAGTTTATCCAGGTCATCCTGTAGTCTCTGTCTATCTTCATCCGTCTTGATTCTTCTCATAATTTTTGCATCATCAGCAAACATTGAGAGGAATGAGCCTATACCCTTAGGAAGATCGTTTACATATATTAGAAACAGGATGGGTCCAAGTACTGAGCCCTGTGGGACTCCGCTGGTGACATCTCGCCACTGATGTCTCCCCCCTCACCGTTACTCGCTGTTTCCTGTTGCTTAAGTACTCCCTTATCCACTGGAGCACCTTCCCTTTTACTCCTGCCTGTTGCTCCAACTTTTTTAACAGCCTTTTATGGGCTTTTATTTTACTTTTATGTGTGTGTGTGGGGGGGGGGGGTAAATTAGTTAGTAGTTAGTAACAGTTGATTGACAGTTGAGAGGCGGGCCGAAAGAGCAAAGGTCAACCCCCGCAAATACAACTAGGTGAATACACATATTTAGTTTGTATGATAGCCACAAAGATAATACAGGAAAGAGATGATTGGGTTGACTGTGTCTATCTGAACCTAAAAAAGGATTTTGACAGAGTCCCACACAAGAGACTGTTCTGGAAACTGGAACATGCAGGAGGAGTGACAGGGAGACTTCTGACATGGATGAAAAACTTTCTAACTGACAGACAGATGAGGGCAGTAATCAGAGACAATGTATCTGACTGGAAGAGTGTTACTAGCGGAGTACCACAGAGTTCAGTTCTTTCACTATTATGTTCATCGTCTACATAAACGATCTACCAGAAGGAATACTGAATTATTTGAACATGTTTGTGGATGAGGCTAAGATATTGGGGAAGATAGGAGATGCAGACGATTGTAATGCTCTTCAAATTGATCTAGATAAAATAAGTGCTTGGAGCGTAAAGTGGCAAATGTAATTCAATGTGGATAAATTCCTTGTTATGGAATGTGGATTCGGAGAAAATAGACCACACACAACTTACAAATTATGTGGAATGGAATTACAGAACTCTAATTAAGAACGAGACCTAGGGGGTGGTTTTGGATAGTAAGTTGTCGCCAGAGGAACATAAAGAACATTGTGAGAGGAGGGTATGCATCACTTTCCAACTTTAGACTTGCTTTTAATTATATGGATGGTGAAATACTAAAGAAACTGTCCATGAATTTTGTGAGAATAAAACTGGAATATGCAGCAGTTGTATGGTGCCCAAATCTCAAGAAGCACATAAAGGAACTGAAAAAGGAGCAGCAGCATGCTACAAAATGGCTTGCGGAACTGAAAAAGAAGAGTTACGAGGAGAGACTACAGCCATTAAACATGCCTGAACTAGAAGATAGAAGTAAAAGAGGTAATATGATCACCACATACACTTGATGGCACTGGCGGTGAGTATAAGGTGGTGACGGGTGGTGACGTCACGTAGTACAGTGAGGAAGGGCTTGTGGCGGCTTGAGGTGGCTACACGCTCTGGACTGAGTAGCGGCTGGCGGCGGCTGATTATATGATACCATGCAGGTACACTGTGGCAAAAGTCACACACAGATTACTTAGGCGGCGGTACTTCCTTAAATCACTAGGTCACTCACAGACGATCACGATTTGTTACCGGGGATTACCTGATACCAGTCTGTTTCACTCTGGTGAGTCACTCTAGAAGGCTTCTAGACAATATAGTCACAGTCGCGATTCCGGGCGAGCGTTGGTATATGAGGATGAGGAATGGATGGTGTTCTGTCTATTGGCCAAATAGACAGAAAGACACGACCCACAATGTACGGACTGCCTCACGTGAATACCCTTGCAAGGGCTTGCAGGGCTCCTCGTGGGGCACAAACACTAGGTCTACAATTGACAAATGGCGTTGCAGCAAAGGAGCGGGAACCAATAATACTGATCGTTACATGTTTGGTAGAAGAGTGACGTCACGAATACGTCACGAATACGTCACTTGTTATTGAGATTGACCCCAGAGGTCAGAGCTTATCTCTCGCCTCGCTGGCGTCCCCTCTACCACGCCTTGCACCTTCCCCTGTGTACTCACTGACCCTGTGGCAAGTGTGCTTAATTTCCCTGTATCTAATTTACCCTTGGGCATACGGCGTCTCCGTATTATATAAGTATTCCTGGTTATGTGGGCATCCTGGGGACATCCCACATGACAGATTACATCCAGGGTTAAAAGAGCTACTGTGCACTGCGAGGAGCCATTCAAGTCAGCTGTGGAAGGATCTTGAGAGACCATACTCTCACATATAGTGGGGGAGGGTAGGAGCGGACAAAGGGGAAAAGGAGGAGTATATGTGTAGAATAATAAACCCCACATTGTTTGAGTTAGGAAAACACTATTTGTCAAATATTGATACTGTTCTTAAAAGATTTCCCCATTTTGCACCCGCAAGATAACGTAAGCTTTTAAGAGTTGATAGATGTTAGTCTTCTTGTTTGAGGAGCTGTTCACTTGAGACTGTTAAGCAAGTTCCAGCTGTGTCTGGGTACAAGTGACAGGATGAACAACCCAGCGGGTTTTCTTCCTATTGGGGAGTGTTGTACATGGTGCTATGGCGGTATTTCCGCTCACAAGATGAGTGGCGCTGCCCAATAAACTCGCCCCTTGGGGCAAAATTTAAATTTAAAGGAGGGGGGAGAGAGGGAAAGGAAGGAAGGAAGGAAAGGAAGGAAGGAAGGAAGGAAGGGAAGGAAGGAAGGAAGGAAAGGAAGGAAAGGAAGGAAAGGAAGGAAAGGAAGGAAAGGAAGGAAAGGAAGGAAAGGAAGGAAAGGAAGGAAAGGAAGGAAAGGAAGGAAGGAAGGAAGGGAAGGAAGGGAAGGGAAGGGAAGGGAAGGGAAGGGAAGGGAAGGGAAGGGAAGGGAAGGGAAGGGAAGGGAAGGGAAGGGAAGGGAAGGAAAGGAAAGGAAAGGAAAGGAAAGGAAAGGAAAGGAAAGGAAAGGAAAGGAAAGGAAAGGAAAGGAAAGGAAAGGAAAGGAAAGGAAAGGAAAGGAAAGGAAAGGAAAGGAAAGGAAAGGAAAGGAAAGGAAAGGAAAGAAAGGGAAAGGACAGGAAAGGAAAGAAAAGGAAAGGACAGGAAAGGACAGGAAAGGAAAGGAAAGGAAAGGAAAGGAAAGGAAAGGAAAGGAAAGGAAGGAAGGAAAGGAAAGGAAGGGAGGGAGGGGAAGGAAGGGAAGGGAAGGGAAGGGAAGGGAAAGGAAGGGAAAGGAAGGGAAAGGAAGGGAAAGGAAGGGAAAGGAAGGGAAAGGAAGGGAAAGGAAAGGAAAGGAAAGGAAAGGAAAGGAAAGGAAAGGAAAGGAAGGAGGGAAGGAGGGGAGGGAAAGGAAGGGAAAGGAAGGGAAAGGAAGGGAAGGGAAGGGGAAGGGGAAGGGGAAGGGGAAGGGGAAGGGGAAGGGGAAAGGGAAGGGGAAAGGGAAGGGGAAGGGAAGGGGAAGGAAGGGAAAGGAAAGGAAAGGAAGGAGGGAAGGAAGGGAGGGAAAGGAAGGGAAAGGAAGGGAAAGGAAGGGAAAGGAAGGGAAAGGAAGGGAAAGGAAGGGAAAGGAAGGGAAAGGAAGGGAAAGGAAGGGAAAGGAAGGGAAAGGAAGGGAAAGGAAGGGAAAGGAAGGGAAAGGAAAGGAAAGGAAAGGAAAGGAAAGGAAAGGAAAGGAAGGGAGGAAGGAAGAAAAAGAGAGAGAGAGAGAGAGAGTGAGTGTGAGCCTTCGCTATCAATGGATTGACTCTTTTTGAAACCTTGCTCATTGACTGGCAGTTTTTGCATTTCCTTGAACTGTCATCTGTTTATTTAATGCTTATACTATCTTATACTGTCTTATACTGTCCTGTGTGTTAATATAAGTTTATTACTATTTCAGCAGCGAAGGGTGTGGCACCATCAACACCAGCAGACTTTACTCCAACACTGCGAGACAATGTATGCTACATTGTGGCAGCTGTACTAGTGAATGACCAGGGCCATGTCCTCATGATGCAGGAGGCTAAGAGGTCAGGACTCGCCTATCTCGTGTTTTCTCTAGTTTATTCTGTTGCTGCGATAGTTTGTAATGGAGGTGTTCCATCCATTGTCTGTGCTGACATTTCTGTATTCTGTGCTATATATATCATATCTTTACCATAGACACATGGCTTATGTTCACTATTGCCCTACTATTATAATGATTTGTAATCTTCTCGAGTGGTAGTGAGGTATTTACTTAACTTGACAACAAGAGCTCATTTAGATGCAAAATACTAGGAGTGCAGGCAGGGCTAGTGGAAAGTCCATAAATAACTAGACAATGCTGCAGTTCAAATATAACCTCAAAACATATAGTTAAGGAGTGAAGGATCTTCAACAAGCCACCTGTTTCGTGTCCTATTAGAGGCCGTAAGTGATACTGGCATATCGTTAATTTAGGTGTGGTCTCTTGAGATTCCTCAAGCCAAGGGGTGTCAGTTTGACTACTTGTTGCATTCAGATTTTGAAACTAATACTGTACTTAACATTGTCAAAGTTATCATGGAAACCAAAATTGTCAGGAACAAATCTGTTAGCTTGGGTGATAGGCCAGTTGTAGTTCTGCAACTTGATGTTCCATATCATCTGCCTGCATGTGAGTATACAGTATTTGGTTTATATGATAGCATTTTGTTCGTGCGTATTATGTTCTGCATTTATGACTAAAATTTGGTTTGTTCTTTTTGTTAAAATATTTATTAAAAGTTGATTCTGTAATTGAAATACAGTACAGTATACTGTGCTGTACATAATACTTATGATACAGTATATTAAATTATTGTTTAACATTATTCATTGTAGTAATGCTTTAGGTATAAATCATATGGTTTTATCCTGTTTACTCTGTACTGTGTTTTTGTTCTGCGAGGTTTCCCAGTGATATCTTAAGAATGCCTCATATTTTAACTTGAAATGTAGAGCACTTATATATCATAAATTTAAGCTTGCTGTTGATATTGTGCTGTATACTCTACTGGATATTCTTAGTTATATTTTAATACAAAATATACTTTCTAACCACCACCCACCTCCCTCCCTATCCCAACTACTTGGACTGGACGGTAGAGCAACGGTATTGCTTCAGGTCGGTGTTCACTCTCCGACCATCTACAAGTGCTTGGGCACCATTCCCAGTGCTACTGTATATAATCGTAATGACTTGGCACTTTCTCCTGATAGTTCCCTTTCACTCTCCCTCCCTCACCTCCTTTCTCTCTCACCCCCACCTCCTCTCTCTCTCTCACCTCTACCTCTTCTCTTTCTCACCCCACCTCCTCTTTCTCTCTCTCACCTCTACCTCTTCTATTTCTCACCCCACCTCTCTCTCACCTCTACCTCTTCTCTTTCTCACCACCACCTCCTTGGTTATTTATAAACTTTTGCATTGCACAATATCAATCTTTAAATCTGGAAATTCACAATACAGTATTTTATATGCATTCTATTTCTATAGTCTTTTAGTAGTTTGTTTTGCATAATGTTTTTTATACACAAATTAACTTTTTTCTAAATACAGTGGTACCTCCATTTGCGAATTTAATCTGTTCCCAGAGACGGTTCGAAAACTGAAATCAATTTTCCATAAGAAATAATGTAAATTGAATTAATCCGTTTCACACCCCAAAAAATATTAACTTAAAAATACATTTTATTCATTCTATTACTTAAATTTTGTACTACAGTATGTTCAAATATATCTTGCCTTTATTGAGGACTCTTGTTGGCGTATGGAAGACAGTGAGGAAAGTGGGGGGAGGAGGAGATGTGTTAGTGTTTGGAAGGGAAGTCCCCTTCCATTATAACAGCAGTGATGACATTTCTGGGTTACTCTCTCTTACGTTTTGCAGGCATACCACTAGGACCTGGATGAGGCTCACTGCTTGCTTGTCTTACTCTGTCTATAGATAGTTGTTTTTTGCTACGTTTTAATACTTGTCTGTAGTGAGACATCATATTGTCTCACTATGAATGATCTCTTGTTTTTCCTCTATCGCCATCCTCACAACTATTTTCTTAGGTTGAACTTTACCACTGACTTTCTTGTAACCCATGGCATGATATATAATAAGAACTTTTATGTTCAGAAAGCAAAAAAAAGAAAAACAAAAAAAAATTCTTCACAAGGAATTCTAGCATGGTCGTCACTATGCTGAGGACACTGGTAAACTGAAGCACGCTACGCTCTCAGTCGGCCCATACGTGTATCGACAAACTGGCGCACCGAGGCACACCTCGAGTACAAAGTTGATTTTTTCAAAGAAATTGAGCTCGAGAACTTAAAAATTCAAAAACTGAGGTTCCACTGTATACTATATTGCAAAATAGTACTAGTTGAAGAGACAAAATAGTTGAAGAGACTCTTAGTTTTTAGACATTTTCTAAGTACAGTAGTAATTGCTAAAGGTATTAGACGCTGTAGTATTCTTCTGGAATATATAAATGATTGCATATTACTTGCAAATTAGAATTACAGTACATAATATTGCAAAATAGTACTTGCATACCAGTAATTAATTTTAGCTCCTTGAAGGTACTATACTTCAAGGTATAAAAGGTACTATTGGCCTCTTAACAGCATCTGTATTGTGTCTTCTGTGGAGGATAAGTCATATTATGTACAGATATGCTTATAAAGTTCATGACAGCGTAATAATGAGAGTTATATATAGGCCATCAAGCCTAGGCAGAATGGAAGGGAGGCTATCCTACGTTGAAATATTTTGGGAATCTAAATGTAATAGCAACTATCACATGCCTATTCTATTTTAGTCAAATAAACTGTACAAACATGATAGGAAATGTTGAAGGAGAAGTGTTCTTGAATGTAACTGAAGACTGATTTCCCAAATTACAGTCAACAAGAAAAATTTATATATTAATCTAGTGCTAGCAAATGAAACACTAATTTCTTTTGTGAATTTCAGTGAATTTCTTTTTTAGACATATGTTGCTTTCTTATTAGACATCCTTTGTGTGGGTATGTTCTCCCCTTGGTTCATATTTTAGTGTTATTTATTAGTGTTTCATTTGCTAGCACTAGATTAATATATAAATTTTTCTTGTTGACTGTAATTTGGGAAATCAGTCTTCAGTTACATTCAAGAACACTTCTCCTTCAACATTTCCTATCATGTTTGTACAGTTTATTTGACTAAAATAGAATAGGCATGTGATAGTTGCTATTACATTTAGATTCCCAAAATATTTCAACGTAGGATAGCCTCCCTTCCATTCTGCCTAGGCTTGATGGCCTATATATAACTCTCATTATTACGCTGTCATGAACTTTATTCACTTTCATTCAAATTCAGTACATTAAATTTCATTTGAATTAATAATTCTCATTATTGCTATTAATACAGCAAAAGTTAATTATTTTTTTATATGTAACAAAGATAGGTTATTACTGTATTTTTGTTTTATTAAAGGAAGCAGCCAAAAGGGAAGTCCTCGAGGAAACAGGTTTGGAGACAGACATCACCACCCTGTTAATGGTTGAGTCTGCCTCTGGATCATGGTTCAGATTTGTTGTCACTGGCAATGTGTTAGGTAAGGATTAATAACCCAACTCACACTTATGAAAAAATGAGTACAGTAATATTTATGTTGGTCTAGTAAACTGCTAAGATGAGTTAACTATCTGATCTCAGAGTATCGCCTAGTAGTAGGCATCCATCAGTCTCGGCGACTAAGGGGTTGCGCTCTGGTTGTTGATATGGAGTGGCCTCTCCTGGTATTGACCATAATGCTACACCTACGTGTAGCATTATGGTCAATACCTTGCGGTTATCTTCCGTTAATTTAAGGGCTCAACGTCCCCACGGCCTGGTCGCCGCAGGGGATGTTGACCCTGACCAGGCCTCCTTGGTCAAGGGCTCATTTCCAATATATATTTTACTTTTTAGATTTTTTAACATTCAAGCAAGGTCAGGCAGGAAGGAAAAGGTGCTTCAAAAATTCTTCATATTCTACAGCTTCTGACTCACTACATAGCATTTCTCTCTAAATTGGGTATAAGTACCTAGAGACCAAATGCTAAGCAAACAACAAGCAAAACATAGCACATATAAATTCTTCCTCAATCATTAGAATTCCAGAAGTGGTAACGTATATTTGGTTTGGAATGAAGTAAATGAATGCTTATGCAGGTGGCAACATAGGAGCATAGTGCAGGCATACACCAGAAATGGTGCCCTCTGTAAAGATGTTGCTTAAGATGGGTACTTGAGATTTTTACAAAGGTAATGGACTATTGCCAAGGCATCTTAGACAAAATATCATGGGCTGCGTAACTTCATCGGGATGATCTGATGATGGAAGTATTTTGAGGATTAAAGCATAGAAGTAGTAAAAATTCTGAAAAAATACCCTGGCTAGAAATTACAATGCTGAATCTGATCAGATTGGTGCTGGCTCATTCATGTGAGTCCAGATAATCTTTCTGGTTTACATAAATTGTTCAGTTATCCCCTTATTATTGGGGTGTTTCCAAAATTAAGATCTAGATATGGTAGGTTCCATTGTAGTACCCAGTGGATAATAGCTTGCCAAAGTTGCAAAGGAATATAATCCCAAGTTTAATGTGATCTAAAGCTATTTATAATATTTGGTTTAGGATGTGGTTGGTGGCAAAGCTTACAGTTTGTGATGTTCTTCCTTCAGGTGGAACACTCAAGACCCCTGCATGTGCTGACAAGGAGTCATTGCAGGCCAAATGGGTAGAAGATCTAGGAGAACTCAGTTTGCGAGGCAATGACATCTACCCATTGATTCAGCGTGCCAAACAGTATTGTGCACGGCAAGAAGAGCCATGGCATCCTGTATTACTGCCTATTAACAAACCTCATACAAGGTTGCTGCTCAGATTGGTCATTGCTATTCGAAAGAGAGTTAAGTAAGTTCAAACAAAATGTATATAATTTTGTTTATAATATGTAGGTGATAAAATACAAATTATTGACTTCTCACTTTCTGACATAAGTACTTGTTCCTGCTACATAGTATGAGTGAGATCTAATGACATACTGTCTTAACTACATAACAGCCAATTAGGCTTTCTGCTGCTTACTTGCTTAGTAACTTGCTTAGCTTAATGAATTGTGGTGTTCAGTCCCTGAGCCCATTATGTGCCTCTGTAACCCTTTCCACTACCACTCACAAGATGGGTATGGGGTGCATAATAAATGAACTAAACTAAAACTGCTGGTGACTGCCACCACGGGCAGTACTACACCACAAGAAGGTCCACTAGCCCAACTGTCCCACATTCCACCTGAGGGAAATGCAAAAAAAAAAAAAAAAACTCAAACACAGGGAAGCATGGAAAGAAGGATGGATATTGGAGTGAATGTACAATTAAATGTTTTAAACACTTGTTTGGGGCAAGTTAGAAAATCAGTTGATTGACAAATGTTGCCACAGCTGGAATACATCTAGGCTACAAGTAACTTTGGCAGTTCAGCTTGCATGGAGGATCTAGATGAATGACGAAATGAAAATTGTGTGGCCAGAGAGAGAGACAGAGAGAGACAGAGAGAGACAGAGAGAGACAGAGAGAGAGACAGAGAGAGAGAGAGAGAGAGAGAGAGAGAGACAGAGAGAGAGAGAGACAGAGAGAGAGAGAGACAGAGAGAGAGAGAGAGACAGAGAGAGAGAGAGACAGAGAGAGAGAGAGAGAGAGAGACAGAGAGAGAGACAGAGAGAGACAGAGAGACAGAGAGAGAGAGAGACAGAGAGAGAGAGAGAGAGAGAGAGAGAGAGAGAGAGAGAGAGAGAGAGAGAGAGAGAGAGAGAGAGAGAGAGAGAGAGAGAGAGAGAGAGAGAGAGAGAGAGAGAGAGAGAGAGAGAGAGACAGAGACAGAGACAGACAGAGACACAGACACAGACACAGACACAGACACACACTAGAGCATTACATAGTGAAATTGAGCTATTAGATATAAATATAAGCTTAGCTTGCATGAAATAGAAAATAATTTTCTTATTTAATCAGGATGGAATGTTGAGAAGGTTTGGCTGCAGGCTGTTATTGTGTCAGCCTTGCTGACACAATAACAGCCTGTAGTAGTAGCCTATTGGGTGCACAGATTAGTCTCCTTGCTGCATGCAAATTTGTGACTGGAAGCTTTTGAATTTATGTAAAGTATGTCTAGCTTGTCTAGCATTCAACTTAAAATTAGTATGGCCAGGCAAGAACAATTTGAAAAGTTCAGAGCAAGACAAGTGTAGCATATCAACTTGCCCTAACTGTGGCAGGTCCTAACCAGAGGAAAGTTGCATCTTTCCTTGGAACAAACGAGTGAGACAGCTCATGATTTATATATATGTTTGTTAGAATTGAGTGTGTTATGCAATTAAATATTTACCATAAATGCTTCTGCTTTGGGTAGAAAACATACAGTTTGTTTAATGAAATAATTATGAAATTAGTAAACAAGTGTAATTGTTTCTTGCTATAAGTGTTTAAGGAAGTTGGAGGTATTGAAAATTAAAGAGTGCATGAGTCTATAAAAGAATATATATTATGGTTCAATATATATATAAATATCACTACTTTGGGAACCATGTTCCATTAGTCTGTGACTTTCTCTTTATACCATTTGTCATCTGGTTGGTAACACGATAGTTCAACTGTGTTGTGTTTGTGTATCAGTCATTATGGTGGACACATTGAACATATTATGTGCATAAAATATAAAAATAAAACATAAAATCTAACTTCAATATTTTGTTTGGTGTTTGCAGACTTATGGTGCATTGTAATTTTTTTTTTTAAAGATTGATATAGGCTAAGTGTACTGTATATTTTACAAAATGTAATTAAGTATTTTTTCTAGTTAGTAGTGGAAGTAGCACTGAAATTTGTATTCTTTAATTATGGTCATTTTTACTTTTTCTATTACAGTACTGTACAAGTTACTGATCTTATATTCTTTCACAGCAACAGACTGTGTGTCTTGACCAGTGACAAAACCGCAACTCACCTCCCGGTAACTGAGGTTAACCCTGTGAGGTCCCTGCACTCAACTCTAAGGAAGTACATGACGGTAAGCAATATATAATGCACTGTTATTAAAAATATGAGGAAGTTTTTTCCTACTGATAGTATTGTATTAAAAAAAGAAATAGTGAGTTTTTAATCTAAAATTGGATGATGACCACCTCTGCAGCTTTCAATATTGTAAATGCTTCAAAGTGATTCAGCAGTCACTTTATTTTGTGTACAAAATCAAAGAGAAGTGATTTCATGTGTATGTAGCATTTCAGACTCCAGAAAAATACAGCATCCTTTTATTTGTCATAAGTTGAAAAGGGCTGTAGATTCAGTATGTTCAATTTTGAGAAAAAGTGTAACATGATTTTTCACATACTGCACATGACCATAGTTTAGACGATTTTTTAAATTCGATTCAGAAATAAATGTAAGATTTTTTTCTCTCAGGAAATTTTTGGCTCAGATCTACCACCTCATAGACCTCAAGGTGTTCTGAATGTAGAGCTAAAGACTAGTTCACCAAGTGGTAACCACGATGGAATGTGCCTAACACTGCTTGTTCCTATTCGTAAAGCACTTGAGGATGTACCTCTTATTGACAAATACTCCTGGATTGAACTGCCCAAACCTATTGGAGAAGATCTGCTGAATCGGATGGGCAAAAATATGACCGTGCCTTTGAACGTCATACGGTAAGATAAGGCAAATTTCTTCTGAACTACTCATCTTCCCGGGCTTTCATGGTTGACTGAAGCTACTGGGTACATTATGGTTTACTCAAGTTGTGGGGTCTTCTGGTCTGCAGCTCCTGAAACAACACTGGTTACTTACGGCTCCTGCCATACCTCAAGACTGTGTTTTGTGTTTGCAAAACATCTTGATGACTTTGTGGAAATTAATTTTCTACATTTCATATGTTTATATATTCCCAGCTGTATAAGTGTTATACAATATTTTGGTGATAGGTAACTGGCCTATGGAATCTTTAGACTAGAGTGAAAATCATTAGGTAATACAGTAAATTCTGAGCATGGTTTTGGCAAGATATTTTAAAGAAATGTTTTATTTTGTTAGTTGACAAGTACTGTACTTTCCACTGTTTACAGAAAAATTTCAATGCTATTTTTTTTTTTTTTCTAATGTAAAATGTGAACCAAAAGTTAGTACACTACTTCATTGTTACATTGTTATACTATTTGCAATTAGAGTATATTTTTCAGCACATGACAGATATTAGAGGATTCATTTATTAGGGGGAATTCATTCACAGAATATGTGCAGCACACAAACATTCAAAATTCAACTAATGATTGAATATTATGTGAACATGTGATTTTAGTGTTTTATTATTTAAAAAAAAAAGTAATATTAGAGCAAAGAAATGTATTGTTTAATGGTTGTTAACCTTTACATGGCTTCAATCGCTATCTGTGATTACCTCCTGTGGTAATATTCATTGTTATGCACACCTTGATATATGAATTTTAATTATCTGGGCTGTGTAAGGGTTAATGATGTGATTTAGAGTATGTCTTTTGTATTCCAAAATGGATTGGATGAATCATACATTCAATCATACATCATATATCCAAAAGTACATAATTATAAAATAAGATAGAAAAATTGACACGGTCTTAGAACCCTAACAGGATGGTGTGTACATAAATTCCTTAATTATGTCCTTCAGTTCTGTATCCAAGTTCTTTAAGATTCCTCCCATTTCCAAGCTCTCGAATTCATATCTTTTTGGCAAGTTGTCTACCTCTTTGAGACTTTGAATTACATTTTGAAGAAGCTGTTTTTAATGTCTCTTACAATAATTGAGTTTCCATTTCTTTACTCCTAATCATCTCTTTTGCTTCCTCGTATATGGAAGATAAGTTTTGTACTTGATGATGTAGTTTATTTCAGCTAGTCTCCCTCTCAATCTGTCTTTGTCTTCCAGTTTTGTTTACTTTCTTATCTTACAAACCTGTATTTTTACATACAGTAACTCATGTTCATATTTACATCTTTAGAAGTTTCAGGATTGTATTACTTTGTCATTCTAATATTCCCTGTCATATATGTGTTATTTATTTGGGTTTCTCATCCATACAATAATTTTTCCTCACATTTCTTCTTTGCTCTGTCTGTGATCATATTCTCCTCCACAGCTAAATTATCTTCATTTCTACTTAATAGTGTTGAAATAGCACAAGTGTAATTACCTAATTGTAATTACCTAAGTATAGTTACAGAATGTGTGTGTGTGAGTGCACGCACACACGCATGTGTGTGTATGTATACATGTGTGCACACGTGTGCATGTATGCATGTGCAGTTTAATCATGATCAACCAATCATGCTAATACTGATTTTTGTGCCAAATGTTACATGTTTTCAAATCTGTTTTCATGTGTTTATAACTTAAACTAGTATTTTTCTCTACCTCACATCAATTCAATATTTGCTTTAATTTAGCTTTAGCTCTTCTATGATGATAACTTCTCTTCTGTAAAAATATTAAAATACTTAGCTCCAATTACAGGTACTTTGGTTGAAGAAAATGTAATTATAGATGTTTTAAATAATGAACTATTTGATCTATAGTAGAGGATCCCACTCATGGTCTCCACTAAAGAGTGTGAGTGTGAGTAATTAAGTGTGTGTGTGTGTTGTTACCTAAGTGTAGTTACAGGATGAGAGCTATGCTGGTGTTGTATCATCTTCCCAGTACTCTTTGTCATATAATGGTTTGAAACTACCGACGGGGTGTATGTGTGTGTTTGTTGATGGGGTGTTATGGGGAGGGGGGAAACATGTGTAATTACCTAAGTGTAGTTACAGGAAGAGAGCTACGCTTGTTGTGTCCCATCTTCCCAGCACTCTGTCAAACAACGCTTTGAAATTACTGACGGTTTTGGCCTCCACCACCTTCTCATCAAACTTGTTCCAACCGTCTACCACTGTTTGCGAAAGTGAATTTTCTTATATTTCTTTGGCAGCTTTGTTTAGTCAGTTTAAAATTATGACTTTTTGTTCTTGAAGGTCCAGGTCTCAGGAATTTGTATGTCAATTTTATCGATTCCTGTTGCTATTTTGTACGTAGTGATTATATCGCCTCTTTTTTTTCCTCCCTCCTATAGTTTGGTTTACTATATTTAATACCTCTAACCTCTCCTTGTAGCTCTTGTCCTTCAGTTCTGGGAGCCACTTAGTGGCATGTCTTTGCACCTTTTCCAGTTTGTTGATGTACTTCTTAAGATATGGGTACCATACAACCGCTGCATCCTCCAGCTTCAGTCTAACAAAGGACGTTGTAACATACGTTTATGTTACGTTGTTGGGTAGATTAGATACAGTGTTTAGTGAGTTTCATATTTATTTAGTAGTCTTGTTTACAATAGTCGGTCGTTGGCATTGTCGTAGACATTCAGACGGAGCTTGGAGCAGAGCAGAGAGCTGAGTGAAGGCTGGAGTCGCAGAGCTCTATGCGGAAGAGCGTGGTGGCTCGATTGGGAATTGTGAGTGTCTAAACTCGATGAGGAGCAAGAGCGTTGTAGCTCGATGCAGTCGTAGTCTGCAGTGTGCTCTGTGTCGAAGCTGTAGCGTCTTGGGGTCGATTAGAACTGTACACGCCGAGTACTACATTCTTGCGGTTGAAGAGGTGAGGTAAATCCAAAGCGTCTGTACTGGAGTTATGACTCACTATGGAAATTGTCCTCTCGGCTATTCACTTTTTGCTTGCTTATATTCGGTGACTACACCTCAGCTTCCTCCAACCGGGATGGAAAGAATGTTACCTATAATTAGAAAAAGGATTATAGCTTCTGTAATTAGTGCTAATTAGTTACTCCATTAAGCTAATGAGAGGCTGTAGTCAGTAAATTGATTGTACTCGCTACAATGTGAACAATTTCTTTAGTATTTTGCCATCCATGTATTTAAAAGCAAATCTGAAGTTAGAAAATGTAGCATAGGCTCCTTGCACAATGTTCTTTGTGTGGTCCTCAGGTGATAATTTTCTATCTAAAACCACCCTTAGATCTCTTTTTTTTTTTTTTATCAGAATTCTTTAAAGATTTCTCACGTAATTTATAGGTTGTGTGGGATCTATGTTCTATTCCACATTCCATAACATGGCATTTATTCACATTAAATTCCATTTGCCAAGTGGTACTCCATATACTTATTTCGTCCATGTCTTCTTGAAGGGCATGACAATCATCAAAGTTTCTTATCTTCCTTATTATCTTAGCATCATCATCAAACATGTTCATATAAGTCTGTATTCCATCTGGTTGATCGTTTATGTAGACAATGAACATTACCAGTGCAAGAACTGAACTCTGTGGTGCTTGTCCACTTGTGACATTTCTCCAGTCCAGTACATTACCTCTGATTACTGCCAGAATCATGTGTGTTTTTGGGTGAACAGAGGCACCAGTTGTAAAAAAAAATGCCCATTTATTTCTGTCAGCTGGGATTCAAACCCAGTTCCTTAGTTGACCAGACCACATACTAGAAGTTGAAGGGACGACGACGTTTCGGTCCGTCCTGGACCATTCTCAAGTCGATCCAGTTCCTTAGACTGTGAATCCCAAATGCTATCTGCTCAGCCATGAGTACCCTGCATGTGTTAATATGAGGAAGGGAAAGTGCGAGTATGGAGAAGGGGAAATGTGGGTATGGAGAAGGGGAAGTGTGGTTATGGAGAAGGGAAAGTGTGGACATGGTGAAGGGGAAGTGTGGGTATGGAGAAGGGAAAGTGTGGGTATGGAGAAGGGGAAGTGTGGTTATGGAGAAGGAAAAGTGTGGGCGTGGTGAAGGGAAAGTGTGGGTATGGAGAAGGGAAAGTGTGGGTATGGAGAAGGGGAAGTGTGGTTATGAAGAAGGGAACAAATACATTTGTTGTACAACAGTATAACAAATCTCAGTCAACGATATTCACCATACTGGCTCAGAAAAAGGACATTATGGGTGCTAAAGTGATGCATCATTACAGACAAATGTTAAAACGAAGGGAAAAACAAATGTCTCTTGACAAATTTGTAGTGAGACAAACAAGCACTGAACCACAACCAGGTCCTAGTGGTATTCAGGCAAAACGTAGGAGAGAGAGTACCCCAGAGAAAACATCACTGCCTGATGTGATAATGGAAGGGGACTCCCCTTCCAAACAGTAACAACTCTCCTCCTCCCCCCTCATCACCATCTTCCATATGCCATCAAGAGCCCTCCATAAAGGTAAGATAAACTTAGGTACTCTACTGTATTGTAGTTAGAAAAAAACATTGTATTCAGTATAAAGTGTATTTGTATGTTAATATTTTGGAGGGTGGGGGAACGGAGTAATTCAAATCCCTTTATTTCTTATGGGAAAAATCACTTCGACTTACGATATTACGACTTACGATCCGCCTCTGGGAACGGATTAGCATCGTAAGTCGAGGCCCCATTGTATTTCCATTGGCCACTGAGGAAGCAAGGCTGACACCACTGTAGGGTGCATACAATTGATCTTGGGTTATCCAGATTGCCATTTGCTAGGGGATGTCCAATTATGCAAGATGGTTGAATAAAAGGATTTGGGTCACATAACTACCAATAAATACACTCATTTGTTAAAAAGGATGTAAATTTCCTGATATTTATTGCTTCTATTATTACACAACTCCCTTTATTCTTGTCACTTTGAAAAAGTAATATAAACGATTAGGTAATTGGTATAAGCAACGAATATATTCAATATAGTGTGTGGGTGATGCAGAAGGTGGCGTTGAGGCAGCTGCAGCCCATAACTCCTCCCAAAACTCTCTTCTCAGTTCCTCCTCCAGCATGTGCCTCTAAATCAGATACTGTACATATTTATAAGCCTCTTCAATTAATTAATGTGTTTTTTCCCAGTATTCACTTCATTAAGGTTGGAATAGTGTTGTTACTGATAGGTTCGTTTGGTGGGTATCCTTACTTTAAGCAGTATTTAGCAGGCAATCATTTGCAATCATGGTCAGTCACAACCATTACACACCTTCATTTCTTCCACAGGAAGCAAATTTCTATGTTATATATAGCTTCTGGTATTATAATATGATGCATTTTTTTGTTATTTTATGATAAAATTTTATGAATGGGATTGTGTGTATAAAGAACAAATAGTGAGAGGTGAGGTGAAAAAAGGTGACTGGCATAGAAAGTTTGAGCCAGTCCACCATTCCTAAACACTGAACACTAATACAGTACATGTTCAACTACTCACATTTTGTTTATGGATTCTAGCGTTATTAAACATTGTATTTCGTATATCTTCCACTTGATCTACTTGATTTAAGGTGAGATAGCTTCGACAGATAATTTGGTTAGGTTAATATTTAGTTTTTCTCACAAGTACTATATGCCAATACTGACCCTCCCCCCCCATCCAATCACGTGAGAAATCACGTGTTCCATTTGTTGTTTACCTGGATACACAAGGACTGTACCTGGATCACATTTCGCACAGATAATGTGTTAATCTGAATGCACATAATTGAGAACCAAATGAAAATGATTAAACTGTTTATTTTATTACTTACAGCTTCTTTAGTAGTTGTAACCAGTGTAATGGTAATAATTAAATCTTTAAAATTGAGTTTGAAAGTATAAGCTGCAGTGGAAGCAACCACATCTCATGGAATGTAAACTTTTCATTTTTATATACAGTACTGTATGTTTATTTTCATAAATTAATTTGTTCATTTATATTTCAAAACAAGTTTCAGTACTGTATTTTCAACAGGGGATGTTAAAAAGACATTTGTTTTATTGTATTTTTAATGTACTTTTTAAGAATACATTGAAAGAAAACTTGTTAGAAAAAAATTGTCCTGTATCTGTTACTATGTCCAGCTCTTACTGATATATTCTGGTATGCATCCATTTTTATACAGGAACTGCCAGTCTTGCTAAATTTTATAAATCTGTAATTTTTTTAGAAAATTTAGCACTAATATAAACAGATGGGTTATATCTGGTTATATTTTGTTTACACTTGATTACAAGTACTGTACTATAAATATATTTGCTCAAACATTATTGTTTGCTTTAGTGTCCCATCTGCTCATATTGTAGCATAAGAAATGTTCATCAAAATTTGCCTTGAACTGGCATCTAAGGTATTCCCAGTGTATTTTTAAGTTGAAATAATGGCATTTAAATGTGTTCTTCCATTTAAGAGCTGTTCTTTAGCTGAAATTAATTGAACAATATCAACAAGAGCATTTTAAGCAAAAGTATTTAATCACAATACAGTACTAACACCCTTATATTTTAAGACACTGTTTTAGATTCACATAGGAAAAAATTAAACACAAGTTACGTTCTAAAGCTTCAGAAACTATCTTAATTTTTCAGAGTGTCTACACTTATCAATTGAGTTTGGTGCTGCTCTTCCCTGGTCACCAGTTGCTGACAATCTCGGTCTGTTCGCGGTCAGTCTCCCAAATCTGCTTCCATACCCTATCATTCCCCTCTTGCATTAATCCTATTGTCCAATAGTCCTCCCCACTTCCCTATGTCCTACATCTTTTAATAACGCCAATCTGCACACAAATACTTCTTGTCTTTCTCAGTCTCCTCTTTTTCAATTAGCAGGAGTTGGTTCAGCACTCTTGGCACTCTGCATCCCTATTTAGCGTAGTTGATATGATGAGGTCTAGTAATAATAAGCAAAACAAAAGGATGTATGGTATATGAATGTCAAGGAATTAATGTGATGGTTCTTACTGGTTATTCCTATGCACTGTAGTTGTCTTGTTTTTTGTTGCAAATAATAATATATTGTATATTACAGCCCAAGCACCAGGCACCTTTTGCTTGTTTTAGCCTTCCCAGGGATAACATCAGGATCTTCTTGCAATAATATATTTTGTCTAGATAATATATATATATATATATATATACTTATATTTTTGTATTATTTTTAAAAAAAATGTGTGGTATTAAATTTGGGAGGATTACGTTAGGTCAATATTTTTAAATGCTGTATTTTCTTTAATTTTTAAGAATTGTACAGTTTTTATTAACACATTTTACCTTTTAGGAATACATATTAGTAGTTAAATATGATATTGGATCCAAAAGTTGCAATGCATTCTTCATCTTGTGACACGAGCATGGGTTTATTGTTTTTGAATTGTACACCTTGGCCAGTTACTTACATATATTTATGTATTATTCTTTATGTTTTCTTTCAGCTACTGGGAATCATGTGCCTAAGTGCAGGTCAAGTAAGGGAGTAATGAGTAAGGGAAAGTGTGATGATCAGGACCGTCCACCTGGGGTTGTGCACACATACACACAAATATGCACACAACACATGCACACACACTTGCAGACAAACATGCACATACTGTATTTATATTAACTGCAATAATCTGGACTTAAGGCTTTTGACAGAGTCCTACATAAAAGGTTGTTCTGGAAACTGGAACATGCTGGAGGGGTGACAGACAGACTGCTCACATGGATGAGAAATTTTCAGACAGAAAGATGAGGGTGATAATCTGACACAATGTATCAGACAGGGGAAGTATTATTAGTGTAGTACCATAGGGGTTCATTTCTGCCACCAGTAATGTCTGTTGTCTAAGTAAACTACTGTCTAAGCTCGCTTATCCGAACTATATGGGAAGGATCCCTGACCAGATAATTCAGACATTCGAATAAGTAGAATTCTTACCATTGAAGTCCAAAAATGACCACATTTGTAATTTTTTACATCAAACACCACACCATAAATCAAAAATAAAATTAAAAACAAACTTCAGCTTACCTTGTTGTAGTTTGCCTTCTTTGATTGATTGTCAAATATGTAGTTCTTGAAAATTTATTCAACCTAATCTCCAGTTGCTGTATCTGGATTTCTGTCTGGAAATGACAAAGTTTGTCTGAAATATTATCCAGACGAGATTTTGGCGAGATAACTCAAGTTTTTGGTTCAGCGGACTTCAGATAACCGAGCTCATACAATATCTACCAGAAGGAATGTAGAACTACGAATATAAAAGTATTTGCTGATGATACTAAGCTACTAGGGAAGATAATAGATTTTGACAATTGGCATGCCTTTCAAGATGACCTAGACAAAATAAATGTATGGAGTAATACCTGGCAAATGGAATTCACTGTGACTAACCACTGCACTGAGCAAAGTGCCTTTAGGTGCTCTGAGAGGTGTGCTATTTTTTTTAATTAGGCTATATTTTAATGTTTTTTAATGTTTTCATTACTCTTTGTATTTTGAAATGGAAATAGTTGAGTTTGGAAACATTTTGACATTAACTTTACCTGAACATTTATAAAAACAACAAAAATATGTCCTTGACAATTGCATTAAGAAGTTTTTGCCGAAAACAGGTGCACAGTGCAGTGCAGTGGCTAAAAGCCATGTTATGGAATGTGGAATAGGAGAAAATAGGCCACAAACAATCTACAAATAATTGGAAATGCATTAAAGAACTTTGACAAAGATGATCTAGGGGTAGTTCTGGATTGTTGACTGGCATCAGATAACCACATAAAGAACATTGTGCAGTGAGCATATGCTACGCTTTCCAACTTCAGAATTGCTATTAAATACACACAGGGTTAAATATTAAAGAAACTGTTTACAATTTTTGTAAGACCACAATTAGAATATGCAGCAGTTGTATAGTGCCCGTATCTCAAGAAGCACATCAATAAACTGGAAAAGGTGCAAGGGCATACTACAAAATGGCTTTTGGAACTGAAAAACAAATAATAAAAGGAGAGGCTGGAGGTGCTAAATATGCCAAAGCTAAAAGATAGAAGAAAAAGAGGCGATGTCATCAGTACACAAAAAAATAGTAATATTAATTGACAAAATTTACGAAGAGGAATTCTTGAAACATAGTCAAGATAAAGAAACAAAGGTGTTGGAAAAATAGTAGAAAGTTTCTTTTACAAACAGAGTGGAAGATAGTTGGAAGAAGTTAAGTGAGAAGGCAATGGATGTCAAACTGTCAGCTAGTTCAAAGCATAATAGGACATAGTACTGGGAAGACAGGACATTATGTGCATAGCTTTCATCCTTTAACTGTACTCGGGTAATTACACACAATCATATATTTAATGATACAGTTGCTGCAAAATTTGTGAAAATAGTCTTATGGGAGACTATTGCATTGGTAACTCGCCGTGTTGAATGACCACATGTGAATATGATATGGGTATAACTTCTTGTTATTGTTCATGATATCGTATCCATATTATATGACTGCCAGTTACCATAAATTTTTAAATACATCTTGAAGTTTGTCTTTCTTAGCCAGTTTAAAGGGCTTTCAGAGAAATTTATATTTAATTCTGGGAAGTTTGTTGGTCTTCATTAGGAAAAATGTGATAATTAATATCTACATTACTTGTTTTTTGTTTTCTTTTGGGAATTTGGTCCTAAATGACATTCACTTTCCATCCCTTACTTTTGTAAAATATGCAAGAAATATCAGATATCTGTTTAACAGCAATTTTTCTGGGCAAATCCCCAGTGGTTGCTTCCTCAACCCTTAACAAGCATTTACCCAGTCCATTCTAATGACATCAATTAAGCACCTGTGAACCTTTGCCCCCTCAGTACAAGTATTCTTGCAAATGTATAATAATAATAATGTTTATTTAGAGAAAGTACATACAAAATGAGTTACAAGAAGAATGTTGGATTTCTAGGTAAAGCAAGTACTGTACAGTATTTACTATGCCTAAAGCCACTAATACGCATCATGTTTTGGGCACGTAATGGTCTTTTTAATCCATCACCAAAGGAACTGCTTTGTGTAAAACAAAAGATTAGCAGCAACTTATTGCTTCCTTCATACAATAATCAGGGTCTCCAGTAATACAACCAGTTATCTTTCTGCTAACTATTTTGTATTAAATAAAAAATAATTTGTTTACATTGGTCATACTGTATATGTATTCTAGTACGGTATGTTTAATTTTCATTCAATATTATAAAGGAAATAATTAGTATGCATTTGTTTATTCTGTAAAACAGTCTAACTGCATCTTTAATGTTAAGAGTTTTGCTATATGATATCCTAGATATGGAATATATTGCTATTTTTTTTATATTTTAATGTCATATGTTTTGGTTACAATATATTGTAGTTGCATATATATTGTATTATATATTGCAGTTACAATATATTGTAGTTATAGAAATGTAGTATATACTGTGTTCTTGTTTCCCTCTATGCCATAACTTTGTTTTACCTTCCTCTTAAACAAGCCCGGAGACGTATTAATGACTGCATTACATTATCACTAAATAGAGCTTCTGTTGTAATTAGTATCATGCATATCTCAGACATTTCATTTAAAGCTTTAAATTTTAGGATTTGATGTGCAAACCTCAGATAGCCAATAATATCAACATCTCTTGAGTGTGATGCAAGTTTTATTGCTATTAGCTCAACTGAACATGTACCATAAATATCATGCAAGTTGTGATTTGAGCTTTAGTTATATGTTAAGGTAATAAATTCTTTGGCTTGCCAGAAAAGGAAAAATAATTGTAACTTTAACATGGAAGACTTTTAACATTGCTTTGTCACAACACAAGGGAACTGTTATTAGAAAATTATCATCTTGATGCCATTTCTTAACCTTGCATTTTTGCCTTTAAGAGTTTTTCAACTGAAATTTGTTACTTTATTAGTTTTGAAATTGCTTCCTTCATAATTTTGAAAAAATTATCTTAAGTATCTTGGTAGTATGTATTAAAAACTAAACGTGTTGGATCATATTTAAAGTACCATGGTTGACACACAACTGTCAGCTTATTTGGCTGGTAATCTTGTTGACCAAACCACACACTAGAAAGTGAAGGGACGACGACGTTTCGGTCTGTCCTGGACCATTTTCAAGTCGATTGTGATAATCAACTTGAGAACGGTAATCTTGTCTTTTGTATAGGTATCATCTTCCATATGTGTGTGTGCGTGTGTGTGTAAGTACCTAAGTATATATACAAGATGAGAGCTATGTTTGTGGTGTCCCATCTTCCCAGTACTGTGTGTCATATGACACTGAAATGTTATGCACGCGTGACTGTGATACACTGAAAATGTATCAGATTTTTCGATGTAAACTATGTGGCCAGACTTTATTCTGCTGATCTTTGGCAGCTAGAGTATTGCATTGAAAAAAGATGAATTATACATGTTTCACAATATTTGTAATTTGTTTCAAGTGAAGTATATAAGCACAAAGGTTTTACATTTTATAAAATAAGTAGCCTTTCTTAATGACAAATTAAATTTATTACACCATGATCAAACTATTAACAAATAATTTAACATCACAGTAAAATTATGAAAAAAAATAAGCTCAGTTCTACACTTGTGCTCATTTCATTTGGAACTGAAGCAATTTTAATTAAATTTGACAAAATAGCAAGTAAATATTTTATACAGTAATAAAAGCATCATACATTTATAGAAAATGCATTTTGCTAGTTTTCTATATTTAGTGAAACTGTACAAAGTACTGTAATGACACTAGTTCATAAGGTCCATGAATGCTAGTGTTCCATTGGTTCCATAGCTTCTCAGACTACATTTCCCTGATGCTTAGTGACATATTCAGTTGGTGCTCTAAAAAGTAGGTACCTGTATAGTCCTTTTCAGTCTGATAATGCTTAAAATACTTGAACGATCCAAATTTGTTGGACTTGTGTGAACACCTCCCATCAAACTTTTCTCGTGTTTGGGAGGAGCACTGGATAGCCCAAAAATTAATAATTCAAATAGTACATAGTACTTGGATTGATCAATTCTCATCAAGACACTCCATATTCTTCACTTGTCATCTGGGGAAAAATTTGGGTAGTGTGAATAAAACTGAATAACAATGTAATTGGAATAAACTAAAAATAATTCTTGTGTTTAGTAAATTCTTGGATGCGAGCTGTAGAAAAGCTTTTAAAAATCAATTGAAGCCGTGCATATGTCATAAGACATTTGTTTCTAGTATCTAAGGTGAAGAGAGTTGTGGCTAAAGATGGATTGCTCCAATATGTGCCTTAACCTTGAAGTAGGAGTGCAATGTATTCACTCCACCAGCAATTGACTTTATAGTCCTGCCACACTAATCTTGCCATTTTTGTTAATATAAAAATGTGGAGGTTTAAAGGAGCATTTATTGAACCTTGCCCCCATAATGATAGCATCTGTAGTTACTATGGATAGAATGTACAAAATATGGACTTGATCAAATCCTTAGTAATTCTGGCTCCTTTTACATGGATCATCACATGTATTTCAGTTCTAATAACGGCACTATGGATGATTTATAGGAATTTGCTAATATTCTTTGACACGGTGCTATAACCCTACTGGCATAGCATTTTTGTTATAATTACTTATTTACCCCAACCTCCCAGCTGACTTCCACACCAACCCACCCCCTCTTACAGTTGACAATTGGGAAAAGCTAGTAGGGAAAGTTTGACAGTGACAAATTTCTTCCACCTCTACTCTTGTTTATAAATTACTATGGGGGCTGGGAAATGTGTTAATTTGTTTGGTAAAGAAATGTACAGTACTTATAAAGTCATGTTTATCATCTCTTGTACTATTGCATGAACCTTTAACATGCTGGCCTAAGTAATCAATTCCAATGTCAGGAACACGTCTCCGAAGGGCTATGCCATAATGGCCCTTACAGCAATGTTTTGGCTAGCTTTGCCATTGCCTGGAACACATCCCCCAACAGTAAACAGGGTATACATGTAATGGTTGTATTATAAGATAAACCTGGAATAGAGGACTGGGAAGGCTTTCCTCAATTGTCAGAGATCAAATGTATCTACAGAGTACAATAGTTAGTAGTTTAAATATTAGTTAAAGAAACTTGATAAATAAATACAGTATTGTGAGTCTTAGGAATAAATCCACAGGTAATTGCAGTAGTGAACTAAAGGATTAATAGGTATTATAATTAGAGAGAAATGAAATTTACTTTACAATAATTATTTTCAATATAATGAAGTGCATTTATTCTCAAAGTCTGTTCCATTTAAAAAGATATCCTGATATATATTAGTAGTATAGTTAAATGCAATATTACTTTATAACATTAAACTGACACACACTCAGTACAGTAGAGTACAGTACAATACATACAGTTTTAGCATGTAGGTGAATGTTAAGAGCATTGTCATTGTGTGTTCATGTATTTGCACAGAAAGAAAATGACCTGCAGCACATGGAGTTGCTGTTCACGGCTTTACTTGATTTTTGTTGTTTTTTAAGACTGAAAACATTGTGTGGAACCTGATGTGATGTGACATCACTCACCAATGTGTTTTTGCATTGCTTTTGAGCAGAGTGTATTAAATTATGTTAATTAACATTATAGTACATTATTTTATAAAATATATAAAACAAATTACTGTACTTACATAATAATGTATATACAGGCAGTACTTCGGTGTTGCAACCTTCACTGATGACTGATAACTGCTATATACATGCAAGTTCCATAACATACTTGGGTAAGCCTTTTATGTAGTAATCTTTTTGTATTAATACTGCTACTAGTATATTCAGTAATTACCCATAATATCTGAACAATACGCAAAAGCTTTAATACTTAAATAATACATATTAATAAATGTGTTTAATATTTTTGCTGGTTAAAGATTTTTAAGTTTATGTAGCAATATAGGTGCTAGTAGCATTCAATTATTAATAGCCCAGGATACAACCTCAATTGCACAGTGGTAAACAGTTCAACTAGCTGAAAATAATGCAGGAAACAGGCCTGCATATTTGCACTCATCTAGAGATGATTTCGGGGTTTTTTAGTGTCCCCGCGGCCCGGTCCTCGACCAGGCCTCCACCCCCAGGAAGCAGCCCGTGACAGCTGACTAACACCCAGGTACATATTTTACTACTAGGTGACAGGGTCATAGGGTGAAAGAAACTCTGCCCATTGTTTCTTGCCGGCACCTGGGATCGAACACAGGACCACAGGATCACAAGTCCAGCGTGCTGTCCGCTCGGCCAACCGGCTCCCTTGAAGTAGAAGTACTTCAAGGTAGAAGAAGTACATCACCTGCTGTTTCTTTGCAGTGTATGCAGAGGTTTTCGTGTTAGTTTCATTTAACTTGTAATTTGTCTTGAAAATTTGCTGCTCTTCCACTGTACCATCAAGTCAATGTATCTTAATTGCAGTGTGTGTTGCATTCCAGTATTGTACATATTGTAATATTTACAGTAACTGCTATGTTATGGTTTTGAAATATTGTCAGCATTTTCATAATATTTTCATAATGCTTTTGGGATTAAGTATTTTGTTACACCTGGTATTTGTGTATGGCGATCTTGCATTGTCAACCAGTTATAATTGTTTAACTGCATTACAAAATTTTATAATTTACCAGCAACTATTACTAGAACTTGTGTTGTGACACTGCTCAAGAAACCCGTTATTCATATGATGTGAAATTAGATTATTATGCCAACATTTGTCATATGAAAGAAATATTGCATTTTCTAATATATTTTGAGAACTTAAAAATTATTTGAGTTAAAAATGGCCAGAAATTGTGCATGCCATTGTGGTGACTGCCCAGATATGCCTTTTAGACCACTGGAGCAGCAGTTTCATTTTTAGTTGCCTCTTGTGTCTAGTACATAAATGTTAAGTACAGGTATACAGTATAATGAAAGCATTATGCTTGCATCTCCCTTCTATATTGGGTATCTTTACAACATTTGCATTTTGGTTTATTTTATTCCACTGTCTTGTATAACTGACTTTATTCATTGAAATTATTAAATGTACATTATTTCAGTAAATATGAATTTACATGTTACTGCATTATAATGGATATTTTCATGTTAAGATGATGTTATTATGGATGTTTAATATTATAGTGTATTTAGATATCAAACATTACAACTCCTTCAGTTGCTAAAAATATTTTATGGGATCTATGCCAGCTAGATTTGCATGTTACTGAACTTCCTTGAAGTACTATAAAATGTGTTAGGACAAATTCAGTACACAAAATTTACATTGTTAAGGAGTGAAGGTGTGTTATTCAAGTGCTTCATGACTCATTGCATGCTATTTATTTTTGAATTTTTAAGTAAATTTCTCATGTTAAGATAAGTCTTTTGTAAAGTTTATTTTTTTACATATTTAAAATATATTAAAATCAGATACAATGTTTTCAGTAATGGTATTTTAATTATAGTATGTTAATAAAGCTTAATATGTGCAACTCATTTTATTAACCTAAACTTACTGTAATAGAGGGGAAATAATTTCTTATATTTAATTTTACAACTCTAATGATTTTAAAATAATTGATAAATGTAGCTTATAAATCTAATTCTTGAGTATACAGTTTATAACTATAGATATTTCATGTTGTTATAATGACCTTCTCTTGGGTAAGTAATTTACTGTAAATTTGTGAAAACTAACCCAACTACAAATGAACATTTATGATTAAAGTTTTGATTGAAATGCAGCACGTAACATAATGATTTAAGACAAGTATAAATTCTACAATGTTGTATGCATCTTGGAGCATCAAAAGAGTAGAATTTTGTCTGCTATAAAGCATGAAATTTAAATTAGTAGTGAACATTACCCATTTAATTGTACTTGTTTTGTATCATAGTTGATTTTCTTAACATTTTGTATTTATCTGGTATTTGTGCAATTTTAAGTGAAGGAGAATTGATTCAAGTATTAGGCACTAAACACAGGCAATCATTCAGATATGGCAAGGCTAACTTAAGTGACTGAGGATTATGTGCTAACCTCAATAGGTAGCCAAGTACAGCAAATGCATATTTAACTCGGTAAAGTCTGCCTTATTCTTAAAAGTCAAATTACTCCAGAAATTTTCAAAATTTGGTATAGATTGTACAGAATAATTTACATTGGAGAAACACGTTGGTAGTAAGAGGAATTTTTGGAAATGGTAGTTAGACAAGTGTGATTTGTGAAAATGGGTGGCTGTAAGTGGGTAGATCAATCGACTCTTGAATCAGGATTCTCAACCTTCAGTCAGCTGGTTTACATGTTCCTGAACCCTATGGGGTCTCATAAAATCTAAATTTGCTGCTTTCTGTGGAATCTGATTACATGACTTTACTTTCTAGTTCAATTCATTTCATTACTATACAGGCACTGATCAAAATTTTTGTAATATTCCCATGACTGAATTAGGTACAATATTTTGTTGTTGTTGTCTTTCTCTTATACTACCTATATTAGTCTCCCTATATGCTCTAGCTATTCCTTAAATATTTTGGATTTGATGATCATGCCAGCCCTGTGTATTTTTTAAGTGATGAGGTGATTTACTGTCTTTAGTCTCTCCTGAACTTGAACCTATGTCGTTTGTAACTAGTCAGGTGAAGTGCCTCTACAATTTCTACAGCTTTGGTTCGTATTTTAACAAATAATAGCTCACTGAAGGTCATCTTAGGACTATCAGCTTCATTGGCCAAGATCACTTTTGCTCCAGTAAACCCAATTACCTGCATTTACAACAGTCAAACTATCGGCAGTATTACAGCATGCAACCAGAATGCATTACCACAAATTTTATAATAGACTACCAAATGAACATGCCTGCAAAAAATTTAATCACATCTAGCTTAGTCGCATGTCCCCAGCTTCAAAACTCATTTTCAAAAGGTAGCACGAAAACCTTGTTAGCTCAAAATGAAAACAAACCATAGAATTTGGTTTTAAATATCCTCAACAGCTTTCCCAGGGCTCCAGCTGGTTCTTGTAATATTGAGTCCATCTACAAAAATCATCTAAAATATGATTGGAATCATATTAGAGAGCTACCATTCATTCCCTAATATTTCCCATGCTTTAAGCGTCGATTTCATTGGGCAAAATTTGAATTTCAACTCGTCATATGAAGGATAACGACAGAGAGAACCTGTAAAGATTTAACTACATCTAGCATATTTCACATTTTTCTAGCACAAGCATATTAATCTCATTTTCAAAGGAAAAAGGGCCCCTATTTTAATGAACAAAAACCTCTGCAAATGAAAAAAGCACAGAATTTGGTTTTAAATATGCCCAGTGGCTTTTCCAAAGCCCCAAATGTTTGTTGTAATGTTGCCTCCATATATATGAACTTAGTCCCATCATCCGCAAATCCACACTTCCCCCGCTTCTTGTTGGTGGAATCAGGTGAGTAAATCCTGCATGGAAAGTGTGTCAACCAGAGATTCACCGAATAGAGGTTTCACTGTGTAGTGAAGACCACACAATTATAAATCACATCAGGGAAGCATAGTGAAGACCAATTATTGACCACATCAGAGGAGTATAGTGGAGACCAATTATTGACCACATCAGGTTAGTATAGTGAAGACTGCACAATTATTGATCACATCAGGGGAGCATAGTGGAGACCACCTAACTATTGATCACATCAGAGGAACATAGTGGAGACCAATTATTAACCACACCCAGGGAGTACTGTATAGTGAAGACCACACAGTTATTGATCACATCACAAGTAAATGAAGGCAAATTATTGACCACATCCAGGGAGTATAGTGAAGACCACACAATTATTTATCACATCAGGGAGTGATGTGATCACAATTATTGTTCATATTATGGGAGCATAATGAAGACCACACCAGGGAGGATAGTGGAGACCCTCAATTATTAATCACCTTAGAAAGAGCATAATGGAGACCACTCAATTATTGATCATATTAGGAAGGAGCATAGTGGAGACCACACAATTCACCTAGTTTCTCAATGTTTGCTGACGACGCCAAAATTATGAGAAGGATTAAGACAGAGGAGGACAGCTTGAGGCTTCAAGAAGACCTGGACAAGCTGCAGGAATGGTCGAACAAATGGATGTTAGAGTTTAACCCAAGCAAATGTAATGTAATGAAGATAGGGGTAGGAAACAGGAGACCAGATACAAGGTATCACTTGGGAGATGAAATACTTCAAGAGTCAGAGAGAGAGAAAGACCTGGGGGTTGATATCACGCCAGACCTGTCCCCTGAAGCTCATATCAAGAGGATAACATCAGCAGCATATGCCAGGTTGGCTAATATAAGAACGGCCTTTAGAAACTTGTGTAAGGAATCTTTCAGAACATTATATACCACATATGTCAGACCAATCCTGGAGTATGCGGCTCCAGCATGGAGTCCATATCTAGTCAAGCATAAGACTAAACTGGAAAAGGTTCAAAGCTTTGCCACCAGACTAGTACCCGAGCTGAGAGGTATGAGCTACGAGGAGAGACTACGGGAATTGAACCTCACTTCGTTGGAAGACAGAAGAGTTAGGGGGGACATGATCACCACATTCAAGATTCTCAAGGGAATCGACAGGGTTGATAAAGACAGGCTATTTAACACAAGGGGCACACGCACTAGGGGACACAGGTGGAAACTGAGTGCCCAAATGAGCCACAGAGATATTAGAAAGAACTTTTTTAGTGTCAGAGTGGTTGACAAATGGAATGCATTAGGAAGCAATGTGGTGGAGGCTGACTCCATACACAGTTTCAAGTGTATATATGATAGAGCCCAATAGGCTCAGGAACCTGTACACCTGTTGATTCACGGTTGAGAGGCGGGACCAAAGAGCCAGAGCTCAACCCCCACAAGTACAACTAGGTGAGTACAATTGACAACATCCAGGAAGTACAGTAGAGACCCCCACAATTATTGATAACATCAGGGATGCATTATGGAGATCAGTCATTGATCACATCAGAGAAGTGTGATCACAATTATTTATCACAACAAATAAGAGTGGTGATCACAATTATTTATCACAACAAATAAGAGTGGTGATCACAATTATTGTTCACATCAGGGGAATGTAGTGGATTCTACAGATCTCATAAGGGGAGTGTAGAAGAGATCACAATTATTGATCACATCAGGGAAGTGTAGCAGAAATCACAATTATTGATCATATCAGGGGAGAGTAGTGATCACAATTATTGATCACATCAAAGTGTAGAGATGGTATAACAGACTACTTGAACAGGGTATTGTAGCAGTGGTCTACATCCTCGTCTCAAAACTGAGGGATCCAGATTTAACTCATGGACAGAGCAGAAACAGTTAAAACTGTTAGAAACAGCACATTTCCTTCCACCTGGTGCCTCTGTTCACCTAACAGTAACTAAGGAACCTGGGAGTTATGCCACTGTTGTCGAGCGCATCGTGGAAAGGTCAGTAACTGGCCTAGGGAAATCTCATAAGCCTAAGTATAGGCTACCAGTCCCCAACAATGGAAATTATTAGTAATACACTGCAAGGCTACAAAACAAACGAGACTACCATAAGATTTAATATCCAATAAAAAGTTAAAACCCATTTGACGCAACCTCACTGAACCCAATACGTGAGCCACACATAATATTCTTTCTAAGAAATACTTCAGTGACAGCAGGCCAAACAGCGGCTCTATGTCTTTTGACCCCTTATAAGAAAATACCACTTAAATATTGCTCACATTTTTGTAGTCATTAAGGTAATCTTTGGTTATACTTATTTAATTGTGCACTTAATAATTTACAGACAACTGGTACTGGCAGTCGTGTGAGAAGTGGGTAATACTCTACACCGCCAACACATTTCACTAAGTTAAATGTGGTGTCATGAACCCATAGATTTCTGTGCCCACTAATTCCGAAGGTGCATTTAATTGTATGTATTAGTGTAGGTGATTAAATATGCATGTGTATGTATATATGTACATGTATGCATGAGTATGTGTACATGTATATATAACATTAATAATTTTGTAACTAGCGTCAAAAGATTGTCATTTGCTTAGCTAAGCGAACTAGAGGGTTCAGTTCCTGAACCGATTATGTGCCTCCGTAATCCTTTACACCACCGCCCCAGAGATGAGTATGGGGTGCATAATGAAGAAAGAAATTGAGAAATTTAATTACATTTAACTAATTTTATATTTCTCACTATACAGTATATAGGTTAGGCCTATATCAAGGTCCCCCCAAAGGTCGATATACTGACTGTCCCCAGGATGCAACTGCACAACAACCTGACACTCCTGGCTACCTGTTTGATGCTAGATGAACAGAGGCATTAGGTAATGGAAAAGTGCTTAACCGTTTCTGTCCCGCATGGGATTCGAACCCGGCATTCCCGATTGTGAGTAGAAAACAAACCTAACTGTACTACCGAGACACTTACCAAACCCAGTGTTTCATAACTGACACTCACAGACATTGTGATAAAACTTAACTCGTCAGTGGCGTTCTCAGGTAGAGTGGTGTCACTCGCCATCACTCTACTCCCCCGGCACTCGATATCAGCTACCTTCAACATGTGACTCTGCTGTTATCATCTATAGCTCCCGGTTGTGTTTACTGCTAGGTGAACAGTTGTTCAGAAGGCAGCCCGTAATAGTTGCTTAGCTCCAAGACACCTATTTGCTACAAGAGGACCAGTTCCCTAGGATATAACCCACATCTGTCAAATAAGATTGATTGATAGAGATTAAGACAGCCAAGAGGTGACAGGGGCATGAATAACCTGTAAGTGGAGGGTGTTTGGAGCCATTACCAGTACCAGCAGTTGATACTGTAGATGTGTGGATGGATGAGGTCTACATGGCCGCTCGCAGTGTGTAGCCTGCAGGAGGCTTGGCTGTTAAGGCTGGTGGCTTGTGGACGGAGGCGTCACGTGGCGTCTGCTATCCTCGGCATAATATGGCGGTTCTCCGTCGTCGTGCCGTCGACCAGGTTGTCGTCGTGGAATTCTGGCTGTCCGTCGGGGCTTGTAGTACTCGGGTTCGTAAGTCAAATAACTACCAAGTACATATTTACAGCGTGTTGAAAGGCATCAGGTGTAAGGAAACATGCCCAAACATCTTGCCCTGTCCACTAACGGAGTGGCTCCAATCCTGCGAGCCGGCTGCACTATCTGCTTGCTTTACACTAAATGTAAACTTACTTTGCTATAAATGAGGCATCTTCCTTATTTTCAAGTATAAACTTGAATTGATTTATTATCTTCTTGAATAGGAAGAGATGGATAGTAATTTAGAAAGGGTTGAACGTCCACGGTGCAACAAAGTTCCGTTGTTTATTAATTATTCGTTGTGTGTTGTAGTTATAGTATTTCTTTTTAAAGGATGCTGATCTTTTAAATCTGAACTTATTCAATTTATATCCATGGTTTCGTGTTCTTTACTGTGTTCATATATTTAATATCTTATTAATATCCCTCTTGTTATCATGCACTTGTACACTTCAGTCATGTCATCCCTAACTCTTCGCCTTTCTACAAAACGTAAACAAAACTTTTCAGTCTCTCTTCATATCGAATATGTCTAATTTGTGGGATTAAGACTTGTTATTCAACGTTGGACGCGTTCTAGTGAATTTATGTCCATTCTATAGTATGGTGACCAAAACTAAACTACATAATCTAAATGGGGCCCTATCAATAGCAAGATATAACGAAGAATTACATCAAGTGCTTTATTGATAACGCTTCTAAAAATAAATTCCAGTATCCTATTTGCCTTCTTTTTGAACATTTATGCATTGCTTTTTTGGCTTTAAATTCGTACTAATCATGACCTTCAGATCTTTTTAGCAATTAGGCATCTACATTTCAACACCATCCAGCTGATATCCCGTAACTCTATCATCACCACCTAGCCTCACAACCTTATATTTGTCAGCATTAAGGCATCTGCTAATTTTTCGACCACTTAAAACGTCTCTAGATCGTCTTGAAGTGATTTTGAGTCTTCTTCTGAGTGTATTTCCCGCCCAATTTTCGTATCGTCTGAAAATTGTCAAATATTTTTGCTCAATCCTGAATATAAATAATTTATATATAAATATAATTTACAAATTCTCTACACTATATTATATATATATATATATATATATATATATATATATATATATATATATATATATATATATATATATATATATATATATATATGTATATTACTCTGGTTCGTGTCATGCCACTGGGAGGCATAACATTGGGCTTATGCCTAATTCACGCTTAATTAATATGAGGGAGGAAGATACTGGAAGTGCTTCAATACAGTCTCCAGACCTCCCCCTTGTTTATATATATATATATATATATATATATATATATATATATATATATATATATATATATATATATATATATATATATATATATATATATATATATATATATATATAATTTGTGAGGGTACCACCTCTGGTGCCAATGTGGGGACCCATAGCCTCGGAGAAGAAAATAAAAAGTATTCAGAGGAGACCTTGTGGTTTCTCACTGAACACTAATATTATCTTCTCCTACCACCCCCATTCTCATGTATGTACACATATATATTTGCTTTATTTATATATATATATATATATATATATATATATATATATATATATATATATTTTATTAGCTATATAATAATATATTATATATTATTAGCTACGGCTTATATATATATATATATATATATATATATATATATATATATATATATATATATATATATATATATATATATATATATATATATATATATAAATAAAGCAAATATATATGTGTACATATATATATATATGTTATTATGGATGTTTAATATTATAGTGTATTTTGATATCAAACATTACAACTCCTTCAGTTGCTAAAAATATTTTACATTTTTATAAAATGTATAAATGGGAGGTATATATATATATATATATATATATATATATATATATATATATATATATATATATAAATAAAGCAAATATATATGTGTACATACATGAGAATGGGGGTGGTAGGAGAAGATAATATTAGTGTTCAGTGAGAAACCACAAGGTCTCCTCTGAATACTTTTTATTTTCTTCTCCGAGGCTATGGGTCCCCACATTGGCACCAGAGGTGGTACCCTCACAAATTTATATATATATATATACCTTTCCAAGGATGCATATATATATATGCATATATATATATGCAATTTATATATATATATATATGACCTTTCCAAGGATGCAATCCCACAACAGTTGGCTAACTACCGGGTACGTATTTACTGCTAAGTGAACAGAGGTATTATGTGAAAGAAACGTGGCCAACCATTTTATGTCCTGCCCGGGATTCCCGATTGTGAGGCGAGACGGAACCTAACTGTACTACCGAGACCCTAATATAAATAGGAGCTGCCTCGTATAGACCAATAGGTCATGTGCATATTACGTTCTTGTCATGGTGTTAGGTGAGGCGGCCGACCTGACTAGCTGTGGCTCCATCAAGATGCTCGCTCTCATATTGATTCTTGCCCCCAGACCTTACTCCCGTCACGCGTCGCCCTCAACACCATCCACAATCACACCCAACCATTCATATCCATTTCTTCATATTTACATTTGTTTTACATCCAAAAAATTAATGATTTGTAAAAATCCATTAAAATGTGCCATGAAGTCGTAAAAAGAAATAAATACAAATAAAAGTGAGGGAAGTGGTTGGTGGAAGGTTGCGCCTGCGCGCTGAGGTGCACATCGAGGGGACACTGGGAGTGCTTCAACACAGTCTCCAGACCTCCTCTTGCTTAAGGCACTCGCTTCCCGCGTTCCTTCCTTATCTCGTACCGTTACGAGTGTTTGGTCGGTTGTTACAGTAGTGCTGGAGGAGGACTGTAAGAGTGTGTGCTGGTGGGCGTGGTGACATGACACGGTAACACCACATCAACTGCCTTGGCTTCACCAAAGGCCGTATCGACCGGCAGTCTCCAGATATCTGACTGTCGGTGAAGAATCAACACAAAAGTATACAGAATAATATACCTCGACAGTTTTTCAATGCTCGGATGTAGCAAAACATAGCTAGATCCTCCACTGCGGAGATCAGGTTACAGTGGCTTATAATATGGACTCTGTACGAAACGATAACTATCAAGGCTACACTATGGCACAGCAACAAACTCAATTCTACACGGAGGGGGCAGATGGGTCACAGAGGTCAGAGGTCAGTGAGGTTCCACCTATGATCCAGGGGTCCAGACCTTACGTGGACCCCAACGCCACTGGCGAGGTCGACCCCACAGCCTACCCGGAGCCAAAAGACGCCACGCACAAGATTCGCGGCCGCTCTGATATTCTTGACATGTTCTGCAACAACGTCAACCAAGAGCTGCTTATCGCCAAGACATTCTACTTTTTCTTCTTCTCTGCCTTCGGGTGTCTGTTCCCCCTGATGGCTATCTACTTCAAACAGATGGGAATGAACCCTCTACAAACCGGTATACTAATTGGTATCAGACCATTCGTGGAGTTTATTGCTGCTCCTTTCTGGGGCTCCATCGCTGATAGGTGAGACCCATATTAATACTCCATAGTCCTACCTAGAAGGCCTATCACCCGTCCCCACCCCCCCGTATCCAAGCTAGTAGGCTGGTGACTCTATATCCTAGCTAGTAGGCTGGTGACTCCATATCCTAGCTAGTAAGCTGGTGACTCCATATCCTAGCTAGTAGGCTCGTGACTCCATATCCTAGCTAGTAGGCTCCTGACTCCATATCCTAGATAGCAGGCTCCTGACTCCATATCCTAGATAGTAGGCTCCTGACTCCATATCCTAGATAGTAGGCTCCTGACTCTATATCCTAGCTAGTAGGCTCCTGACTCCATATCCTAGATAGTAGGCTCCTGACTCCATATCCTAGATAGTAGGCTCCTTACTCCATATCCTAGATAGTAGGATCCTGACTCTATATCCTAGCTAGTAGGCTCCTGACGCCATATCCTATCTAGTAAGCTCGTGGTTCCATATCCTAGCTAGTAGGCTGGTAACTCCATATCCTATCTAGTAGGCTCGTGGTTCCATATCCTAGCTAGTAGGCTGGTAACTCCATATCCTAGCTAGTAGGCTTCTGACTATATCATAGCTAGTAGGATGGCGACTCCATATCCAAGCTAGTAGGCTCGTGACTCCATATCCTAGCTAGTAGGCTCGTGACTCCATATCCTATCTAGTAGGCTCGTGGTTCCATATCCTAGCTAATAGGTTCGTGACTCCATATCCTATCTAGTAGGCTCGTGACTCCATATCCTAGCTAGTAGGCTCGTGACTCCATATCCTATCTAGTAGGCTCGTGGTTCCATATCCTAGCTAGTAGGCTCGTGACTCCATATCCTATCTAGTAGGCTCGTGGCTCCATATCCTAGCTAGTAGGCTGGTGACTCCATATCCTAGCTAGTAGGCTGGTGACTCCATATCCTAGCTAGTAGACTCGTGGCTCCATATCCTATCTAGTAGGCTGGTGACTCCATATCCTATCTAGTAGGCTGGTGACTCCATGTCCTATCTAGTAGGCTCGTGGCTCCATATCCTAGCTAGTAGGCTCGTGACTCCATATCCTATCTAGTAGGATGGTGACTCCATATCCTATCTAGTAGGCTCTTGCCTCCATATCCTATCTAGTAGGCTGGTGACTCCATATCCTATCTAGTAGGCTCTTGGCTCCATATCCTAGCTAGTAGGCTCTTGGCTCCATATCGTAGTTAGTAGGCCCATCACTCCATATCATAGCTAGTAGGATTATCACTATATCCAAACTAGTAGGCCTATCACTCCATGCCCTAGCTAGAAGGCCTATGACTCCAAATCCTAGCTAGTAGGCCTGTGACTCCATATACTAGCAATTAGCCGTAGTACTCGGTTCTGCTATAGATTAAGCCTATCAATTGATTCCGTTACGTGGTAGGCCTTAGGCCTACCACGTAATTTAATTGATATAATTATCAATTATATTTAATTTATATTATAATATTTAATTGATATAATTTAATTGATATTACGTAATAACGTAAATAATTGAATTGATTTATATAAATCAATTCAACTAGATAGGAAGGCTGTCTCTCGATTCCCTTTGCTAGTAGGTTTATCACGTCTCCAATTCCAATTCTCGCGGTTAATATCACTAGGCATTTCTAGGTAGCTAGCTATTTCTAGCTAGCTAGTTATTACTCCAAACAATTATTACAAGATAATTTCTCGCATCTTGCCATCAATGCATATATGTTTTATCTCTGTTTTTTATTTCCTTGGATAATTTTCAATAGTGTTTGCACCCTTGGTGTTGGCAGCTGGTGGGTCCTTCAGTGTTGCTTCCTTGAACATACTCCATCTTCAGTGGCCTAGTCTGACACACTGACAAGTGCTCTAGCCTGACACACTGACAAGTGCTCTAGCCTGACACACTGACAAGTGCTCTACCCTGACACACTGACAAGTGCTCTACCCTGACACACTGACAAGTGCTCTAGCCTGACACACTGACAAGTGCTCTAGCCTGACATACTGACAAGTGATCTAGCCTGACACACTGACAAGTGCCCTAGCCTGACATACTGACAAGTGCTCTAGCCTGATACACTGACAAGTGCCCTAGCCTGACACACTGACAAGTGCCCTAGCCTGACATACTGACAAGTGCTCTAGCCTGATACACTGACAAGTGCCCTAGCCTGACATACTGACAAGTGCCCTAGCCTGACATACTGACAAGTGCTCTAGCCTGACACACTGACAAGTGCTCTAGCCTGACATACTGACAAGTGCTCTAGCCTGATACACTGACAAGTGCCCTAGCCTGACATACTGACAAGTGCCCTAGCCTGACATACTGACAAGTGCTCTAGCCTGACACACTGACAAGTGCTCTAGCCTGACATACTGACAAGTGCTCTAGCCTGACATACTGACAAGTGGCCTAGCCTGACACACTGACAAGTGCCCTAGCCTGACATACTGACAAGTGCCCTAGCCTGACATACTGACAAGTGCTCTAGCCTGACACACTGACAAGAGCCCTAGCCTGACATACTGACAAGTGCCCTAGCCTGACACACTGACAAGTGCTCTAGCCTGACACACTGACAAGTGCTCTAGCCTGACATACTGACAAGTGCCCTAGCCTGACACACTGACAAGTGCTCTAGCCTGAGATACTGACAAATGCCCTAGCCTGACATACTGACAAGTGCCCTAGCCTGACATACTGACAAGTGCTCTATCCTGACATACTGACAAGTGCTCTAGCCTGACACACTGACAAGTGCTCTAGCCTGACATACTGACAAGTGCCCTAGCCTGATACACTGACAAGTGCCCTAGCCTGGCATACTGACAAGTGGCCTAGCCTGACATACTGACAAGTGGCCTAGCCTGACACACTGACAAGTGCCCTAGCCTGACATACTGACAAGTGCCCTAGCCTGACACACTGACAAGTGCCCTAGCCTGACATACTGACAAGTGCTCTAGCCTGATACACTGACAAGTGCTCTAGCCTGACATACTGACAAGTGCTCTAGCCTGACATACTGACAAGTGGCCTAGCCTGACACACTGACAAGTGCCCTAGCCTGACATACTGACAAGTGCCCTAGCCTGACATACTGACAAGTGCTCTAGCCTGACACACTGACAAGTGCTCTAGCCTGAGATACTGACAAATGCCCTAGCCTGACATACTGACAAGGGCCCTAGCCTGACATGCTGACAAGTGCCCTAGCCTGACACACTGACAAGTGCTCTAGCCTGACACACTGACAAGTGCTCTAGCCTGACATACTGACAAGTGCCCTAGCCTGACACACTGACAAGTGCTCTAGCCTGAGATACTGACAAATGCCCTAGCCTGACATACTGACAAGTGCCCTAGCCTGACATACTGACAAGTGCTCTAGCCTGACATACTGACAAGTGCTCTAGCCTGACACACTGACAAGTGCTCTAGCCTGACATACTGACAAGTGCCCTAGCCTGACATACTGACAAGTGGCCTAGCCTGACATACTGCCAAGTGCCCTAGCCTGACATACTGACAAGTGGCCTAGCCTGACATACTGACAAGTGGCCTAGCCTGACACACTGACAAGTGCCCTAGCCTGACATACTGACAAGTGCCCTAGCCTGATACACTGACAAGTGCCCTAGCCTGGCATACTGACAAGTGGCCTAGCCTGACATACTGACAAGTGGCCTAGCCTGACACACTGACAAGTGCCCTAGCCTGACATACTGACAAGTGCCCTAGCCTGACACACTGACAAGTGCCCTAGCCTGACATACTGACAAGTGCTCTAGCCTGATACACTGACAAGTGCCCTAGCCTGACATACTGACAAGTGCCCTAGCCTGACATACTGACAAGTGCTCTAGCCTGATACACTGACAAGTGCCCTAGCCTGACATACTGACAAGTGCTCTAGCCTGATACACTGACAAGTGCCCTAGCCTGACATACTGACAAGTGCTCTAGCCTGACATACTGACAAGTGCCCTAGCCTGACATACTGACAAGTGCCCTAGCCTGACACACTGACAAGTGCTCTAGCCTGATACACTGACAAGTGCCCTAGCCTGACATACTGACAAGTGCTCTAGCCTGATACACTGACAAGTGCCCTAGCCTGACATACTGACAAGTGCCCTAGCCTGACACACTGACAAGTGCTCTAGCCTGGTACACTGACAAGTGCCCTAGCCTGACACACTGACAAGTGCCCTAGCCTGACATACTGACAAGTGCCCTAGCCTGACACACTGACAAGTGCCCTAGCCTGACATACTGACAAGTGCCCTAGCCTGACACACTGACAAGTGCCCTAGCCTGACATACTGACAAGTGCTCTAGCCTGACACACTGACAAGTGCTCTAGCCTGACACACTGACAAGTGCTCTAGTCTGACACAGTTACATGCGGCACAGTCTGGAACATACCGATTTTGTGGGCTGTCAAGATGACGGTAGCCTTCTGCTGCCGGTATTTCAATATTTATACAGACAGACAGATATTAGAGTCCTCCGTAACACTGGTAACAACATTTCAATCTCCCGTGTTATTAGGGATTTAAATTAGACGTTTAAGATGCCAAGCGTCCAGCACGGCACGCCGGCCTGGATGCTCTCACTAATGGCCCCGTTAAAGAAGTGGTTAGCTTACTCAGCTATAGTCTTGCACTTTCCCAGTCTTTGCTATTGTAAACATCCTCTCCTATATTTTTGTTGTTTTTGGTATTGCAGAGCCTTGTATTTTATAGTTCCGAGTTCAATCCCCCGATGGTCCGAGTTAATGAGATGTTATTACCCCCGAGACTTCAGTAGTAAGGAGTTTATATTAGTGTTTGTGTCTCCTTAGGTTCAAGAAGGGGAAGTTGATGCTGCTGTGCTCGGTGGGGTCGTGGATCCTCTTCACGCTGGCAATTGGGTTCATCCAGCCCCCAGCCACCTCCTGCGTCGTCTACAACGGCACTAACCACATACTCAAGCACGCCTTCTCAAACGTGAGTTTTTTTCTACCACAGACGTGGCCAGACATTTACAATGCTAACCAGCACATATACATTTTCTTCTGGACAGGATTAAAGGGTTAAAGACAGGGTTAAAGATGTGTTGAACATATTGTTCAGGGGTTTACTGGACAATCTCACACGTGAGTCCTCGTGCGCTACTCAACCATCCCCTCACACTTGTCACTACACCAGTGTCACTCTTGCCCACTCTTATTTTCTCACAAAACAATTCTCCAATTTGTATGTTGTGTATATTATCCCTCAAAGGCTACCTACGTGAGGGATGGATAGGCATAATCCCATATACAGAGGTCGATACAAGGATAATATGAGGTCATGACGACGAATGACCCAATTTCAACCATTTTTAGAGAGAAATGTATGTAGTAGACATGACAGAGGAAAAATAAAGTGGTTAGAAAGACGGGGTCCAAGAACAAATTGCTCGATTCTCCAGATACAAAGAGTAAAGATGCAAATAGTAAATACACACACACACACACACACACACACACACACTAAGGGGGCCTCGTAGCCTGGTGGATAGCGCGCAGGACTCGTAATTCTGTGGCGCGGGTTCGATTCCCGCACGAGGCAGAAACAAATGGGCAAAAGTTTCTTTCACCCTAAGTGCCCCTGTTACCTAGCAGTAAATAGGTACCTGGGAGTTAGTCAGCTGTCACGGGCTGCTTCCTGGGGTGTGTGTGTGTGTGGTGTGAAGAAAAAAAAAAAAAAAAAAAAAAGTAGTTAGTAAACAGTTGATTGACAGTTGAGAGGCGGGCCGAAAGAGCAAAGCTCAACCCCCGCAAAAACACAACTAGTAAACACACAACTAGTAAACACACACAGTATTGCAGAGCCAGAGAGAAAGATCTGGGAGTTGATATCACAACAAACCTGTCTCCTGAAGCCCACATCAAAAGAATAACATCAGCGGCCTATGCGAGGCTGGCTAACATCAGAACTGCTTTCAGAAACCTGTGTAAGGAATCCTTCAGAGCCTTGTATACCACATATGTAAGGCCAATCCTGGAGTATGCGGCTCCAGCTTGGAGTCCGTACCTAGTCAAGCACAAGACGAAGCTGGAAAAAGTTCAGAGGTATGCCACTAGTTTAGTCCCAGAACTAAGAGGCATGAGTTATGAGGACAGACTACGTGAACTGCACCACACGTCGCTGGAAGACAGAAGAGCTAGGGGGGACATGATCACCACATACAAAATTCTCAGGGGAATTGACAGGGTGGACAAGGATGGATTATTTAACACGGGTGGCACACGCACAAGGGGACACAGGTGGAAGCTGAGTACCCAAATGAGCCACAGAGACATTAGAAAGAACTTTTTCAGTGTCATAGTAGTTAGTAAATGGAATGCACTAGGAAGTGATGTGGTGGAGGCTGACTCCATACACAGTTTCAAATGTAGATATTGTAACACGGGGGGGAGGGGGTTCTTGTGTTCTCTGTCCCCCTTTCTTTCTCTCTGCCCGTATTTTAACTTTGTTCTCTCTACCAAGGGACTCCAAAACATTTACTTGAGCCGACTCCACGCCACGTGGTCTTAAGACGATTGACCGACTTATGATTCTACAACCCGTATGACGTGAAATAGGCTTTAGCAAAGCTCTAGAATCGCCTTCGCCGCCACCACCAGACCAGTAACACTGAGCAATGATCGAGGTCTGGATCGATCATGCCAATCAATCAACCTTGGGGCTTGATCCCCACTAGTAACATATAACCTTGGATCTTAAGTGTAGACTTAACTAAAAATCAACGGGAATGATGAATTCCGATTCGGTGTTAGAATCGGCGCCCAATTCAACTCGGCGTCGTGGGGACCACGTGACAAGGACCAATTCACATAAATATAACACACACATGGAATTAATGAAAATGCACATTACTAACTAATCAATTTATTAAAAATTAAGCAAACTCTAAATAACTGGCACTCCCTGTCAATTAACACTCCCTGACTTTACATTTGAGGCAATGAGTTGACCTATTCCCTATCTAGACCTCTGAGCAACTTTACCTTCTATAGACCAGCTAGATGTTTGTGCTGTCTTGAGGCCGATGATGGAGGCCACCTTGCCCGAGTTGCTCCTCTTCCCACACTGTTTCTGCTCGTCTGGTCTTCCCCAGACCAGAGCATTGTATTGTTGCGCCTAGTATCTAAGTTACTTGCAAGGCTTAAGTTTAACAATTAACCTCTGTTGCACTGAATGATCCAGATTGGTTGAATTATTTTAACTGAAGTTAACTGAAGGTAAATTACACAAGCATCTTAAGGAAGAGCTATTCCCGATCACAAAATGGCTATTTGACCTTTGAGAAATAGAGGACATGGAAACTGGTGACCTGTGACCGCCAGGTCACTCCGCTATACGGCCTAGTTCTGGCTCGTGACGTCACTGATGGTGACTTAACTCATTCTTCTAATAATTAGAATACTCTCGATATACTAAACAGTAATACTATACAATACAATTTGAATACAATATGAATGAAGGCTAATTTCTCTAAATTACTGAATACTATAGAATGATTCATTATACGAAACTTGTGAACAAAGGCGTCAATTATCTTCACCGCCAATTCCCTCAGGGGCTGCTCCCGGGGTCACCACGTGGGTCCAGCTGCCCATTCTCCCTTGTAGATAAAACATTCTGGATAAGTCTTACAACAAACCTAGTTTGTTACAATATGACAGAGCCCAGTAGGCTCAGGAATATGTACATCAGTTGATTGACGGTTGAGAGGCGGAACCAAAGAGCCAGAGCTCAACCCCCGCAAACACAACTAGGTGAGTACAACTAGGTGAGTACACACACACACACACATACACACACACACACACACACACACACACACACACACACACACACACACACACACACACACACACACACACACACATACACACACTTTGTGACAACCCATCAACATGGGTTCAGGGAGGGTAAATCTTGCCTTACAGGCTTGATAGAACTCTACGATCAGGTGACAAAGATTAAGCAAGAAAGAGAAGACTGCATTTTTTTGGACTGTCGGAAAGCCTTTGACACAGTACCCCATAAAAGGTTGATGCATAAGCTGGAGAAACAGGCAGGAGTAACTGGTAGGGCGCTCCAGTGGATAAGGGAGTACCTAAGCAATAGGAAGCAGAGAGTTATAGTGAGGGGTGAGACCTCAGAATGGCGTGAAGTCACCAGTGGAGTCCCAAAGGGCTCTGTGGTTGGACCTGTCCTTTTTTTGATATACGTAAATGATCTCCCAGAGGGTATATACTCATTCCTCTCAATGTTTGCTGACGACGCCAAAATTATGAGAAGGATTAAGACAGAGGAGGACAGCTTGAGGCTTCAAGAAGACCTGGACAAACTGCAGGAATGGTCGAACAAATGGCTATTAGAGTTTAACCCAAGCAAATGTAATGTAATGAAGATAGGGGTAGGAAGCAGGAGACCAGATACAAGGTATCACTTGGGAGATGAAATACTTCAAGAGTCAGAGAGAGAGAAAGACCTGGGGGTTGATATCACGCCAGACCTGTCCCCTGAAGCTCATATCAGGAGGATAACATCAGCAGCATATGCCAGGTTGGCTAACATAAGAACGGCCTTTAGAAACTTGTGTAAGGAATCTTTCAGAACATTATATACCACATATGTCAGACCAATCCTGGAGTATGCGGCTCCAGCATGGAGTCCATATCTAGTCAAGCATAAGACTAAACTGGAAAAGGTTCAAAGGTTTGCCACCAGACTAGTACCCGAGCTGAGAGGTATGAACTACGAGGAGAGACTACGGGAATTGAACCTCACTTCGTTGGAAGACAGAAGAGTTAGGGGGGACATGATCACCACATTCAAGATTCTCAAGGGAATCGACAGGGTTGATAAAGACAGGCTATTTAACACAAGGGTTAAATGATATAAAGATGATATTCATTCCCAAAACCAAGAAAGACCCCCACCAACCTGGCAACTACCGTCCAATCTCCCTCTTAGACACAACAGGCAAGTGCTTTGAAAAAATCATGTCAAACCGTCTTAACTACTACATGGAGTACAACAACCTCTTCACAGAAAAACAGTTTGGCTTTCGAGCACATAGATCAACCCAGCACGCAATAAACATCATCTACGACGCCGTAAGCTCAATTTGCAAGCAAAACTAGGTAGCTTTGATTGCGACGAGGGACGTACACAAGGCCTTCGACAGCCTGTGGCATGATGGTCGTGTGTACAAATTAGCAGACTTACCAGCGCAAAACTGGACCCTCCTCAGGCTGATCAGAAATTTCCTAAAGAATAGGCAAGTTACCCCCAGCTTCAAGGCGAAAGAGGCCGCAGCCTTCACCCCAACAGCCCAAGGATCATGCTTGAGCCCGGTTCTCTTCAACATCTTTGTAAACGACCTGCCCCAACCAGAGTATAGGGACACCATTATCGTGCAGTTTGCGGACGACGTAACACACGTAATAACATCTAACCCTAGCAGCAAAGCAGCCCAGCATGCAACTGTAACCCGTAAGGCAAACGTAGAACTAGCCAGGACTGCTAACTGGGAAAGGAAATGGAGAATCACCACTAACCCAGAAAAGATCCAATTAAGCACTGTCGGCTGTATGGCTTTCTCAATCAAAAATGAGGGGGGGATAAGAATCAGGGGTGAACCCATAGCCATCTCAAACTCCAACACAGTGCTCGGATACAAGTTGAAGGCTACTCAACTCCTCCCAGTTCGTATCCCAGAAGACAGCGTTGGCCCAGGGTTCACTGGCGAGGCTCTTCCGTTTCAAGCAAGCCCCATCCCACATCAAGCTCCACCTGTACAGAATGATCATAAGGCCTAACCTGGAATACCCTTACGTTCCCCTGAACCTCACCAACACAAATCCAACATGCTGAAGATATAGCGGGTACAAAATAAAGCACTTCGCTTTGCGGAGGGCCTGACACTGATGGACAGGGTAAGAACTGACCAAATCCTTGAGACGCTCAACATGAAGCCAATGAACATCAGGCTCAGCTACCTGGCCAGAAGACAGCTGTACCGCATGAAGAACATGTATGTCCCAGACCCAGAAGATCCCTACGTAGCAGTAAACACCACCAGCGACTACGAGATCCACGAACCACCACACAGAACCACAAGAATCACTCTCCAACAAAAAGTGATCAGACCCATCCATGACCAGGCCTTTCCAAGACCTCAAATACTAAGCGGCCTGCCAGACGACCCAGATGAGTGGCCCATCCCGGACCCGATCTACACCAAATGAAGAATAAAGAAAAAAATACATAAAAAATAAATACATAAAAAAAATAATAAATAAATAAAAAAAAATAAGTAAATAAATAAAACTACTACAAAAAAATATAAAACCAAAAAACCCTTTGTCGTGGTATCAGAAGTGTAACTACCCTGATGTTGCTAAGATTAGCCTCCTTCAGCCAACTCCATCGGCTCTAGTGTTTTAGGACACCAACAAGATCACAAACACTAGCCCCCCCAGCCAATGTACTGACAACCCAACATAACACATACGCAAACAAACGACACATACACATATGTCAACCCATGGTGGACAGGCCACCAAACTTTCAAACCTCTCTCTCTCTACACCCGCATCCTCTTCCTGAATTTCATCTCCCCATCCCTCTACCTCCCCTATCCTTTCCAATCCCTTTGGACATCAAAGCTAAAGTTCAATTACTACATAACTGGCAACATGGCAATGGGAGGGCCAGTTAATCCCTGAACCAATAAATCCCTGAACTATATGTTTAACAAATTTCTAACCCTGTCCATACATACACATACACTCTGTCGTAGCTCAGTCGATTAAGGCAGTGTCTGGGATGCTCCCGGACGCAGGTTCGAATCCTCATCACGGCCCTTGTAGATTTGTTCATTTGTTCGATGTGTCTTTTACATAGTGTCATTAATGTGCATTTACAAAGGTGAAATGTAATTCTGATCAGCTTCCACATATACTTTATACATATACATACATATATACACACACACATATTATATATATATATATATATATATATATATATATATATATATATATATATATATATATATATATATATATATATATATATATATATATATATATATATATATATATATATATATATATATATGTCGTACCTAGTAGCCAGAACGCACTTCTCAGCCTACTATGCAAGGCCCGTTTTGCCTAATAAGCCAAGTTTTCCTGAATTAATATATTTTCTCTAATTTTTTTCTTATTAAATGATAAAGCTAACCATTTCATTATGTATGAGGTCAATTTTTTTTATTGGAGTTAAAATTAACGTAGATATATGACCGAACCTAACCAACCCTACCTAACCTATCTTTATAGGTTAGGTTAGGTTAGCCCTAACCTAACCTATAAAGCCCTAACCTAACCACCCACCTTCTGTCATAACTCACTGTATTTCTCATTTCTAAACTTTACCTTCACTTGTGCCACTCCATCCTCTGTACTAAAAAAAAATGCCAAAACCCGACCAACACACCGCCCACCCTGCTCTCCCCCCCCCCCACCCACCACCCGACCAACACACCGCCCACCATGCTCCCCCCACCCACCACCCGACCAACACACGAGGCCTAGGGGCCTCGTAGCCTGGTGGATAGCGCGCAGGGCTCGTAATTCTGTGGCGCGGGTTCGATTCCCGCACGAGGCAGAAACAAATGGGCAAAGTTTCTTTCACCCTAAGTGCCCCTGTTACCTAGCAGTAAATAGGTACCTGGGAGTTAGTCAGCTGTCACGGGCTGCTTCCTGAGGTGTGTGTGTGTGGGGTGTGAAAAAAAAAAAAGTAGTTAGTAAACAGTTCATTGACAGTTGAGAGGCGGGCCGAAAGAGCAAAGCTCAACCCCCGTAAAAACACAACTAGTAAACACACACCGCCCACTCTGTACCCCCACCCACCACCCGACCAACACACCGCCCACCCTGCTCTCCCCCCCCCTCCCCCCACCACCACCCGACCAACACACCGCCCACCCTGCACCCCCCACCTGACCAACACACCGCCCAACCTGCTCCCCCACCCACCACCCGATCAACACACCGTTCAACCTGCTCCCCCACCCACCTCCCGACCAACACACCGCCCACCCTGCTCCCCCCCACCCACCCCCCGACCAACACACCGCCCACCCTGCTCCCCCCCACCCACCACCCGATCAACACACTGCCCACCCTGCACCCCCCACCCGACCAACACACCGCCCAACCTGCTCCCCCCCACCCACCTCCCGACCAACACACAGCCCACCCTGCTCCCCTCACCCACCCACCACTCATAATACAACCCCTTGCAACCAATATTCTGGAGATTGACCTTGGAGGAGCATGAGGGACGTATCTCTCTTCCTCTAGCAGGTCCCGTGGTGTGCTGTGGCTTCATCTTATGACCTCTTACCACTCATGTAAGCACATGTCTGCTGGTGCTGAAGATCTTGGCTTGACTATCTTCTCCAGCTGGTGTGTATCCTCCACCAATGATGCTGTTTACAACCACTACGGAGAGAATGTACATATACGGACCGCTCAACCCACAGATAACCTTCATGCTTTATGCTATTATAATTGTAATGACCATAAGTAAAATTAAAGACAAACGATACATTTACCCCAAAAGAGGCTGAAATAAGGAATCCTGTGCCTAATAAACACGATATTTTGATCCTAATTTAGCCTACGAAAAGATAGATTTGGTTGTTTTCTTTTTGGGACGCTATACAAAACATAAACTTGTTTTTTTGGTGCAACAATCTATATTGTGTACAATCCATCAACAATTGCTATAGATACTGTTATTTATAATGAGAGGTTGTCTGGGGTAGAGTTATCGGCCCACACAAGCTGTCGTGACGCCGCTAAACATGTGTCTTACAAGACAGTGGCACGAGTTGACTACTTGCTCCTTTCTCACCTGTGTCGTGCCTTTCACACCAGGGAATAACTTCACACATTTCTACTCTTTAGTTTAATACGCTAGCTTAAGCGACAGATCTATATTTCATTGTTTTAAATTGTATTGACCCTTGTGTTCTTCACTAAACATGCCGAGTATACAATAGAGTGCAGGATTGCCAACGAGAGTAATATATGGTGTGCCTCAGCCTGTGAAGGAGAGGAGCTTGGAGCAGGAGGAGTACGTCGTCCCGGAGGAGGCCATGGAGGAGCCGCCCCTGCACTCCCACCTGGTGGACACTCCCGGGGGTCTTCACCTCCCACAACTCTACCACAAGCGGTCCCTCAAGCAAGCATCCCTAGAAGAACTTGATGAAGAATTCTTGCGGCAGATGCAAGAGTGGCCGAGCAGCAGCATGCCTCAGTCTCACTGGAGGAGGAAGAGAGACACCCCTCTACCAGAGGACCACGTCATAGGCAAATCTCCCAATGTCATCCATTATACCGTATGTTGCTCTTTCTTCACATTTATGTCAATGGAATATCACTTCAAATGTATTAAACCAGTATGACTAACAATATCAATTATATATGTCAAATATATGCCATTTGCATGGCATATGTTTAACATATATAACCGTATTTAACATATATTTTCGGCATATAACCGAATCTTCTCAATATTTCTGAGGTTTTTCTTTGTTTTCTGCCATGGTATAACATTGCACTGTGTTGACCACAACACCAGAGCATACATTATATATTATACACGGAAAAATATGCTTCTATATACTGTTTATGTTAATAGTGCTTTCTTAAATATTGTACAAAGCCTCTATATTGTTTTTCCAAACCTCCTCGACAAATATAGCAGGTATTGTCACTATGTGGATGGAAAATAGTCTAATATACCCTAGAACGTTCACTAAATGGCATACCAAAGTGGACCAAGGTAACGATAAGACTAATTTGATCCTGTGAGCGGTAGTTTGTACACCGTACTCATCTTGTGAGCGGTAGTTTATGCACCCCACACCGATCCTGTGAGCAGTAGTTTATGCCTGTTGTGTTGGACGTCGCCATACTGATATAGTCTGCGCCTATGACAGCAGTACCCTTGCTCTTTGCTCTAGCCTCTACACTAGCGAACCATGTCTCCAAGAGGGTTGGATCCCTTCCACTAAACGGGCGAATGTCAACAGACTGTGTAAGAACTGTGACGGTGTTCGAGTTAGAACATGCAGTATTCGGGGCTTGAGTCATGATTACTGAGTCGCTGCTGGTTGTAGAGGTTAATGAGGACAAGCTACCGAGAGCTGAGGTTGAGAGTTCACTAGCTAAGGGTAAGTGAACGAGCGTAGGGAACTCACTAATTAAGAGTAAGTTACTCTCCGATAGTGAACGAGACCGTAGACTGTAGGGGCAAGTGCGCGAGCGAGGCCTGAACGAGTATCGGTTATCCATAAAGTAAGTTTACATTGTGCCCACGAAAGTCCACAGTTTACTCTACTACACAAATAAGAAAGGGTACTTAACTAGAGCTGAAGGCTGCTGGGGCTGCAATCCGTTCAACGGGGCAGAGATGATCTGGTCGTCACAGGTCCGGCGTCGTCGGCGTCGGGAGGCGGCAGGAGACGTCAGGTGCGACAGAAGTCGTCAGGCCAGACAGCGGGGGGGCGGGGTAAGGTGACGTCAGGCAGGCACCAAGGCTCGTTGAGTCACGATAAGTCACGGCGAGTCAGCTGGCGGCGCGCGGTGAGTCAGGCATGACTGTGTTGCTGTGTGCTGCTGTGCTGCTGGAGTACAAGGGTGAATCCCAGTAAGCTGCCACCAGTGTTACATCGGTCGATGTTGTTGTAGAATGATTAGGTTGTGAGCAGGAATTGGAGTACCAAACGTCCACTGCTTTTCCTTAGTTTTATTATAAATATATATATATCTTGTACACCGGGCCAGGAGCTAGCTAGAGTGTGTAAGGGAGCGTGTGTGTGGACGCTCCAATGCCCAGGCCGTCTCTGAAGGTCTGAGGTCTGCAGCCGCAGAGTAGATTGCATTCAAATCTGCTGACGACGTTGTTGATACCTATTAACTTGTTTAGCTTAAGAGGGTATTAGGTCATCCTATGTGTATGTCCATGGCGACTAACTGGCGTCCAACAGTTGCCTGTCAGACTCTAAGACAAGAAGTTCATGATTTAGCCTTCACTTACATTCAGCTGAGTGGTCAGCGCTTCGGATTCGGAGTTCGGAAGTTCCAGGTTCGATCTTCGAAGGAGGCGGAGACAAATGGGCAAAACGTTTCTTTCACCCCTGATGCACCTGGGAATTAGACAGTTGCTACGGGCTGCTTCCTGGGGGGGGTGTTGTGTAACAAAAAGAAGGCCTGTTCGAGGACCGGGCCGCGGGGACGCTAAGCCCCGAAATCATCTCAAGATGACAAAAACCTCACGATAGCTATGGTTATATTTCCAGCAGTCATATTAAAGGTAGCTAAAGCTAAGTGTGATGTTTTCAGGTGAACTTCAAGGACTTCAAGGGTGCAGAAGAGGACTGGTTATCTCCACCATTCTCTAGTATAGTGTATCGGTCTTCAGACGTGCAGAAGGTGTTCTTCCTGCTGCTCTTGGTGGTCATCCTGGGAGAGTTCTTCAGCTGCCCGGCCATCACCCTGGCTGACTCTGCGGTGAGAGAGAAGGCCGTGGTCTGGCAGTCGTTTGCACCCTCAACATTTATACCTCATTAACCAGATTAACTCATTACATTATCAACAGTACTTCTGATAATGTGTTGATTAACACAACGGCACTCAAGTCAATTCTGGTTACATATTTCGTTCGTGGTTAAATATTTTCACACAAGTTTCTTTGTGATGTACACACACACACACAGATAAATACATATATACATATTTATGTTGATAACACGTGCAGGTATTGACGTACCTGGGTGACGAGGCGGATCACTACGGCCGCCAGCGCATGTTTGGGTCGCTGGGTTGGGGCCTCTCCATGTTCTTCGTGGGCATCGCGCTCGACCACTCGACAGCGTTCCCTGGGCACCCCTGCGGACCACACGAGAAGGAGAGAAACTATACTATCTGCTTTGCTGTTTTTAGTGTGCTCATGGGTTGTGCACTCATCACAGCCTCGCAGTTTAAGGTAATGCAACGGTTTCAACTTCCTAAAACCAGTAAAACATTTTGAAAACATTACTTCTTCTCCTAATTGAAGACGTCTTTATCCGTTCTTGTTGTCACCATAGATGACTATTTACCAATAGGTTTACTGTATTTTGTATCATTAATGTAAAACGTTTAGTTGTTTAGTGATTTATTTTTACACATAATTTCAAAATAAGTTTAATTATGAATTAACCGTACATTACATACAAATTAGGCTTCTTGTGTATGAAAAGCTTATTGTGACATTTGCAAATCATGATATGGTACGCCATACTCCATAATCTGTTATTTATGTATATCAAGAACAACCCAGAGCCGATCCCTGATGAACGCCATTGTTTACGTCTAGCCGCGAGTAAATGCACTTAGGAAAACACCATGTGTCCAGATAACTCATTTTCTAACAATCTTAATATATAGCCATCATTACAACGATTTTTCACTTTTTAATATAAATCTTCGATGATTAACTTCATCAAATGCTTTCTGGATAATATAATTCGTTTTCTCGTGGATAGAAAGTCTGCATGAATTTTATATATATATATATATATATATATATATATATATATATATATATATATATATATATATATATATATATATATATATATATATATATATATGTCGTACCTAGTAGCCAGAACGCACTTCTCAGCCTACTATGCAAGGCCCAATTTGCCTAATAAGCCAAGTTTTCATGAATTAATTGTTTTTCGACTACCTAACCTACCTAACCTAACCTAACCTAACTTTTTCGGCTGTCTAACCGAACCTAACCTATGAAGATAGGTTAGGTTAGGTTAGGTAGGGTTGGCTAGGTTCGGTCATATATCAATGTTAATTTTAACTCCAATAAAAAAAAAATTGACCTCATACATAATGAAATGGGTAGCTTTATCATTTCATAAGAAAAAATTTAGAGAAAATATATTAATTTAGGAAAACTTGGCTTATTTGGCAAATCGGGCCTTGCATAGTAGGCTGAAAAGTGCGTTCTGGCTACTAGGTACGACATATATATATATGTCGTACCTAGTAGCCAGAACTCACTTCTCAGCCTACTATGCAAGGCCCGATTTGCCTAATAAGCCAAGTTTTCATGAATTAATGTTTTTTCGTCTACCTAACCTACCTAACCTAACCTAACCTAGCTTTTTTTGGCTACCTAACCTAACCTTACCTATGTATATAGGTTAGGTTAGGTTAGGTAGGGTTGGTTAGGTTCGGTCATATATCTACGTTAATTTTAACTCCAATAAAAAAAAATTGACCTCATACATAGAGAAAAGGGTTGCTTTATCATTTCATAAGAAAAAAATTATAGTTAATATATTAATTCAGGAAAACTTGGCTTATTAGGCAAATCGGGCCTTGAATAGTAGGCTGAGAAGTGAGTTCTGGCTACTAGGTACGACATATATATATATATATATATATATATATATATATATATATATATATATATATGTCGTACCTAGTAGCCAGAACTCACTTCTGAGCCTACTATGCAAGGCCCGATTTGCCTAATAAGCCAAGTTTTCATGAATTAATTGTTTTTCGACTACCTAACCTACCTAACCTAACCTAACATAACTTTTTCGGCTACCTAACCTAACCTACCCTATAAAGATAGGTTAGGTTAGGTTAGGTAGGGTTGGTTAGGTTCGGTCCTATATCTACGCTAATTTTAACTGCAATAAAAAAAACTGACCTCATACATAATGAAATGGGTAGCTTTATCATTTCATAATAAAAAAAATAGAGAAAATATATTAATTTATGAAAACTTGGCTTATTAGGCAAATCGGGCCTTGCATAGTAGGCTGAGAAGTGGGTTCTGGCTACTAGGTACGACATATATATATATATATATATATATATATGTCGTACCTAATAGCCAGAACGCACTTCTCAGCCTACTATTCAAGGCCCGATTTGCCTAATAAGCCAAGTTTTCATGAATTAATGTTTTTTCGTCTACCTAACCTAACCTAACCTAGCTTTTTTTGGCTACCTAACCTAACCTTACCTATAAATATAGGTTAGGTTAGGTTAGGTAGGTTAGGTTCGGTCATATATCTACGTTAATTTTAACTCCAATAAAAAAAAATTGACCTCATACATAGAGAAAAGGGTTGCTTTATCATTTCATAAGAAAAAAATTATAGTAAATATATTAATTCAGGAAAACTTGGCTTATTAGGCAAATTGGGCCTTGAATAGTAGGCTGAGAAGTGAGTTCTGGCTACTAGGTACGACATATATATATATATATATATATATGTCGTACCTAGTAGCCAGAACTCACTTTTCAGCCTACTATTCAAGGCCCGATTTGCCTAATAAGCCAAGTTTTCCTGAATTAATATATTTACTATATTTTTTTTCTTATGAAATGATAAAGCAACTCTTTTCTCTATGTATGAGGTCAATTTTTTTTTATTGGAGTTAAAATTAACGTAGATATATGACCGAACCTAACCAACCCTACCTAACCTAATCTAACCTATATTTATAGGTAAGGTTAGGTTAGGTAGCCAAAAAAAGCGAGGTTAGGTTAGGTTAGGTAGGTTAGGTAGACGAAAAAACATTAATTCATAAAAACTTGGCTTATTAGGCAAATCGGGCCTTGAATAGTAGGCTGAGAAGTGCGTTCTGGCTATTAGGTACGACATATATATATATATATATATATATATATATATATATATATATATATATATATATATATATATATATATATATATATATATATATATATATATATATATATATATATATATATATATATATATATATATATATATATATATATATATATATATATATATATATATATATATATATATATATATGCAACAATGATCACAAAAACACTGATCCAAGTATGCAGAATAACCACATATGAAAAATAGAAAATGCTAAACGCGTTTTCGGCTAATTTGCCTTCATCAGAGCAAAGTAGAATGAAGTAGTAGTTTCTACTTTGCTCTGATGAAGGCGAATTAGCCGAAAACGCGTTAAGCATTTTCTATTTTTCATATGTGGTTATTCTGCATATATATATATATATATATATATATAACTCATTTTATATATATGAGTACATTTTATATATATATATATATATATATATATATATATATATATATATATATATATATATATATATATATATATATATATTTATATATAAATATATATTTATATTTATTTAAAATTTCATTACACAAAAAGGGTTACAACATTTGTTACATGCCGGGTACAAGGCTACTCGTCACAGGTTGTACGGTACATGGCTACCCGCCATCAGCTCCTCAGATGGCGGGCAGGAACCATGGATGCAGTGAGCATTTCCTCTCTGGATCGCCACACTAAGGCGCTGAAAGAGGGAACTGGCGGCTCTAATGTCTCTAGTTGTTTCAATTAGTTTGGACCCCAGTTCCTTCAGAAAACTAGCAGCACTTTTACCCCAGGCACCAAGTGTCTCTGAGGCAATGGGGACAAAATTGTAGTGGTGATCAAGATCTCTGTATTTATGCGACTTTGCTGCTTCCCGGTGATTGGCAGCACCTCCTGCCTGTGCAGCACTGAAGTCAACATACGTGTTGGCTAAAGTTGAAACGCAAGTAAAGTCCCAAACCAACTGTCTACCATTCTTCCAGGGGTTCACTGTGGTCCCGTCTGGACGACCCACAGGCTCATTAGAGTTACAGGGCATTAGGTAACGGGGCTCTCTCTCTGCTGGACAACCGGCTGTAGTAAGGCTTCTCTTAATAATGTCATTAACCTCGCCGTGTCTTGCATGCCATCCTCCTGTCCTTTGGCAGAGAAGGCCATGCCATCCATACCTGTCAGCCACTGCCTCGCCGCAAATACACCTGTATTCAGTGTGGATTGGAGCAGCGAGACGGAGAGCCACAGCAATTTGGAGGGCCTGCAGTGTGAGACGAGTGCCGGCTGCTGACATTAGGGTTGCTAATATGAAGTCACCTGCATGGGGAGCTGCTACAGCTCTAAGATGGGCAGTGTCATGTGGTGTAGTTGCAGCTTCTAGCAATGTCACAGCTTCTTGTTCGACAATGGGGCGATCCCAGCTGGATTGCTCATGGGCTTCAGAAAGCGGTGGTTGGGGTGCTGGTCCTGCGAGAGAGACCCATTTGGTGGTGCCGTCTGTAAAGCTGGGATCATGTACCCCTGCCCGTTGAACTAGGTATTCAGGGAGGATTCCCTTCTCCAGGTTGTCAGACGCTACTGAAGAGGACAGGAACGCTGGTACAGCAATTTGTGTTGCTGTGCGAACGCCAAAGCCCACGAGTCTGACAGGAAGGGAGGCCTGTTTCCACTGTGAGTCGCTGAGAGAAAGGTTGAGGGCTTTTTCTAGCATTGATTTCAGTAGGCTATTGTACTCTTCTAATTTAATATTACTGAAAGATGGCGAACATCTAAGAAAGTAAGTCAGCCTGGGGAGGGACAAGCATCTGGTGATGAGGTAAAGTGCATCATGAGCATCGATGTCTTCAATCCTCTCATAAATCCCTGTCTTCAATCCAACTCTTAACGCTCTTCTAAGGTCGTTGGTTGCTTCACATTCCAGGAGATAGTGAAGTAGTGCCTTTTCTGTGACAGTTTGGCAGAAGATGCTTTCTCTCTGTCGGGGTTCACCAATCTCCCAGTTGCATCTGTAAAATGAGCTTACAATAAAACTAGATATTTATATGTGTGGGTACACCTCACCCTACGATGCACCTAACCACCGTAGGGAGTAGGGAGCACTGAAGGATAGACAGAGGTTAAATCCACAAGGGCCGTAATGAGGGTTCGAACCTACGTCCGAGAGGATCCCAGACGCGCCTTAATCGACTGTGCCACGACACGGTAAAAGAATTGCAACCAGGAGTTTATCTGCCCTCACACGTATAAACTCTCGGTTGCAATTCTTTTACCGTATCGTGGCACAGTCGATTAAGGCGCGTCTGGGATCTTCTCGCACGTAGGTTCGAACCCTCATCATGGCCCTTGTGGATTTGTTCATTTGATGCATCACGTTATTGTGATTTCTGTGTGTAATAGGCAGAGGTGATTGTTGCCTAACTCTGGTTTCTAGTTGTCTGCCATCTTCCCTCTGTATCAATGGAGGACCACCGAACAGCTGCATGCTCGAAGTCAAATTCAACTGGATGTTGGTTACCAGTGTCAGCTCCCGAATAAACACAGCCTCAAGTGTTCGAACCTTCCTATGATCGTCGTAGCGTGTGATTAATGTCGTATCTTTCACTGTCTTGGTGATTCAGGATGGTGTTGTGTTGAGAATGATGCTGCTTAATACCTCCCTTTTGCAAATGAAGTATAAGACTTCTACTCAGTGTATTCGTGGCGTGTCCAATGTAGCATGTATTTTGGAGCACACAGTCTCCAGAGCTGCATTTTATTGATACACTACATTTATTAACCACAGCTCGCACCTCCTGAAGGGTGTCTGAAGGCACTGCCGCCAAAGTGTGTTCATATTGCTGTGTCTCATTAGTTACCTTTTAGGAATCGAAAAAAGGCCTCTACCTGTGCAAACCATCCCTCTGGGTCAACTGGCAGATATGTTGCTGTTGTTGATATAAGGGCCACGACAGCAGTGGTGCCAGATGTGTCCCGGCGTTCCCTTGAAGGGTAAAACACAAAGCTTTACGACTATAATAACGTTGCCTTGCAGCGAATAAACACACCTATAGGTAGAAGTTTGGGAAGTTCCCACAGGGAGGCAAGCACCGACCTCCATCACACACAGACCACTGGGTAAGAAAACAAAGTCAAGACAAAAATATGGCGTCTCCTAAACTCGTACCCAAATGGGCAAAAACGTAAACATGTCTTTCAGTGATCTCCGGAAGAGCAGGGGCCAGTCTTCCAGGGTCCGTCAAATTACCCAAATCTATGCAAAACATCCTAGCATTACATAAGTAATGAAGAAATATGACATATTTAATAACTAATGTTGATGCTGAATGTAGAATATGAAAAAACATATTTTTACCTTGAAATAATATCATTTTTCTAACAAAATTAGACGAAACTAAGTAGTAGATAATGCCATAGGAAGTTTGTTACATGACACACATTTAGATTAAGATGGCCATCCGGTCTTAGAGGAGGATCCAGAGGTAGTTTTCCCTGGACAGTAAACATCACAGTAAGGCAAACGTATCAGAGGCAAAACGCCACCATCATACAGAGATAAACAGAGACCATGTCATCGACTTGAGAATGGTCCAGGACGGACCGAAACGTCGTCGTCCCTTCACCTTCTAGTGTGTGGTCTGGTCAACAAACAGAGACCATCCCGGCCCCACGCGGCCTGAGTATCAACATCCACCACTCAACCAAGGTAGGACAAGTTCTCCTGGTTTGCAAACTTTCATCATTGCCTTTGATGACAAAGACAAGATTGTTTTCGGAAATAGCAGGGTAAAACGTATCCTATATAATGCCATTCCCAATATATTTAAGATCAAAGTGCACGACATTAGATCTAACAAACAAAGGAATTTAATTGCAGTGGACTACAGCAAGTAACTAGAGCTTTCAGACGTTACTGACATATGCGGATACAAAGTCAAATGCTATAAACCACTAGATGACTGATTCGGGAAATATGTAATCCGACATGTTGTAGAATTTAGTGCAGACGACATCAAGGCACAACTTCAGGCGGATGGCATTCCAATTTTCGGAGTCAACAAAATCATGCATAGAACAAACGAAGACCTGAGTGATACAGGCACTGCCCTACTTACTTTTCTAGACTACTTTTGTCCTGATCGGGTTTGGTTTAACGGCTTCCTCCATAAACTAGAGGTGTACGTTCCACGTCCCAATTAGTTCTTTAGATGTAAAGGTTTCAACCATACCTCAAAAGGCTGCACCAAAAACATCAAATGTGGAAAATGCTCTTGTTCCCATTACACACAAGACTGTGCGTCTGATATACTCACCTGCTCAAACTGTAGTGGCAATCATGACATTACATTCAAACAATGTTCTTCATGCATAGCGGTAAAATCTAAGGTTCTCCCTACGAACAGCCTGCAGTACAGTAGTGCATTGAAACAACCTAACTCAGTCCAGCGTCAACCATTACCTCACACTCAACCACAAGTTTTGCTTGTACCTGTACCTAATATGTCTGTCACTGACAATCCTGTTCTTCCAGAGTCCAATCCTCTCCCACAAAATGTACAACTGAGTTCCGATCTTGTTGAGACTCTTGTCACTCGCATTGAAAATGCACTAGAAAAGACGCTGGACCGACTCCTAACTAAATTCTTTACACAAGCAATCCAACCCATCCCCAAGGCTGTCCCAACAGACACCCCATCGACACCTACATCCGCCCTAACACAGCTACCATTGCTGGATACACTACCAAAGTCACTTCCCAGGCTGCATAGGTCACGACCTCTCCGTAAGGTGCAGTCGCACCTCCACAGATCTCCAAAGGAGCTTTGGAGCCAAATGGCTCCAAAGGGCCACCACTTACAGGCTATTCATGCCCGTGCCATCTTTTGGGTGGCTTAATCTTCATCAATCAATCAATCCCAGACTGCCTTGCCACAAACCCCAACCACCGGCACCAAGAGTAAGAAACCCGCAGCTGTACATACCTCCCAACGACCTGGCACTTTGCCTGAAAACCCACATAAGCCACATTCTCCCACGACACATCCTCCAACCATATATCACTCCATCACATAGTGACTGAGGGTGTGCAAATAATTTTCTTGACAGTTTACATTTTTGGCAGGTCTACATCAGCAGATAAATAGAATTCCCAGAGATACTTGTAACCCAGTCTATGCCTAGCAGTAGTAACATCTAGAAGTCTGCTGATTTTATTGGATACCACATCTTTCAACATCACCACTCGTGCAGTCATCGGAAGGAAAAGCCTTCATGTAAAATGCACGTATCGCGAAGAAAGACCCTATTTCATTATAAAATTATATTATTTCAGAGTAAATATTAGTTTTTTATGTTCTACATTCAGCACCAACATTATAGTGAGTAAATATGTCATATTTCTTCATTACTTACGTAATGTTAGGACGCTTTGGGTAATTAGACGGACCGGTTTCCCATCACTTCTTCTTGATAGTAGGTGCAGTTTGCATGAAGGGTTTGTCCTCCCGATGACTGCACCAGTACAGATGTTGGTAGAGGCGTTTATGTTGAAGATGATAAGAGTTCCAAAAGTGCTTGTTGCGTTGTGCTGTAGACAGAGGAGCGGCGACTAGAACAGAGGTGTATGTTAGAGGGAGACTTGCAGCACCGTAGGGCGGTGTGTTGTGTTTATGGCGTCAGCTGATCATTGGTACTGCGACGAGGCAGTTTTCTGTGTTTAGCTGTTGGTGGCGCCAGGTATAAATGTGGCGCGGGTCAGATGTGACCCAATTTGTTGGTCGACTGGAGATATTTAGTCAGTGCTTTGACTATTTGGTATTTTTCTTGTAACGAGTGGTCACCGCCTCCTAATATATGGTCGACGGTAAAGGGTATTTTAAGTGAAATAAGTACTTGTTTGAGATTTACTCTGGCACTATAATGTCGGAAGCAGTGAAGGAGATAGTGTTCGACTGTTTCAGGCACTTGACAGTGGACGCAGAGTTCGTTGATGTCTGTTCTGTACTTAGAGCTGTGTGCTGCTAGTTTGGTGTGTCCCAGCCTTAATCTGGTCATCGCTATATCAATTTCTCTGCTTTTATATCTGACATGTTTCCAAGTTTCCCATTTTTTTAATGGCCCCATAGTACAAGGGTGAGCATGACGTTTTCCATTTCGTCGCAAAATCTTGGGTGATGGTATTTTTGAAGGCTCCTTTACGTGCAATATGGGGAATTGGATGACGGGTAATGTGAGGTGTGTTGTGCATTACTTTGGCTAGTTGATCTACTAGTTCATTATGGAGAATACCACAATGCGTTGAGACCCATTGGATAGAGGTTTCCCATCATGCCCTGAGGGCACGGAGCCCACAAAGACCTACCAACTCCAGGCACCAGTCCGCATAGCTGGCGTCGGAAACCTTCTGCCCGCCCGAAGAAACGGCCAGATGACTTTAAAAATATATGAACTTACTTGTGATCCCAAGGGATAAGTGCGCCAGGCGTCCTAACGATCCGAACCGTTGAATAGAAATGCCTAACGGCAGTATCGAGACGCAATAAAATAATATCTTATGTTTACATGCTCGTAGTGTGCGGATTGGTCGGTTGGCTCCCGTCAGTTCCTCCCCTATTTTCTCTGATCTTCGTCATGTTGTAAGGGAGGACTAAAGTTATCACATTTACTCGTACTACAGTAGTCAGATTCAGATTCAGATGTTTATTCAGGTAAGGTATATACATACAAGTTATGTTACATTAATGGATTGATATATAGATAGAGCTAGTACATACAATGCCTAAAGCCACTATTACGCAATGCGTTTCGGGCAAGAAAACATAATATCTAGAACTTAATACTAATTGAGCATAAAGAATGAAAGATGTTGAGAACAAATACAAATAAAGATAAAAAAAAAGGGGGAACATGACTGAAAAAGCAGCACAAATACAATAGGTTGACAAACAGTGTTGATTAAAAAAAAAAAAGAAAATAACAGACATGGGTTGACAATAGAGGAGTGAGGTAGATTACAGGGAATTTATTAGGTAGTGTTTAGTTTTTATCTTAAACTGGTTGAGAGAGGTACAGTCTTTAACATGGTTGGGAAGGTCATTCCACATTCTGGGCCCCTTGATTTGCAGAGCATTTCTAGTTTGATTAAGACGTACTCTAGGAATATCAAAACTGTATTTATTTCTGGTGTGGTGCTCATGGGTTCTGTTACAACCTTCTATGAAGCTTTTAAGATCAGGATTGGCATTATAGTTTAGCGTTTTATATATGTATAATACACATGAGAGAATGTGCAGTGACTTAATATCTAACATATTAAGAGATTTGAGTAGGGGGTACCGAGTGATGTCTGGGGCCAGAGTTGGATATTGTTCTAATAGCGGCTTTGTGTTGGGTAATTAGAGGACGTAAGTGATTTTGGGTAGTAGAACCCCAAGCACAAATACCATAGTTGAGATAAGGATAGATAAGGGAGTAATAGAGAGTCACCAGGGCAGGGCGTGGTACATAATATCTGATCTTAGAAAGAATGCCCACAGTTTTTGAAACTTTTTTTGATATATTTAGAATGTGTCCCTGGAAATTCAGCTTGTGGTCAATGAGAATGCCAAGGAATTTGCCATCTAATTTGTTACAAATTTGGGTATTGTTTATTTTGAGATTTATAAGACTAGAGGATTTATTGCCAAACAGAATATAGAAGGTTTTGTCAATGTTAAGGGTGAGTTTGTTGGCAGTTAGCCAAAGATGGACTTTATTTAGCTCAGTATTTACTGTGGCATTTAGAGCAAGAGGGTCAGGACTGGAGTAAATAAGTTTCTTATTTACAGTGATGTTATGGGATGGAGAGTCACTTAAGTTTCTCTTTGGAAAATATGCAGATTCATGTCAATGGAAGTCTGACAAGCGAGTTTAACTTTTAGTTTCTAGATGATAGCACTCTTGCCGGAAATCTAGATACCATTATGGAGGATGTATGGAAAAACCCAGAAACAATGAGCAACTCTAGGCCTCATTCTCAGTGCACCAATGTGTGAAGCAATCTCATCCAATCCAAACATTACTGAGTAAACAAAAACTGTTCTACCAGACATTGGCATTATTGAGCCAGCCAACTGTACACTCCTGGGTACATCCCACTGGCTCGCAGGCAAGCAAGGAGGTCCTGGATGCAAAATCCCCGACCTAAGGAGAATGCAAGACAGGAATGACAAAACTGATACTCATGATGCTCCCTGCTTCATCATAAAATGCCTATCTATACCTATACACCTAATTTCTGAGGTGTTCTCCATCCCATAACATCACTAAATTGAGTATGACATCCTTTTGAAGTCTTTACTAGAAAAAAATCAACAACTGTCTGACACTCACGCAATGATATTTGTTTTGCCTGCAGTTGTCAATGTGTTGATAAAGGCAGATATTTGTCTTTATCACAGATATCAAAACTGTGTTGAGTTTTAAAATATACCTGTAAAAGATCAAGGCAAATGGGAAGATCTTCGACAAGCCGCCGACTTCCTGTCCTCATCGAGACCATTAGGGTTAGTGGCCCTCAGGTAAATCAGGCAAAAATTTACAGAAACAGTTCAACAATTTATACTGTGGTCAGCAGACTGCATAATTCTGCTTGATTATGAAATTCAGTAAAGATTACAATAGACAGATTTAGTTAAGATGCTATTGTTTAAAAAAAAAAAAAACTTTATTATATTATAACAAGCTTCAAGGTAAACTACGTTTATACTCTTGAATAACAGGAGTGGCTCATATTTCACTTGTTACGTGTGTTTCAACAGTTTGACTACTCGGAAGCAATTTCAAGCACCACACCAGAGGAAGCCAAGGAGCCTATAGATAATGGACCTCGCCCCTGGAATGAGCCCAAAATTCCTATGCAGGAGCAGAAGTCCCAACGACAAAAGCTGGACGAAGCTATTGGCACAATTAAGGTGAGCTGCTACAGACTTTGTGATGAGGCAGAGGGGGTTCACCTTCACTGTGTAGTTCTTTGTAGGTCGCCTCTGCCTACCCACTTTGTAAGGAACCTCTTCCTCTTCCTGGGAGAGACCCTTTCTAAGGGGACCTTATCCAACGCACTTTATAAGGAACCTCTTCCTACCCACTTTGTAAGGAACCTTATCCTAATTGCTTTGCAAGTAACCTCTTCCTACCCACTTTGTAATAATAAATCTACATGTATAGTTTATATATATTATACAGTAATAAGGGATTTAAAAAAAATTAAAGTAATATGAAGCATGCCCTAAAAGACAGGTTTATTTATATTAAATAAAAAGCATACTGTATCACTTATGAGAATCCATAGAATACATTGACTCAGTTATCAGAAACTAATAAAAACGTGATTGCACTACCAGACGAAGATCTTCGCCCAAACAATGAAGGAGATGCCACAGTGGTTTGTGGTCTTAAGGGAGTTTAAGAATCTCCGGTGTGGCGCCTTTCTTTTCGTCGCTTGGTGGATGGGCTTCGGCATTGGTCTCATATTTGCCTTCCTCTTCTGGCACTTGCAGGTTAGACTACCCTTGTGAAATAGCTACTCGGTATGTCACATGAGTATCAATGCTAATTAAAATATCTAATTACAATTGTCGTGCATGTATGACATTACGCGGACAATTGACTTACGGTGGTGCTCTCTCCGTACCCCAGGACTACGAGGGTACCCCTACAGTGTTCGGTATTGCCAGCGTCATCAACCATATCTCAGAAATTTTTGCTTACTTCTTCAGCTTCAGACTCATCGCACAGATTGGACACGTAAAGGTAAAAATTATTACATTAAGGTAATACTAAATTAATAAATTAAATAATAATTATTAATAAGTTATTAAATAATAATTATTAATAAATCATTAAATAATAATAGTTAATAAATTATTAAATAATAATTATTAATTATTAAATAATAATAATTAATAAATTAAAAATAATAATTAATAAATTAAAAATAGTTATTAATAGTGTCTAATAATAATTATTAATAAATTATTCAAAAATAATTAAATAATAATTAAATAATAATTATTCATAAATTATTAAATAATAATTAATAAATTATTAAATAATAATTATTAATAAATTATTAAATAATAAGTATTAATAAATTATTCAATAATAATTATTAAAAAATCAATAATAATGATTAATAAATTATTCAATAATAATTATTAATAAATTATTAAATAATTACTAAAATATTAAATAATAATTCCGAATAAATTATTAAATAATAATTAATTATTAAATAATAATTATTAATCAATTATTAAATAATAATTATGTATAAATTAAATAATAATTATGAATAAATTATTAAATAATTATTATTAATAAACGCTGCACTTACTAGTGGCTTTATAAGATTGTAAATACCATGCTATGTATTCTCACAAACCCAATGTACCTTCTTGTATATAAATAAATAAGTACATTAATTATTAATAATAATTAACAAATTATTAAATAATAATTACTAATAAACTATTAAATAATAAGTACAGTAATATTAAATAATAAATATTAATAAATTATTACAATAATTAACCAATTATTAGAAAGTAACTACTGTATTAAATAATAAGTGTTAATCTATATTTAAATAATTAATAAATTATTATATAATAATTAATAAATTCTTAAATATTAATATATATTATTAAATATTATTAATAAATTAATATAATTCCTTTGGTAATTATTATTTCCTATTAATAAATTCCTCTGTTTATTTCTTATTCTTTCATATGAATCTTTACTATTTATTTTAGCTCTTCACTCTATATTCTGACTTTCCACCCTTTCTTCTGACTCTTCATCCTATCTTGTCGCTCTTCACCCCTACTTCTGAATTTTCTCTACAGTATTTCTTCTGACTCATCCATTCTTCTGGCTGTCCACCCTTTCTTCTGGCTGCCCACTGTTTCTTTTGGCTGTCCACCGTTTCTTCTGGCTGTCCACTGTTTCTTTTGGCTGTCCACCCTTTCTTCTGGCTGTCCGCCGTTTCTTTTGGCTGTCCACCCTTTCTTCTGGCTGTCCACCGTTTCTTTTGGCTGTCCACCCTTTCTTCTGGCTGTCCACCGTTTCTTTTGGCTGTCCACCCTTTCTTCTGGCTGTCCACCGTTTCTTCTGGCTGTCCACCGTTTTTTTTGGCTGTCCACCCTTTCTTCTGGCTGTCCACCGTTTCTTTTGGCTGTCCACCCTTTCTTCTGGCTGTCCATTGTTTCTTTTGGCTGTCCACCCTTTCTTCTGGCTGTCTATCTTTTCTTCTAGCTGTTCACCCATTCTTCTGGCTGCCTACCTTTTCTTCTGGCTGCCCACCCTTTCTTCTGGTTGTCCACCCTTTCTTCTGGCTGTCTACCCTTTTTTCTGGCTGTCTACCCCTTCTTCTGGCTGTCCACTCTTTCTTCTGGTTGTCTACCCTTTCTTCAGTCTACCATTTCTTCTGGCTGTCCACCCTTTCTTCTCAGCACTCTTATGTACCTTCACTTTTTAACACAATTTTATTTAACAGATAAGTGAAGAATGACAAAATTCTTTTCATTTGAATTTTCTCTTTTATCTCTATCATTTGTGTATTACTTATATTTCTCTACCATTTATGCTCAGTTAACAGGCACATTTCGATAAGCAAACCACACACCAGAAGATGAACAAAAGAGGACATTTCGGTCCGTCCTGGACCATTAATTAACAAGTCGTATGTGAATATCTGTCATGGATGGCCCGAAACATCGTTCGTTCCTCTTCTGGTGTGTGGTTTGGTCATCATATCTTCAGCCATGTTATTGTAACTCATTGTCTGCACATGTGTATTTCACTTTAGGTCCTGTGTATGGGACTGCTGGGCAATGTACTGCGTTTTCTCTACATTTCTTGGTTGAGAGATCCATGGTGGGTCCTGCCATTTGAGTTTATTCAAGGTTAGTATTTACCAGGTCAATGTTGGTGGTGTTGTATGTGATCGGTGTCTCTAGATATCCTACAGCTTCTGCTATTTGGACAGACCACTTAGATGCTTGAAATTATTTTCAAGAGACATACATGCTACATCTGGTGTTTATACTCTCTGTACACCATGTGTATACTCAATACACTGTGTGTGCACTATACACCACTTCGAACTCTAAACACTGTGTGCATATTCAATACCTGCATGCTCTATACACCATATGTGTGTGTACACAATATGTCCACATACACTACCCATATATCTATATAGTCATACTGGCTTAGAGCTTACTCTTGATAATAACCTTACCTTATACCCATATACATATACACACCAAAGCCATCCCTAAAAACTTGGACATCAGTACATCAGTATGTATTAAAATACTTACACTAATTATGGTGTCTAATGCCCCAGTTAAATAATTTCCCATAAATATCTTATGTTATGAATGAATATTTTCAATTTAATAATTTGTATTTACAATCTATGACCAAAAATAATGGTATGCATACAGTATATGCATTTATCAAGATATTTGTGTTTGGTACCCTTTTCTTCTCTCATTGCATTGGTTTTTATTACCAAATTAGATAATTCTGCAAACTAATAATTTTCAGAATGTTTATCTTGAGAGCACCACCAATTTTGCTACCACATAATTAATATGTTGATAAAAGTTTGTTGTATTATATAACTGAATTTTATCGCCAATTCTTCTGCGGGGATCATTGTTTATATATCTTTTTACTGATGGGGAGTACAGTATATAGATGACACACCCACCACCATGACTAGATGATAATGGTGGTGGGTGTGTTTTATTTCTTCTATACTGAACTGCAGAAGTAATTCAATATTATTTTCACAGATCATTTATTTATTTAGCTGTTCTCATGATATTGCAGGAATAACTCATGCTGCTGTATGGGCCGCATGCTGCTCATACATAGCACACAACACCCCACTGCACCTCCGCTCACAATCACAGGGGGTACTACAGGGCATCCACCATGGTTTTGGCAGAGGCTCTGGAGCAATCATTGGTGGAATATTTGTAAATTTCTTTGGTTAGTGATTGCTGTGCTGTACATGATTTCTGTGGCATGACTGTATACTGTAATATAAAAAATTTTGCCTGAACAAATTAATGTTAGTGCATATTTTCTGACAACATATATCTGTAACTTTCAGTCAGATGAGCATAGCACATACCTATATAGATTTGTCAAATTACTGTACTATATATATTTATTACAACAAATTAGATTACACAAATTCTAGGGATACATTTACAATGTGCTTTATATACTTTTATTGCCCATGTAGGTACCCCCGTAGTGTTTCGAGCATATGGAGTGGTATCTCTGATTGTCCTTGCTGCATTCATATTCATCAACTTCTACCGAAAAGATGTTGGCTTCCAGCCTGACCTGCCACCAGAGGAGGACCCACACGAGATGGCCGAGGAAGGAACTGCTCTTGCACCACATGGCGTCCCAGCTAATCCTATGCCCAGGGCATTAAGCTCTCAGAAGCTGAATGAGGGCTCTGGTGAAGCAGGATATGGCACTTATAATGCAACAAATGGGATGCTTGATATACCAGGTATGCTGTACAAATTAGTCACATAAAAATCTCAGAAATATTGGTATAGTATAATGTAACTAAGTAAGTGATTACTGTACATGCTTTTAATTTCTAAGCTCACTTATCCAAACTACGGTATATGAGAAGGACCCCTCCCCCGCCGGATAAGCCATACATTCGGATAAGCAGAATTCTAACCGGGAAAGTCAAAAGGTGAACATAGTCAGAATTTTTGTACCACAACCAAAACACTTTTTGAATTTCCCCACAAACTATAATTTAAAAATATACCAGTACTGTACTGTAATTTAAAAAAGGAACTTCAGCTTACCTTGTTGTAGTTCACCTTCTTGATTGATGCTGCATACAGTACTGTATCTTCAAAGCAATAATTCTTGAAAATTTATGTAACCTAACTTAACGCAACATTAAAATTACTGTACAGTACATGGGCTTGGCAAGGTCTGTTGTGACTGTCAGCTGCAGATGATTCACTGGTTGAAGGCTCTTGGCTTTCTAGTGAGGCTTCACTGGTTAAAGATCCTTGGCTTGCTTGTGAGGCTTCAGAGGTTGAATGGCCTTGGCTTCCTGTTTTTACGAAATAAGAATCATGTTTTGCTTGCCTCCTGTGTTCATTGGCCTCTCTTATGATCAGCCCTTTGGATTGCCTCAAGTACTCATACATGTTTCCAACTTCTGGATTAGCACAGTTGGATGAAAAATTCATTAACATGTCAACATAAGACATGAGTAAACAGTATTTAGTTGTCTGTGGTGCTAACACAACCTTTTTCCTCCTAATACCTCCAGGATGATTACTGCTGCTACCAGACAGTCTTGGCAAAAATGATGAAAGCTACTATGAAAACAAAAAAGTTAAAGAAAAATGTTCATTAATGGCGCAGCACTGTGACATAACACAATGGTTGAAAACACGCACCTGTTTAACTTGACCAGGCCTGGATTGGTCCACTTTGGACAGGCAGGCATTTTATGTGAACTGTCAAGCAGAAAAAAATCCCCAAATTGTAAAAGGAAACTAGTCACATCCTGTACACACAGTTTTCAAGAAATTTGTGTTTGTTATAATATTAGATATTTCTTTAGTTTTACTGTACGTAATGAATTGTTTTAACATAATTCTTGGTAATACAATATAGATCATAGGCCCTTCATCTACCAGAGCCTCTCCTGACTCCCCCTACCCCTGAAACTACCCACCCTAGCACCTCCCATACCCTGCACTTTAAGCCATTGCTATATGGGATTAATATGGTATGGCCTGATGCCTGTCTGCAATACCCTGCAAAATCTCAGGTTTTCTGTCTGGATATAATGAAGTTTGGCAGAAAGTTATCCGGACTTGATTTAGAACCTATAGCAGTCTGCACTATCCAGGAAACCTCTGGTTATCCAAATTTCTATCCCAATATGAAGTTTTGCCAGAAATATATCTGGCCATAATTTTTGCAGAATAACTCAAATATTCAGACCTTAGGATAAGTGAGCTCATATAGTATATAGCATAGGTATTTAAAATACATTGACCACCAACAGTACAGTAACATCTCAATGATTTATTGGCTCAGGTGGAGGAGGTACCAACAACCCATTCGTCCAGGGTGGTGGTGGGACCACAGGTGGTGGGGGTGGTGGGTACAACTACACTACTCAGCCCACTCCTCCAGTCTTTTCAGACACTAACCCCTTCAGAAACTTCTTCACACCATCTAGTCCATTCCCTAGTAAGGACTCGCCGGTCACATCACCGGACCTCAGCCCGGATTATGAAAGCATAAAAAATAGGTTCCAGGTAAGCCTAATTAAATTAAGTCAACCATTGTTATTCCAAACATGCACATGAAAAAATTGAACAGAGGAATAATGCTAGTCAGTGACAGACTGTTCACTTGAATACGTTTTTTCTTGTGATAACCAATCATTTGCTAATGTAATAAGTATATAAGGTATGAAATGCTTCACCTTACCCAAATTTATATTAGAGCCACAATACTGTATCTAGTGGCCTAAATGGAGCCAGGAAGTTGGTGGCTTGTCAAAAGAAGTCCCCATTATTTCTAAGGATTTTTTTCCATTCAGTATTTTAAACTGGAAAATTATCTTGGTATTTATGGTTTTGGCATCTTTCTGGTAGATCTCCAGTGGCTCCCTGAAGCTATCTTGATGAGATTGCTCCATGCTCATGGGTCACATCAATTGTGGAAGGTCAGTTTGGCCTGCCAGGGACCAGAGCCAGAACCTGGCCCCCATCATGGAAGCGCAGGGAGTTATCTCGAGGTTATCTTTAGATGATTTCGGGGCTTTAGTGTCCCCGCGGCCCGGTCTTCGACCAGGCCTCCACCTGCAGGAAGCAGCCCGTGACAGCTGACTAACTCCCAGGTACCTATTTACTGCTAGGTAACAGGAGCATCAAAGTGAAAGAAACTCTGCCCATTATTTCTCACCGGCGCCTGGGATCGAACCCGGGACCACAGGATCACGTGTCCAGTGTTCTGTCCGCTCGGCCGCCGGCTCCCACAAATTGAGTGAGTGACAAAGTGACAATTTACTACCCCACCTAGAAAGCATCCAGAAAGTCAGCAAACTTTACAAACTACAGTAGGGTTCACAAAAAACGAAGCTTCGAAACCGTCAAACAATTCACACACAACAAGAGATATGCTAGAAACTAGCTCGGAGCTCTTTAGTACCAATCACCGCCACCAGGCAGACCGTGGGCTCAAGTCAGTTCTGTAGATAGTGAACAACCTACAGTTGAACTGACAAACCTAGAGGGGAAAAAAAGAGGTAATCAGGGAGCCACTAGAGATCCACCAGAAAGACACATTTCATTACATTCAATGCTGGGTTTCTCAGGAACTTCCCCAGTGGTTTCCTGAAACTAACTTTAAAGAACAAAACTGGGACTTATCAGGGAGGAGAAGAGGTGGCATGCACCAGGACAAAGAAGAGAACTCAGACTGGGGTTTAACAGCCCAAAGCAAAACAGCCATCTAAGATCAGGATCGTTGACCCGAATATCAATCCAGGACATATTGAAGATATCTTTGCCCAAAGCTGTGTATTTGCAAACATCATAGTCCAGAGGGCCACAGGCTGGCCAGATTGCATGACACTGCAGATGACTTGCAAAATACAAGCCTTGGAACAGGGTCAACAAACAAGGAGTCCTAGACAGAATTCGTGGCCTGCAGGTACACAGAGGGTGGAAGGGATAAAAAAAACTTTCTCCCCTTGAAGCCAATGATCCTCTGCAGAGGAAACTAAGGTCCTTGAAGGGTTGAAGAGCACCCATGGACCCTTTTCAGGCTTTCCCTCTGCCCTGGAATTCTGCCATGAAGGCCCTGGAGCAGATCCAATGTGCATGCCCAACATCTGATACAGAAAGGCATCCTTCCGAGGAGGTGGTTCAGAAGCTGCAGGTTTGAAAGGCTCAAGTGCCTTTGTCATCAAAAAGGATGGTACTTCTGGAGAAGGCTGAACTACACCCCAACCCAACTTCCCAATCCACAGATGCTTTGAGCTGGTATTAGGGAGGGAAGACCAGAAGCAGGGTGAACCACACCCATGTGAAAAGGAAGAGGAGGTGCAGACTTAGTCCAGGTAGAAGTTACCAATACCTCCAATTCCGGGTCTTTAAATATCATAAGAGGCCAACTCTGGGGCATCCAAATGATCAATATGCCATGAATGCCTACCTCAAGCAAACCTAGCTCACAAAATGACTGCTGTCTGAAACTTTTCAGCTGAATCAGCGAGGGCAAAGACCCAGCGAGAACAAACCTCTCAGGACCCAGGGTCATAGATGTCAATGACCAGCAGGCAGCATGGTGAAGCCAGAAAGAATGATGATCATCAGTTAGTATAGATGATGAATATCCTTCAAGCATGCATACAAGTGATCCATAATGAACCACGTCAGAGACACATGGAATTACTAAGATGTGAAGGCAGCTAACAAAGCAGAAACCACAAGCCCTTGGGCTGGAAGAAATACTGTAATCAATGTTTACCTCTTTATCCACTTTATAACAAGTATTGTAAGAGGTATGTGTAATATGAAACTTCGTGTACTTGCTTCATACACACACCATTTTAATGGCAATACTGTATGCAATAGTAGCCTAGTGATCTCAAAACATGTATTTACTGTAGTTTTAATTAAAATATTATCACCAATATTATAAAGTAACCAAAGGAATTTATGTACTTTACAGGCTTACAATGATCTTCTGAATGGAAGAAATGAACTAAAAGATGATTCAAAGTCTCTCAAGTCACCTCGACATACTCCAAATCTTCAGTCACAAGCACCACAGCCTGTAACTCTTGGTCACAACCCCCAGCCACAAGCCACTGTTAATGACTATGACTGGTAGATCAAATAGGTGCAAACAGTGCCTCATGTTAACACTGTACCCGGCTTAATTATGAGGTCCCAAAGAAAATTATGTAAAAAACACCTAAAACTGTGGCAAAACTATAATAAATAGGTGGATATACATACACCTTTGGTAATACCATTTATGTTAAAGGTAAATGTAACTACTGTAATGGATTTCAGTACTGTTAATATTCAGAATACACTGGCATGCTAATAATAATTTTAATGCAGGCGATGAGTCACAATAACGTGGCTGAAGTATGTTGACCAGACCACACACTAGAAGTTGAAGGGATGACGACGTTTCAGTCCGTCCTGGACCATTCTCAAGATCGACTTGAGAATGGTCCAGGACGGACCGAAACGTCGTCGTCCCTTCAACTTCTAGTGTGTGGTCTGGTCAACAATAATTTTAATATTTTGTTTCATAAATAAAAGGCATCGAGACTTATTCCTGACCTGCAGGATCTGCTTATATTTGTTAATACTGTACTGTATTTTTACATAATTATCTACTTGCATTACATTTTATTTTTTATTTGTTATTACTCCCAGAACTGGAACCACAGGTTATTTTGTATTCAATTCTTATTTTTTTTTAATTTAGGAACTACATCACTGACATTGAAAATAATGAATGAGGAACGTGAAATACTGACTTTAGTTATGTTAGGTTTGATCAAATTTTTATGTTAGCTCCAAATCAAAGAAAAAATATAATCATATGTACTGTAATGGAAAGCTGTATCATTATTTCGGGAAAATTTGGCTTCTTAGGCACCTTGGCCTTTTATGTACATACATACAATTATTTTGTTAATATGCATATCAATTAGCAAATAACGATAATTATCAAAGTAAGATAATGAAACCAAGAACATTAGCTGCCAGATATCCATTTTTGTTGGTACATAATCCAATGGTGCATTGTGTATGTATATTCACAATACTTTCCTAACATTTATAATTGCCATCCAAAATATTTTGAAGCCTCTGTTTTCTACTTGCCTGACCAACTGCTTTCACTGGTTGGCGCTAGGAAAAGGCCATTTGCTACATCCATTATGTACAAACCTTAGCACTATATCTAAAACAGCAAACTTTAGACTATGAACTATAATTGGCTAACTTCTTTATGGAGTTTTTCAAATGTGATTTTGTACAGTTGGTTCATTTCTTAAAATCTCAGTGAAAACCAACTCTCACTATAACTGGTCTGAAAAGGCATATTTTCTGTATAATTGTAAGCAATGCAGCAGGGTATGGCAGTGTGAAATGTGTTTTTTTTTAGTAAATGGTAAGAAATTCATGAAAGTTTTTGTAATATGGTTCTGTTAATTGCATATTTGTGTTTCCTGAAGTGCATTTTTATTGTGCGAGATGCGCCTGTTGTTGCAATGCAATATTAACACAGCGAAATATGAAGCATAGAGTTACTCATTGCAACACCCCATTTTATGCATATCAGTTGCAAGTAGTTCATATAGTAATTCTAAGTGGCACAATACTCATTTTTACTATAGTAATTCTACTCAGGAACCAAACAAGATGCTTATTGTTAAATACCCTAATTAACAATGTTAAACTATATGAAAATTTGTGATAATTATTTTGTTATAGGCTTTACTTAATACAATTTAATTGCAATTTAAAGTTCAATGTAGCAATACACTTAATTATTTTAGTTCCCATAATAATCATAATATATTTTAATCATACAATCTTTCAAAAAAATTGTGTTAAAATCTGCAAGCAAAGACTAGGTGTTGTCAATAAAGCCACATTAATTACCAATACAGTAATGTATTAAGGTAACAAAGATTTGAACAATGTATGGAAAGAGAACAAAAAAATCATATATAGCCTGATAATAGGAATTGCTAAATACACCAGCCACGTGTATATATTTTACATAATAAATTGTTACTAATTTAATATGTAAAATCTCCTGAAATTAATCAATAGCACAGTTAAATGTTTGAATATTAATAATAGCTTTTGTTTTACAGTATCTTATAAGGTGATGTATTAGTTTCCTATAAATACAGTGCATATCAGATGACTTTCAGTCATCACCGGACATTGCTATCACAGAATTTTCCAAAGAAATGAAAATGAAGCATTATTTGTAACAATGAAATGCAATAACATGTATTCCATTCAAGCTCATGCTGTGTATGTGCCATTGTAACCCTTTCCACCAACACCCACAGGACGGGTATAGGATGTGTAATAAATGACAAAACTAAAGTTTACTGGGTTCATAGGATGGCCCTTATTGGTTTTCAACAACTACCGAGGAACCTTGGTTAACGAATTTAATCCATTCTGGCACCGAGCTCGTCACGTGAAACACTTGTCTTGCGAAACGAATTTCCCCATTTAAAATAATAGAAATACTGTACAATTAATCCATTCCACCCCCGAAAAACATCAATATGAAATTTTTATAATATTATTATAAATGTTTTGTTTTCTGTTTTCAATTGCACTTTACCTTATAAAGAGCCGTTGCTGGCTTGAGGGAGACAATGGGGAGGTGGGGAGGAGAAGAGGGGATACGGTGTGGAAGAATCCACTTCATGCTTTGCTATGACTTCCTTCTTCAAATCTAAAGTAATTGTCTCTTTCCTCCTCTTGACAACACTATCTTTAGTAGGCAGCTTCTTTGGCGGCATCATGGGTTACAAATTGTAGTCACAAAATCAAAAACGAATGCAAAGGGATGGTTATCCTGCATGATTAAACAACAACACTGTCGGTGGAGGCATCAAAGAATTTGAGAGAACCAGAAGGAACGCTAGGAAGCACCACGTGGTGTTCTCTTTAACCGAGTGGAAGCTCGTCAATCGAGACAAATTTTCTGCAAGTGGCTCGCTCATTACCTCAAATGCTCGTAGATGGGGCTGCTTGTCACCCAAGGTTCCTCTGTAGCATTTTTGAAGTAATTTAAAGTAATTTTTGCTAAAGTCTTTAAAATAATTCATATAATATCAGAAGTTTATGATCAAAATTACTTTAATTTAAAATTTATGGCAAACGTACTAGAAAAAGCTCAAAGGAGAGCAGGGATGTAGGAGGGCAGACTAATTATTTAGACGACGAATGTATCTGACAAGGTCGCACACCAACTCTTCTGGAAAATGGAATGTGGGGAAGATTGTAGCTGGTGTACTTCTACATGTAAGAATTTGTTGGATCATTAAAAAAGTGTTACAGAGCAGTGATGAATGGCATTACTATTTAGTCAATTTATTTCAGATCTCATCTACGACATGACCTGTCTTATTGAATTAATTCATTTCAGACCTCATCCGACATGATCTCTGCTATTTTTAGCACTATGACCTTTGTGTTTTTCTAATTTGTGGCCAAAAAATATTGCTTTCTATTAATTCAAATGATAAAACAATGCAATTGCTTAGAAAACATGTACAGTATTTTTGTTTACCAGTACTTTAGTTTTTTATCATCACATTTAATGATAATGATAATGTAATCTCCACTTGCACCCATCTATTCCACTGTACTGGAGTTCTCAACTGGAATAATCCAATCTGCTACATGCAAAGACCCACAAAAGCAGAGTTTGTTTAAATGTTGTCTCTCTACTGTACAGTAGTTATATTAAAAAAAAAAAAAAAAAATTATGATACAAAAGATATATTTATTGTTCTCTAAAGAAAATAATGATTACAGAAAAGTTGCTTCCATTATATCGGAAATAACTACCAGTTTGAATGGTGGATTCCCAGTTTTCCAAGTCACACATAAGCTGCCATAAAGCTTTGTGTGCATTTTTACTGCTGAATGAAGGGATAATTTTCCTATATTTTATTAGACACAAAATGATCAAATATGGATGTTTAAGCGGATTATGAACGTGTTGAACATTTAAAAGTAAAATGTTGAGTGGTTAACCTTGCTAATCTTAACCACTGACCTAACCACTACATGCCATATAAATTGTCCTCACTGGGCATAAATTGACATTATACAGTACTTAAATATGCTTTAGTTCTGGAAAAGTTGTTGAATATGTAAATATATTTTCATTACATTGTTATACTCCACTGCTGATATTTGACTTCTGATCATGCTGGATTAATATAATAATAATCATGAACCTTCTCAGGTCTCTCTGATGGTATCTAATGACATCAGAGTTATCTACTTCAGTTTAAAATGTTGGCAGTACAGTTTTGCAATACAAGAGGTATTCATTATCTTTTTAATATTTGAATGTAAAAAATGCTGTAAAAGTTATAAAAAAATTTGTATGGAATATGTTCCTCCTCCTCCCACCAAACACATACACGTGAATTTCACATACACAAAATGTTAAGTATTTTATGAATCACAACATTGGCATTTTCAACCTTCTTAGCCAATGTAAGTGATGATGAACACACATTAAACTTCTAAGAAACATTCACAGCAACCATTTATAAATGTCAAGATAATTTTGTTTACCAAATTATTATTTAGCTGCAGTAATGCATGCAGGATCATGATGTTACTTCAGTGTGGAATATAAAATGAAATTATTCTACGACACCATTAAACTGATATTCAGCATTCAAACAAAGTTGTGTGCCTGCTGCGTGGCTAACAACTACAAGTCTATCATAGAAACTCAAGATCAGCCATGCCTTAATGTGGTAATCTTTTGGACGGAGCAAGATCCAAACGAGGGCACAGTTGCCCCCTCCCCTCCTGTGCAAGGGCAACAACCTCTTACAATACTGGGGCCACAATCCTAACAGTGCCAGGGCTACAACCCTAACAGTGCCAGGGTCACAACTCTCAGTGCCGGGGGTTATAATTATAAATTAATCTCATGAACTTTCTGCTGGTGTGCATATTACTGTGTCTTGTTTGGATGGGTACAGACAACGCAGAGGGAATGTGACAAATCCCTTGTTATGAATGATGATTCATACATAATCATTTCATTGTAAATATATGTCAGTAAACACTAAGTTGCCAGTCTGCACCTCAACAGGTAGTTGTCTCTGCACACACTGTAAAACGTTTAGACCAGTATTGTAGAACATGTATTCTCTAATGGATCAATATAGATTTTGCCTTATTAACTTGAAATTAGAGTATGGTAAATAATGCAGATGAAAAATTACAAATACCTGTACATATACACATTATCATCTTATATGTATAATATTTGTTCTTGCATTATTTCATATTTTTGGTAAACTATTATTTGTAGTAAAACTTGTGAAATGGGATGCTTGCTCTATATAATATGCAATAATGTAATATGTATTTTTATATTTATTTGAGAAAATATTTTAATTTCCTATTGCAAAAGTATTTTTATGAATTTTTTTATATTGGCTGTTAAAACATGCTCAAGAGATTGTAATATTTTAATTCTACATAGATGATTTATCAAAATATAAGCAAGGTTATGACAAATGTAAATCAAGTTGAGATTTGGGGTTCAAGTAACCTACATTAGTGTACATACCTTTGTTAATACTGACCCCATGATGCTCTATCTTAAGGTAGTACAGTTATGACATTACACTTGTTTACAAACTCTCACGTAACAGTCACAGTCAAGTCCATGCCAAGACACTTCACTGTTAGTGAGGTAGTGATATATATGTTAACAACTTGTGTGTTTCACAGAAGTTAGAAATTCACAAGAAAGAAGTGGAGTACAGCAATGAGTCCTCCTGATTAACAAGTTGTTAAGTAATGTGGTATTGTAGTCTCACCTCAAACACTTGTAAACAACCCCCACTACAATGTTAACATCATGCTGGCTGATATGCTGTCCAGTAATTACATGTCCCCAGCTCTGTAATGTTGAGGTAAATTAATATTACAAACTAAGAAGATTATATTCTTCTGGAATAATGTTTTTCAGGTTAGCTTATTAAAGTCATCCTTTACATCGCTACAATATTAATTCATTCTTTAAATGAAGTGAAAAAATAATATTTATATAAAACACTGCTTAATTCTAATCATCCAGACAAGCTGAAAAAACTCCAGAGGACAGTACTTAGGTTTCATACTTTGGCAGTATCAAACAATGAACTTTAACTTAACAGTTGGTTGTTATGATTTAGTTAAGTACTGTTCTTAGATTCTTAATATGAATGGTGTATATTTACTCTGATGGAGGACTGCTATGATTGTGAACTCATGTGATGTGTGGTTTATCTCTATACAGTACCTTCATGTCTATGGCATGGGTCATGAGAGTATTCTCTACTATAATGTTATATGGCAACTGTGAGTGATTAATGTGAATAACATAATAGCATAATATGACTGTAGTATGTAACATACGTGTCTTCACTAATATATATGTTAAGGCTATTGAGAGAATTGACAATAGAAACGCACCAGTCGGTATTCTCATCTCGAGTAATAATTATAAATTAATATTTCCAATAATCAAGGGGAATCAGTTGGTCACAAATAAATTTCCGTGTTTATGTTTAGGGATGTTATCTTAATAATATACCCTTGAGCCATTTAAATTATGACACTGACATTGAAAGGTTAATTGACTTATAATGTATATGTCTTGTTAAATATGTATTGTGTTGTTTATTGTGGTGAAGAGATAAAACTTGTAGCAAACTTGAGTTTTATTATCATTTCCACTAACACTTAACCTGTCATACTTGCTCAATTCCCAATCATATACAACTTACTGAAATTAAATTACTCAGCCTCACAATAAGCTACAAAAATATACTGTTTACAAGTTAGCTTCATTTCAGACTAGCCAAATCTAACATTACTTTAACAGTTTCTATTAAACAAAACCTTTCCTTTACAATTTCTGGTAATCTTATTATGTAAACACTGAATTTCAGTAACATTCAACATTTCTAATTTTTACTGCAACCACTCATCATGCCTTCCTCTATCTCTATCATACCAACATTTCATTATGACAAAAATATTTGGTCATAACCTTTACACGAAATTCGATGAAATGCTGAAAGTATCTAGAAAAATTAATTTTCTTTCATGTTACAGTACATGTTTCAGTTCAACAATTTTTTGCAGTTTAGTCACCATTTTGATGAATTTTCCTTATTCTAGGTTTTAGGCATTTCCCATAATAGACATTATCCTAATACACTAGTCAATGCCTCCAAGGTTGTAATGGAGGTCCTTCTGTGTAGGTCTCTGAAGTGGATGTGCCAGAAGACTTCCACAGTGGTTGTGGAGCTTGGCTGCATTACGAGACACCTCCAAAACATAACTCCAACTGCTCTCATCCAAGCCGCAGAGGATATCAAATATACCCTGAAAAACAATGAGCATGGTCTAGAATAATAAAATCAAGCACCTATCAAGTGTTTAACCAGTATGGCTCTACAGCACTATGCAGTTCATAAATTAATCAAAGTTACTCAAGATGCCTAAATGGAAGAAAATAGACAATAAGTTTATCTATAAAGAGGGTATCTGAGTCACTGATGATTTTATCTAGGGGACAGGGTTTAAGGGAAGTGTTGACAAAAATGCAAGCTTTCTTAAAACTGGGACATTGTTCTTAATGTAATATCTAAGTGAATCAATGTAACATGGAAAATAAATCTGTGCCTTGCTGTCCATGCTATTGTGCAGTGGTTATATACAGTAATTAAGCTAACAAAATTTACTATAATCACTTTTACATAATTCTGGTTGTAGTTAGCCACTTATCTTTCCAATGTTTGCATATACTGTAGCCTAAATTATTGGCTAAAACTCTAAATAGAGAATTGGATGGGATTTGGGGTAATGGTATTTGCTCAATTGGTTTTTCTGGCTGCTGGTATTACCAGTTCCTCTGAGGCAACACCTATATTATCTCAATAAACTATCTTGGACAACACACATGCACAAAATGTGTCTTATATTAGTATAAAGCCATTGCACAACAAAATCTAGGTAATTAAAAAAAAAAAAAAAAAAAAAAAAAAAAAAAAAAAAAAAAAAAAGAGTAACTTTCATGTCAAAGAACCTTATGTTGGCCTAAGTATGGCAACCTGACAGCAGACTGGTCTGGTGAGCCATCGATCAATTAGCGAGTGTTACATGGCAATCAGGACAAATTCTAGCAAAACATGGAAATTCTCCAAATGATTCCTAAATGAACTTTCTAGGTAATTTTAAGCAGGATTTATTATTTTTTCCCAGCATTTCCCTGATGCCAGTATGACAGCAGTAATGGTTTAAAAAGATCCATGCAGCATCAGTAGAGAATACTTACTTGTCCAGTCTATGAACCTTTCCAATGAAACCAGAAAGAACCTTGCCTTTTGGGATCATCTAAATAGGTTAACCCTATTCAGGTTATTCAGGTGAGGGTACCAGAAAAGGTACATTTGATTTAAATACTTGAAAATACAGTACAATACATACTTTTGAACAGCTGTCTGAAAAGAACACATAACTAGTATTAAATATTAAAATCTACGAGCAATTAAAGTGATAAACTAACCTCACATTTGTTTTCATCTGAAGGAGCTTCATGAATGTACAAAATATCAAGGAAGAAGTGTGGACTCTGAATGAGGTGTGTAAATACACCTTTTCCTTGGAGAAACTGCGGCAGGCAATGTGATCGTCCATACAAGAAAACTGTAAAGAACACAACAAAAGGCTTTGAAATCATAACCATATTGAAGTTGACAGCACTTTTATGATACAGTACAGTAGTGTGATTTATTCAAAACAAATATTTAAATTACTTAAACAGTGGACCCCCTCTCTACACACATTCAAAGCACACAAATTTACACAAAGATAAATTTTTCATTAGGTGACTAAAGTTCTTAGTGAGCAGGGGGTGGGTTCGGTCATGTGAGAGAGTAATTGTTTTGTTGTGTAATGCATGTCCTTGCTCTTATTTCCATAATGTTAAGGTAGGTGGTGATGTTGCAAGTGATAATGCAGCAGCCGCAGCCGAGTTCCACATCAAGTAGAAAGCTCTTAATGATGTGGAGGGATACTTTCAAGAGAAAGTGGTTAGAGTGGATGAAGTAGCTTTACTGTATTTGGAAATGCACACCTAAAAAGAACATACATTTCCAAGCAAGAGTAATCTGCTTCAGGCTACATGGCATCAAGAGAAATTATCTCACCACTTGTATGGCAATGCTACTGGTGATCAAGTGTAAACAAGTACTATTTTACCACAATCCGCATCTGAATGCCTTAATCCTATCATTTTTGTGAAAAACAAATAACAGTAGAGATTATGGTTGAACTGGTTGACAACCAATTTATTAAAACATTCTGGAATGAGGTGAAAGCCTACCAATGTGAAAAGTTTTCAATCCTTTAGCTGCACTACATGCCTCCATGTGCCTCAAGCTATAAATACAGTACTGACTCGACCCAACCACAAAAGAGGGAGAGGAGTCGAGGGGAGTAGGCAGGAGGGTCAGAGGAGGAGCAATGTCTGGGTCCAATGCAGCGGGGGCTACAGAGCCCGGTCTTCCAACGCGGTCTGACTCGGGGGCTTGGTCGCCCACCCCACGAGCCCGAGAAGGTAGAGGAGGAACAGAATTCGACATAAGGACAAGAGGTCAGACTTTCATTCACAAATGTGCCCCCACACCCACCATGGACCCACAATTAGAGGCAGGACACCCAACAAGAAGCTATCGCCGATCATGCCAGGGCCTCCTACGGGTGCGTCGTGAGTATACGCCCCACAAACGCCACCTTAAGAACCGTCAGTCCATTGAAATCGGGTTCAGTGACGAAAGGAAGATTGATAATAAAAGGGTCCCCTCGCTCTCGATATTGGGTACTACAGTTCTACGGGTGCAAGAGTATGCTGCCTCAAACACCCAGGCATCAAAATAGTAGTAGTCCAAAAGAGTAATCAAAACGGGCAAAAGGTTGGCAGGAAATGACAATTAGAAAGAAGAAGAGAAGGGAGAAAAATGAAACAAAGAAAAGGAAAAGCGATCCAGCAAAATTAGAGAAGACAGCAGCAGGAGCATAAGGCTACAAAAGGACAGAGGATTGTCCCATGGAGCATGACACTGGCAGCTGTCCACCAAGCCCCCTGACGGCAACAACGGGCTGGATAAATAACAAAAATTGACAGTACAGTACTAGTATTGTATGTAGGTGTTAATTTCTTAATCAGAATGTGAATTTACTGGCTTAATTTTTAAACTATAAATAGGCTACATTATATTTAATATATAGGGCACAACCACCCCTGTGTAATGATGAGCAGCGTCAGCATAAACAAGCATACCCACATGGCTAAATGCAGCCACCAGCCTGCTGGTGAAAAAAAAGTTTTATGTGATGACCAATATTAACAGTTTGTTTTTACAATTAATCCTGTTCTTTTCATAATATATAATTTTTTCTATTTACCTCACTGATAGTCAAGCTTTGAAATATTACCGTTTAATGGTTATGCCTTTGTTCCTTATTGATAATACTCCATAGCTCTCATCCTGTAACTACACTTAGATAATTATGTGTCCCATCTCCATGTCAATGTTTAAGTCATGTTTCTATCACCCACCACCACAAACTTAGTACAGCTCATAAATCATGAAAGCTTTTTCAAACATATTACACAAGGTGTAATATATAGACATTGATAGGTAAGCATTCAATTATCTACAGCAACCTGTTGTTGATTCGACACCTTTGGCTGCCAAAGCAACATTAACTCACTCAAATTCCTGCTAGTTTGATTTTAAATAAACAGAAGCCCAGAAGATTCACTGGCTGTGTCTCTTCCTCAATCAACTGCCATTCACCAGTCACTGGAAGAGACTGATCCTGCCACCAACATTAACTAAAATTTCAATATTACTTTAACTGATTACATCAAGCAGAGGAGATCAACATTATTGGCAGGCATATACTGTACAGTAATGTACTCATAAAACAATAATATGATGTATGTATAAATGGCAACATGTTATTATTAAAAAATTGTATTTAAGTGAACTATTTAAGGATCTGCAATTTCATCTATTTTTCCCACAAAATTATTTTCACTTAGTGAGACTTTCCACAAAGGTTGACTATTTCCTTAATAATCTTGTACAATGTGAATAGAAATAACTGCTGAACAATAAAGTTTTAAAAAACAATAATGTACCACAGCATCACTGACTAGTTCTATATACACATGGAGGAGGAGCAACTGCTGGGTTGGAGCACTGGGGCAGAGATATCTGTCGAGCGATGAGATCAAACACAAGACTCAGGTCACAGTGACTTGTAGATAGAGTAGCATCCAATTCATCCAGTTCAGAAATTATATCTCTTGGGTTATTTGTAAAATCATGAAGCTGAAAAGAAAATTAACTACATTACTTCGACTAGAATTTTTTTATCATACAGTACTTGACCGAGTGATACATCCTCAATCACTATGCCAGGAATATCTCAAGGTGGTGGTGTAACAATATTATGCATATTCATAAAAACAAAAATGTACCTCTGTACATACTATACCTATTAAAACAGGCTCATACAAAGAGAATCACTGTTGTAGTACCGTGAACAAGTGTAGGTTAGGAATACCTAAACACTACATTCAAGTTTAACCAACAAGATAAGCCACTACAGTATGCATAAACAAGAAGTATTACAATACAAAAACAGCTGATGGCTGCTTTATGTAACTATGTATTAAATACAAAGTAAAAAAGGCAATAAAATGTATTAAGTGGTACAAGTCAAGAAGACAATGAGGACAAAGAAAATGGGTAATTATGTTAAATAAAAATATTAGTTAGTCCTGACTGACAGCCGGGGCCTAACATCTGAGTGGACAGAGCTTCGGACTCGAAGTCTGAGGTTTCAGGTTCGATCCCCGGTGGAGGTGGAAACAAATGAGCAGAGTTTCTTTCACCCTGATGCCTCTTGCCTAGCAGTAAATAAGTACCTAGGAGTTAGGCAGCAACCACGGGCTGCTCCCTGGGGGGTGTAACAAAAAATGGAAGCCTGGTTGAGGACCGGGCCACGGGGATGCTAAGCCCCAAAATCATCAAGATAACCTAATGTCCATAAAATTGCAGCATATTATCAAGATGGTTAATGAGGGAATTGAAACTGCATGGAAATGCAGCATTTCCGCAAATAACAAATGTAACTAAACATTTATACATAATCAACTTTTGTAAACTAGTAAAAACACTTTTGTAATCTAGTAAAAATGCACTGTAAAGATGCACATCACAGTGATGGCTTCAATGTTCCCTTTACAGCACACCTCAAGCATGATACCAGAGGCTCTCAGTTGATATTAGCACTAAAGATATTAACAGCCTGCCTCAGCCTGGTTAACAGTGACAAGTCATGTGCCTATAGCCAGTCAATGTTAGGAAATTTAAATAAAATTCAGATACAATGAGATGCCAAGGAATTTAACAGTCATTAAAGCTTTAAGCAGTTAGGTATGAAGTAATGTATAAATGATGCAATGGCAACTTGCATCATGAACATATTCTTTTGATATCACAAGCTACATAAACTAGCCTCCTGATGAATGTACAATAGATAATGTAAATGGAATATCTAATCAGACCAATACAACATACCCATATTGGCGACTCATGAAGTACTACTAAGGCAAACTTATGCCTTGAATCTATGGCATGTTTATTCTGAAGGAAGAGGGCCAGGGCACGTTTCACCATATACAGGGCTGAAAATTTGGATCCATCAGCCAACTTATAAGGGGTATTTCCTTCTTCTTTGCATACATCAACGACCAAAATCTATAAAAAAAAAAATACAAATTAGCAAATTTAAATAGTGTGCCATAAATTGCAATTTATAAGTAAATGCTTTTGTGTTCCCAAAATTAGGGATCATAGTAGATGACTGGTATAATGTGGCATGCAGAAGCTAAGGCTGCACCACTACAGTATTATCACACTTGATCCTCAAGCCTAAATCACTTTGAATTGGGTACTCTCGCCCAGTGACCCGGGGGTACAGTACTCTCGCCCAGTGACCCGGGGGTACAGTACTCGCGCCCAGTGACCCGGGGGTACAGTACTCGCGCCCAGTGACCCGGGGGTACAGTACTCGCGCCCAGTGACCCGGGGGTACAGTACTCGCGCCCAGTGACCCGGGGGTACAGTACTCGCGCCCAGTGACCCGGGGGTACAGTACTCGCGCCCAGTGACCCGGGGGTACAGTACTCGCGCCCAGTGACCCGGGGGTACAGTACTCGCGCCCAGTGACCCGGGGGTACAGTACTCGCGCCCAGTGACCCGGGGGTACAGTACTCGCGCCCAGTGACCCGGGGGTACAGTACTCGCGCCCAGTGACCCGGGGGTACAGTACTCGCGCCCAGTGACCCGGGGGTACAGTACTCGCGCCCAGTGACCCGGGGGTACAGTACTCGCGCCCAGTGACCCGGGGGTACAGTACTCGCGCCCAGTGACCCGGGGGTACAGTACTCGCGCCCAGTGACCCGGGGGTACAGTACTCGCGCCCAGTGACCCGGGGGTACAGTACTCGCGCCCAGTGACCCGGGGGTACAGTACTCGCGCCCAGTGACCCGGGGGTACAGTACTCGCGCCCAGTGACCCGGGGGTACAGTACTCGCGCCCAGTGACCCGGGGGTACAGTACTCGCGCCCAGTGACCCGGGGGTACAGTACTCGCGCCCAGTGACCCGGGGGTACAGTACTCGCGCCCAGTGACCCGGGGGTACAGTACTCGCGCCCAGTGACCCGGGGGTACAGTACTCGCGCCCAGTGACCCGGGGGTACAGTACTCGCGCCCAGTGACCCGGGGGTACAGTACTCGCGCCCAGTGACCCGGGGGTACAGTACTCGCGCCCAGTGACCCGGGGGTACAGTACTCGCGCCCAGTGACCCGGGGGTACAGTACTCGCGCCCAGTGACCCGGGGGTACAGTACTCGCGCCCAGTGACCCGGGGGTACAGTACTCGCGCCCAGTGACCCGGGGGTACAGTACTCGCGCCCAGTGACCCGGGGGTACAGTACTCGCGCCCAGTGACCCGGGGGTACAGTACTCGCGCCCAGTGACCCGGGGGTACAGTACTCGCGCCCAGTGACCCGGGGGTACAGTACTCGCGCCCAGTGACCCGGGGGTACAGTACTCGCGCCCAGTGACCCGGGGGTACAGTACTCGCGCCCAGTGACCCGGGGGTACAGTACTCGCGCCCAGTGACCCGGGGGTACAGTACTCGCGCCCAGTGACCCGGGGGTACAGTACTCGCGCCCAGTGACCCGGGGGTACAGTACTCGCGCCCAGTGACCCGGGGGTACAGTACTCGCGCCCAGTGACCCGGGGGTACAGTACTCGCGCCCAGTGACCCGGGGGTACAGTACTCGCGCCCAGTGACCCGGGGGTACAGTACTCGCGCCCAGTGACCCGGGGGTACAGTACTCGCGCCCAGTGACCCGGGGGTACAGTACTCGCGCCCAGTGACCCGGGGGTACAGTACTCGCGCCCAGTGACCCGGGGGTACAGTACTCGCGCCCAGTGACCCGGGGGTACAGTACTCGCGCCCAGTGACCCGGGGGTACAGTACTCGCGCCCAGTGACCCGGGGGTACAGTACTCGCGCCCAGTGACCCGGGGGTACAGTACTCGCGCCCAGTGACCCGGGGGTACAGTACTCGCGCCCAGTGACCCGGGGGTACAGTACTCGCGCCCAGTGACCCGGGGGTACAGTACTCGCGCCCAGTGACCCGGGGGTACAGTACTCGCGCCCAGTGACCCGGGGGTACAGTACTCGCGCCCAGTGACCCGGGGGTACAGTACTCGCGCCCAGTGACCCGGGGGTACAGTACTCGCGCCCAGTGACCCGGGGGTACAGTACTCGCGCCCAGTGACCCGGGGGTACAGTACTCGCGCCCAGTGACCCGGGGGTACAGTACTCGCGCCCAGTGACCCGGGGGTACAGTACTCGCGCCCAGTGACCCGGGGGTACAGTACTCGCTCCCAGTGACCCGGGGGTACAGTACTCGCGCCCAGTGACCCGGGGGTACAGTACTCGCGCCCAGTGACCCGGGGGTACAGTACTCGCTCCCAGTGACCCGGGGGTACAGTACTCGCGCCCAGTGACCCGGGGGTACAGTACTCGCGCCCAGTGACCCGGGGGTACAGTACTCGCGCCCAGTGACCCGGGGGTACAGTACTCGCGCCCAGTGACCCGGGGGTACAGTACTCGCGCCCAGTGACCCGGGGGTACAGTACTCCCGCCCAGTGACCCAGAGTACAGTACCCTCACCTAATGGAAATTTGTACATTACCTGTAGTTGTCAACATGTGAATGAAGATTTAAAAGTGAACGAGAAAAAAGTAAAGGGGTGAAAAGATACATAAACTGTGAAAAATGGGTAAACAGAGAAGTTCAGGGAGCTTAGACAAGTTTAAATACCTGGCCTTCATAAGCAAACTGACAGAAGTTGAATTTGTAAAGGGGAAGGTGAAAATATAGTAAGTCAGGGAAGTTAAGTTGGTGGAGCAATGAAAGCACCAGTTTAATAATATTTTATTTACAGTATATAAAATTACATAGAATACATTAAATAAATGAATATGGTGGAAAATTTGTAGGCAAGACATGTACAGGACATTCTGTACTGTCCATAAAGCCACTAACATACATTTTTAAGCTAAAAATTCTCCATTGTATCATGTAATAGGTGTGTGTGCTATATAAATAAAATATATTGCTATAATCAGAGCTTTCATTGCACTACCATCATAACTTCCCTGACTTACTGTAAGATAGGAAGACGGGCAGCCAGACTGCTGTATGAAGGAGTTGAAACGTCTACCTTTAAGTAAGCAAGGGTATGAGATGCTGTTATGGCACAAGCGTGGAAAATATTTAAGAAACAATCAATATTAATGTTAAGTCCTCAATAATATAACAAATAACCCTATTCATGACTTGGTACTCACAATATGTTCTGGGCAGTTGATCCTGGGTACATGTCTCTCTATTGTTACATTACCAGTGTGTTCAATGGCTTCCTGAGCTTCGGAGGGCGAGGAACGTCCTGATGATCCATCTTCACCAGCCATTCCTAAGAGGCAGTGTGCTATATTTTAAAAATGTAATTGAACAAACAAGTGAATTTGCAAATATATAAAGCCACCAGTCATTGCCACGGCTGACAAAAAAAACTACTACCTAAACAAGTCATGAACTTAAATGTCAAACTCGTCAAATATTTTATATGAGCACATATGAATAGTTATGTAAAACAAGAAACTAAGCTTCAAAATCTGGAACATGTCAAGTCAGAGAAAACTGTCAATTCAAAATTTTCAGAGCTGATTATAGGGTATTAATACTTTGGCTGCCTTAGTCAATTCATAAGCAGAACTTAGTTCATGAATTTTACTAGAAAAATCCCTTATTAACTTTAATCACATTTTGATTCGGCCTGCTGTGTGTATATATCTGGCAACCTTAAACATGGAAGATGAACAGTTCCCAATTAAATTATTCGACCTTATTGATTTACTTGAATATTTTGTTCCTAAGCTTTGAGTAGGCTTGATCTCTTAATAAGCAATAACCAAATAGAGTCTACACTTAAACAACCAACTGAAGTTCAGTTGAATTAAAAACACTGTAGGTACATTCTCTCAATTACACTAAGTACTGCAGTCTATACTGATAACACTATTACTCATTCTTATATCCATATCTAGCTCATGGTATCAGTGTCTGGGGTTCTATGACTCAAAACTACCTAAACATATATATTTACTCAACACATAACAGCAATTAGAACAATTACAAATGCAAAATAGAACCAGTGAAGAGCAGAGATGACAATAGGCACAATCATCGAACACTGCATAAACATCAGAGGTCCACAGATATTCAATACCCTCCCAGGAAGCATAATAAATATTGCCAGAACAACCATGAACATCTTCAAGAGAAAAAGGGATAGTTTTCTTCAAGAAGTGCCGGACCAACCGGGCTGTGGTGGATGTGGGGGCATTTGGGCCACTGAGCAACAGCATGTTGGACCAAGTTGTTACAAGTCAAGCCTGACCCCGGGGTAGGCTTGGGCAGTAGAAAAATCCCCAGAACCCCATTCAAGTACAATCTAGGTACAGGTACAAACTACAGCCTGGCAACAAGCAGCAGCTTTACCAAATCCTTAAACATACTAAATATAAAAGTACAGTACTACACATTCTCACATTCTTTCTATATCTTCAACTATGAAATAAACTATTCCCAACCTCAAACACTTCTTAGACGACTGCAAGAGATTTTAGTGAGAAATTTCAGTACCTCACCCTTTGAGATACTGTACAAGAATATTTGATATTCCAACAGTCTGAACAAAAAGCAGAAATGCCATGCAAATAAAGGCTCCTAAATTATGGAATAGCCTCCCAAATGCTATATAGTACTGTACTACCTTTAACTAATTTAACAAAGAAAAAGTACCTAATTGAAATTATACCCTCAAATTCATATACAGTATAGCATATCCTATAGCTTCAATTCTTTAAATTCACACTAAAAAAAGGGGATTTATTGTCAGTACTTCGAGTTGCAGTCACCTACTGATGGTAAGCAGCTGTTCATAATGTGACAACTTTCATGCTACCCACGATGTGACAAAGTATTACTACCACTCAGTTTTCTATCAAATACAGACTGTTCAGAGTGAAGACCTACATAACTGTGTATAACGTTATTACACCATATAAAATTTTTATTTGATTTACAAAGCTCTCTCTCAATCGATCAGATTAAATAATGATGTGTACAACAGAAAGAGTGCTCAAATTTCCACTTGTTTCTCACGCCTTTAACGGAAAATGTGATTCTCTACAATTTAACACAGCTGGGCAAAGTACTGTATATAGCTTTAGGATTGCCAATTTGGTAGGAATATAATGAACTATTTTTTATACAGTATATGAGACACTAATATTTTATGTATATTATGTAATTTTTTAAAATAATGTTAATTTTTTGTTTGACATTTATGCAAATAACTCATGAACTAGTGTAACCAAAATGTTAATTATAATACATGTAATATGGGGGTACAGTACCATACGTTAACTCTAACATTTGGATTCCTATTGTTGAGGACAGGAAGCCTGTCAGACCAATCAAGATTCCCTAGGTCAATGACTTACCTTTCCCAGACTGTAACTCACTACAGTCCATTAACTCCCACGTACCCTGTACCTAGTTACTGCTAAGCAAACATCAGTAGTAAAAAAATATGCCCTAATGATTTTCCCTGTCTGGAAATGGCATCCAATACCTGTCAGTTGTGAGGTCTTACAAAAAGATCATGTAGATCTCCACAAATGGTTGGAAGACTGTCAAATGCTTTTTAATATAAAAAAATGCAAGACCTTGCATGTGGCACAACAATGCACATCACAACTACCAAATTAACAATATTACCTTGCAGGAAATTGATGAAAAAAGGACCTTGAAGTCAGAATACACCAATCACTAAAAATTGCACATGTTGGAGCCCCAGTAAAATTAGCCATCTAAACCCCTAGGAAGAGTCAAATGAACTTTTAACCTCAAAGAAAAGATAGTTATTCTACTATATAAATCTCTGGTGTGCTTCCAATTCATATTATTTTATACAAGCATGGAGACATCTTCAGCAAGATACATCTGCCTTGGAGAAAGTTCAACACCAGATGACAAAAAATTTTTCAAAACCAAGTCAACTCTCATACCAAGAACAGTTGAGAGCCACAGGGCTAAACCAAATAAGACATGCCTGATCTCATTGAAACTTTTAAAATAGAGTATTGAACAATTTGGAAGATATTGAGCCAACTTCTTTAAAAGGTCAGATGTAACACAAACAAGAAGCAACAGTTTCAAGCTCAACAAGCCATAATGTGGGATGGAAAACAGGTGCTTTTTCACCCATAAGGTTACAGACCCCATGGAACCACATATCCGCTGAAGCTGCAAATGTCAAAACTGTTGAGTTTCAAAATTGAACTTGATAAAATCATCTGGACAAATAGGGAGACCTTTGAAAAGTTGCCAGTTTCCTGTTCTCATCGAGGTCACTAGAGATAGTGGCCTTCAGGTCAGTTGTTAGCCACTGTGCTACAGCACAGTACCAGTCAGATGTGAGCCACTATGCTACAGTACAATGCCAGTCAGTTGTGAACCACTAAGTTACAGTCCAGTAGACTCCTAATTTTATTAAGTGATGCCATGCCATTTCTTGATTGCAGTTAAATGATTACCTGCTCTTATAGGGCCAACTGCACAGGTTATGTTGGAAGCCAAAGCTAAAAAATAATTATTAATAAACAATTGATAAATAAATTATATATAAATTTGTTTACATAAAAGTACTTACTACAATAAAACAATGGAAGAAACTAAACATTAACATTTAAAAAAATTTCACACACCTCAATCTTAACAAATTTTTCCGTAAAGTATTTTAACCATACATATTTTGAGTTTAATGCAATAGGAGTGTCACTGAAATTTAGTACTGCAAATGGTAATTTAGTACTTTGACAATATTAGTAGAGAATGTTAAGTCGAGCCTGACCACAGGCAGGGCTCGGGGAGCAGAAGACCTCCCGACACCCTCTTCAGAGCCTCTGAGCCTCTGTTTAGTGCCTGTGGGATTGTCCCGCCCTCACCAAGGTTCCAGGGAGGTGTCACCACTGCCGCAAGTAACTGCATCACACTCACCCACGCCAGTTTATACCACCTTGACACACTTTACTCACCAAATGTCAAAAACTTTCTCGGTAAGTTCTTCAGTGGTGTGTGTGTGTGTGTGTGAGGTGGTGGTGCGTCACTGGCCTGTGGCCTGCCTCTCCTTACTCCCTTTACACCGACAACTCACCTCCTGTATAAAATGTGCAATGTAGGTGAAGGGTCGTTCCCCTACCGGCGAGCTCCCCACCTTGCTAGCACCTGCACGTGCAATGTTGTTACTAACCAGCTGACGAGTAGAAGCTCCTGAAGCAGCGCCCTGATCCCCTTCAGGTGGTGTTGGCCGCAGCTGGAGCTCCTAAGTGACCCCACCATGATCCCCCTCACACTCATACTTTTAACACATCTTAACTACCAACTTCAATTCCTGGATTACCGGAGACGTGTAGATCCCAGAGACAAAAAATATACATAAAAACGCCGAAGAAATGAAGAGGTTTAGCTGGGTGTCGAGGCGGTCGCGGAGCTGCGATGCTCGGCTGTCGTCGAGGGTGTTAAGTGCCGCCTCGCTCAACCGTTTATTGCAACACCTGGCACACAACACCACTCTCAACACTATGGGCAACAACGTCAGTGATCCGTCGAGCCAATCTCCTCCCCAAAAAGGATTTCAGTGGTCCAGTGGGAGCTCCAGGGCCTATGGCGAGCCCCCGGAGGTTATCGTCAAGTTGGCTAAGGTAATAACTGATTACAGTAAATAGTTGTCCAGTTTTGTTTATATTGAAGACAAGTCTTGGTCCACAGACCCTCTGGGTAAACGCGCTACCCATTTATCCTCGAGCAGCCAAAGACCCACAAGCTGTTAGTGCACGAAGAAATATTCATGATAAAAATGAACAGTAACACGTAATCATCAATGACAAAATCTCTCCTACTAAAACTATGGGAGTACCACAAGGCAAGTTCTAGGAAAACTACTTATTATATGATGTTCTGTATATCAGTGTCATGTCAAAATGCTTCTAGCCTTTTTAAACATATACTATTTGCTAATGAGGCTGCCTTCATTTGCTTTAGCCCCAACCTGCATGCCCTAAATGATGCAGTAAATATTGAATTATCAATTCATCGACAACCAACAACTTCACGCTAAACAGAAGCCATACAATACAGTACAGTACATTTTATTTGGAAGCAAATAAAATACAATATACCATGAACATTCTGATGATGCTAAAACATGTTTTCCAATATTGAAATTTATGCAAATTGATTTTACCAAATTATTTGCTCTAAATACTGTACACTAAACTATTGAAATACAAGAGCACAATGTAGACAAAGCTTACAGGGAGCTAAAGTATTGAGTCCAACCAGTGATCACTTCAGCCAACTGCCACATCACTGAAGATTGTAATTTCTCTTCCCATGCACATTTCCACTTTGCTTTGCAAATTTCCTGATGAAAATGATTTAATGCTTAATTTTTTTTTGGATGCATAGACCAATCATATGTGTACATTGCTCTATTTTTCAAAATATGTAAATATTGAAATGTTAAAAAAAAAATTCGTATATTCAGTACATTGTGCAAAATCTCTCATCAGTATACCTTTTTTCATCTATACTCTAGAATATTGTGGACATTTGACACCAAAATTGTAGCCCAGGAAATAACTGGGAAAACATGAAAGAGTATAGTGCTGTACAACATTTCAGGTGTTGATGAAAGGTTTGGAATGTTTACAATTGGGTGTGTTGCAAAGGGCTGTAATGCTGAAGTGTTAAAGAAGTTAAAGAATAAAACATTTGTACACCAATTATAAGAAAATACATGCAGACATTAACGAAAAACAAAACATGTTCCCTGCCCGCATTCCCTTATATTTACCGCAATTCTTGTAGTAGTGAGGCTGCCTCAATTAAAGAAAGGGAGGAGAGGTGGGACTTCGAATACTTTGTTAAATAGGTTTCCCTCTCGGATACTCTCGTGGGCCTAGAAATAGTTTTGCCAGTAACAACCTTACTGGTTATGATACTGTTGCTCCTAAACTGATACAAAACACACATGGATTTTTATATATACTGTATATAATTAAAATATTGGCTACAAAACTGTGTTTAATTTCCACTGTGTTAATGGCTTTAGCTAGTGTATATAAATAGTTTATATTTTTAGCCATTGTCAACATTCTTATAAATTTTACTTTCCCTTATTATAATGCCTGCTGTTCTTTTATATAATTGCAGGAGTTAGGAGTCTTATCTAAGAATTTCCAGAGACTTAAGTTTCTCTCCCAGGACAAATCGATGCTTTAAGTTCATCTCCCAGGATTGATACTGAGATTCCTACTCCAGTGATATTTAGATAGATTTTTTTTGTCATAAACAGCTTATTATAAAACAAATTGGAACAAATATCGAAGCAGATACTAGCAACTGAAACCATATGCAGACAATGAGTCAAAATAATGTGGCTGAAGATATGATGACCAAACTCCGCAGCAGAACGTGAAGAAGCGATGACATTTTGGTCTGTCCTGGACAATTATTAAGCCATGTAAAAGTTTTAATAATGGTCTAGGGCAGACTGAAACATCATTATTTCTTCACTTTGTTGTGTGGTTTGGTTATCAACTAAAATCATCTTGCACATACCCCACACATGATATTTACACATGTTTTCAGAGCCAAACACCGTGACAGGTATTTAAAAAATAATCTATCAATGTGTTATAGGGTAGGAATGTTTTTAATTTATTCTGGTTAGCTATTTAATTGATTGCTGTCTCATTGAACAATTGAATACTTCGTATACTGAACAGAAAGAGGATTGTGTTAGTCATTATTAGCATATATGGTACCTTAGTAATGCCTGTGTTGTGCCTGCAGATCCTGGTGGGCAAGTCGCTTACTGAAGACAACATAGATGGCATATCAGAAAATGTCTTCCTAGTAAGTATCATTACTAGTACAGGTAGTTATGTAATGTTAATATATTGTAAGTAGATTCCCAGTGTTTATTTTTTAGTTGCTTTTTTATCCACAGCTATTATTTACTTTTATTTTCTGTACTAGTAATTTCCTATAAAACTTAAGAATTAAGGCTAAATCTTATTAGTGAATTTATTCTTGTACAGTGCATGTATTTTTGCCTGCTGCTTCATACTGTATTTACTGATAGTTTGCCCAATATCTTAGTGTGTTTTGTATTGTAACTGCCTGACACAGATCCTCTTCATCTGCTTTCACTTGCCTGATTCACCAACTATTTTTGTTCTAAATCCATTTTTTTTTCTTATGCCAAGGCTATCAGAAAATGTCTTGTGCCTACTAAGCCTTTATTTTTAAGATCATGTCTATATACATTTATATAAAAAATAATTAATATATAGATATTAAAGTAGTCTTAACCTGTTATTTATTAGTAAATAACGTGTCACATGAAATTTTAGTGTTTGAGTCCCCCTCATTATATTTTGAATTATTAGCCTTATTCATAAAATATGTTCTTGCCGTTGCCACATTAATATAACCGTGTTTATATCATTTTGGATTACATATTTTAATTTTTTATCTACTCCATTTTGTGGTAAAAGTTTGAACAAAAGCATTCACACTTTTTCTTAGCATTTTCCTGTTAGGCTAATCCCCTCAATTATATTTATGCCATATGTTTTTTCTTTATGCAAAACTGAGGTACTTAACCTATTTGCTCCTATGGCACAATCTCTTGTTAGTTGTTTGAGAGTGGTTATATTTTTAATTTGAATATTTTGGAAATCTTTTTGTTTAAAATTATACAGCTATTGTTATTGGGTTACATCAACAACAATATGTAATATTGTTGAAGGGGTGTACCTTCATATTGGATGACTTTACAGCATATTCTTTGCTGTGCCACTCATAAAAATGTAGTGGTACAGAAGGCCTGTTGGTCCACACAAGGGAACTAATATTTCTCTAGCCCTGCACTGACCTCATGTCGATTATGTTACCCGGCATCCTGTTCCGTAAATCTAAGCTCATCCAATTTCTATCCACTGTTATGTATTGCAGTTGTTGATTTTAGTATCATTAATTCCCTTTCGTCCATTTATACTCTTAAATAACGTCCTCTTACTCGGCACTTTTCTAGAGATTTGTTTAGTTTGCTTTTGTTTCTTCATTGGTAATGTTCCTAATTCCCGGGATCAACTTAGTCATTGTTCTGTGTACACTTTCCATATTATATACTGTATTTTAAAGAATTACAATACAATACAAACTCAAACAGCAACAAACCATTTGATACAAACTAGGTTGCATGTTTATGAAATGCTTATGGCTCCTGTAGTAAGGCATGACTAATGAAGAAATAGGTGTACAAAAGGCTATGAATGAAACACCGAGGTGCATGCACCAAGATGGTTTAGATATTAATAAAAATGTGTTGGTAGACTGGTGAAGATAATGACTTTGATGGTAGGTTAGGAAGAGGAGTGGAGGGCCTCAGAGGTGGGTGGGTGTGTTGGGAACAGGGGGGGGGGGTTGTGTGTGTAGGTAGGGTGTGTGCTTGTAATTAAGTGTAATTACCTAAGTGTAGTTACAGGATGAGCTATGCTCGTGGTATCCAGTCCTCCCAGTACTGTCGTATAATGCTTTGAAATTACTAATTATTTTGGCCTCCACTATCTCACTTGTTCCAACTGTCTACCACTCTTTGCAAAAGAAAACTTTCTAATATTTTTTTGGCACCTTTGTTTTCTTGCTTGAATTTGTGTTCTCTTGTTTGTGAAGTTGCTGGTTTCAGGAATTCCTGTTTGTCAATTTGGTAAATTCCCATTAATATTTTGTAAATGGTGATCATATCACCTCTTTTTCTTTTTTCTTTTAGCTTTGTCATATGTAACAACTCTGTCTCATTTTGTAACTTTTTTTTTCCCCCCAATTCCAAAACCATTTTGTAGCATGCCTTTTCACCTTTTCCAGTTTATTGATGTGTTTCTTGAGGTATGGTATGGTCACCATACAACTACTGCATTTTCCAATTTTGGTTTCATAAAAGTCATGAACAATTTCTTTAGTATTTTACCATCCATGTAATTAAAAGCGATTCTGAAGTTGACAAGCAACACATGCTTCTCATACAATGTTCTTTGTGTTCTTCTGGTGAAAGCCTACTTTCCTAAACCACCCTTAAATATCTTTCATTTTTAGTTCTTTAATTCCTTTCCACATAATTTTGTAAGGTGTGTGTACTTTCTCTGATTCCACATTCCACAGCTTGGTGGGTAGGTGTGTGTGTGTGAGGGGGGGGGGGGGAGGTTGTGTAAAGGTAGGGGTGTTTGTTGGCGAAGGAACAATGTATATGATGTAGTGAAGGGCAAGAATGGGCAGAACCAGTTTGTAAAGAGGAAGTGAATGTTTAGTGAACAAATCACTGAACTAAACTAAAAAAAAATATTTTTCACTAAACATTCACTTCCACTTTACAAACTGGTTCCACCCATTCTTTCCCTTTACTACATCTTATACACGTTTAGTATTTGCTTGTGGTATTTGCACTTTTTTTTTTTTTACTTTTTATTTATTTGGGTAATTTGGAATAGGAAAGATGCTAGTAGTGGTAAAATTACAAGTTTGCATAATTTCCAATTAAGATACTGTCTGTATTGTTAATAATATCTTAGATCCTTGCTCCAAGAAAACACACCTGCATCCTCTACTTCCTATTTGTGGCACATAATGTCTTATCCATACAGTATATCTAACATGTGAGTCCCCCTATTATTAAAATTTTTTCCTGCTTTGTTGACTGTCTCTTTTTGCCCAATCTCTCAAATTTGTTACCCACTTTGTATTCATCTCGCAGCACAGCGAACAAGTTGATCACGTCAACATCTTGCACTTTTGGCTCTTTTTTCCTTGCTTTCTGCTCTCCACCTTCCAGCTATCCAGTTGGGTCTCCATATTCCTCACCTGTAAATAATTCTTGTTATACCAATTTATAAATCCTGGACTTCCTGTCCAGTTGTTGATTTCAGCCTTTAGCAAAAGACAAGTGCAAAGAATGCTTGTGAATAAACCTTCTCAATATTATGGATAGTGGTGTTCAACACACCCACCCCTGACAGGAGCTGATCAAATACTGACATGGTAGGCTGTTAATTTATTAAAAAAAAAATGGCAATGAATTGAGAAGCAAGCACTTTTTTTATTATAACATTTTCTTTAAAACCTAAGATTTGTACTAGACACTCGAATGATTTAAATGCATTATCTCTGCTTCAGAAATATGTGTGCAAGGCCAGCCAGCCACTTGGTAAACGCTTGTTTCAGTACTCCATTACTCACTGGCAGAAAAGTGAGCAGGAAAGCATCCCGGGTGTTTTGTCTAAAGCAGCGTTTTTGTCATCTGCAAATTGTCTTCTTGCACTTATGACAGATTCTCAGCAGCTTGAGTTTTATATTAAGGTATTGTATTACTGTACTTTCATTATTCTGGTTTTATTTTTTCAATTTATGGAAAAAATATTAAGTAGACCTGTTACATAGACTATTCTTTAAAAAATAAGAATGTTCATAATTCTCACAGCAATAAGGAGATATGTATTACTATATAATTTATGTAGTTGCAAGTAAATTTCTTGAGTAATTTCTTGATTAAATAAAAATTAATATGGTTGGAATGTAAATAAATAAATAAATAAATGTTTATTTAGGTAAGTTACATACATTCAAGAGATTTTACAAAGAATTATGGATTTATAGATAGGGCTAGTACATACAATGCCTAAAGCCACTATTATGTAAAGCGTTTCGGGCATGAAAAACTTAAATGACTAAAGTTTAATACTAATTGAGTATAAAGAATAAAATGTGTTGAGAACAAATAAAAATAGAGGTAAAAAAGGGGGGAGCATGGCTGAAAAAGCAGCACAAATACAATTAGGTCGACAAACAGCGTTGTTTAAAAAAAAAAAACGGGTTGATAATAGAGGGGTAAGGTAGGTTACAGGGAATTATTAGGTAGAGCTTCGTTTTTATCTTAAACTGGTTGAGAGAGGTACAGTCTTTAACATGGTTGAGAAGATCATTCCACGTTCTGGGTGCCTTGATTTGTAGAGCATTTCTAGTTTGATTAAGTCGTACTCTTGGAATATCAAATCTGTATTTATTTCTGGTGTGGTGCTCATCGGTTCTGTTACAACCTTCTATGAAGCTTTTGAGTACTGGGGACCGTAAGTGAATAGACATAAAGTATTAGTTTTGGAATGGGAAAAGTGAAATTTCATATTAACAATATGAATTAAATTGCATATTGTTGTATTCAATTTGATTAAAATTACACAGTTGAGACTTGCGTTATATTTTTGTTTTTTTTACAACAAATGTCAACCTTATCAGCTTGAAGCACTTGCTAGAAGACATTTCTCATGTGCAGTCATGGCTACTATACTCATTACAGTACAGTGGACCCTTTATAACTTGGACTCCCAAATACCAGATTACTCTAAATAATGGCCAAAATTTGCCTTCCAGACTGCCCTTCCAAAATTTAGAATTAAGACAAATCTAAATTTCACATGGGGGGTCCCTTTCAAATTTGAATTGCCACACAAATAATTTTCTGCACATTGTATTTTTCGGTGGGAGCCCCGTCATCTCCCTGAAGCTATCCAAACTAACATGTGCCATATTAGTTTGGTGTCATCAGTCCCAGGAGTTTTGAATGCCTAATGGGACACATGATTGGGTTGAGCTCTGCTCTTTCGGCCCGCCTCTCAACTATCAATCAAATGTTACTAACTACTAATTTTTTTATTATTTTTTCTCTCCCCCTTCCCCCCAAGAAGCAGCCCATAACTGCTGCCTAACTCCCAGGTACCTATTTACTGCTAGGTAACAGGGGCATCAGGGTGAAAGAAACTTGTCATTTTTGTTGTTCCTCGCTGAGAATCGAACTCTGGCCACAGGATTACATGTCCTGCGTGCTGTCCACACAGCCACCAGTGCCCCAAACCGGTGTTTAATGTTTTAATATGTTTAATCAATATTGTAAATTAAAATTAAAATATTGTAAAATTAAACACAATGTGTTTACCTTCTGATTATGGGAAATAAATTAGTAGTTACTCTACTTCACTTACTAATTGGGCTACATCGTGTTAATACTGTGTTATTTACTTAATTATATAAGCTAAACTAATACTGTACATATCTTCATGGCAGGTTTTTGCACGACATGAAGAAAAGATTGAGAAACAAGATGTTTACGAGTTAATTTTTGCTGCGTATCAAATATCTACAGCTTCCCAACGCACATGCTGCATGCCTGATGATATTCTCATGTCTGTTGTTAATTCTGCTGTGAGTATCATAAATGTTTCTGTACTGCATGAAATATACAAGATTCTGTAAATGGGTGTATGATGATCTTTTGTGTAATTTGTTCTGCAGTATAAGTTCAGTAAAGATTTCTTAACAAAAGTATTATTTTTAACTGTATGTACTACTAAAATCACAAGATTAGAAGTAATGATAGATTCAGCATGATCTGAAAATTACAATCTTATCCAGTGTTGATATAGATTTTGTGGCAAATGCACTCTAGAATCTGAATAAAGTTTGTATTTTAAAAATGCAATTTGTTGGGAAAATATGGATATTTGTATGTGTTTACCTAAAGAGGTTCAGATTTTGGAAATTACACCGTTTATCTTCAGAAATTGCTAGTGGGAAGAGACATACAGGTTTGCCCCCATTGTTAAATTTAATTTCCCCCCCCCCCCCCCTCACCCTACTACCCCCCTTTACCCCTTTCCCTTCCTTTCTACAGGGTGTGTCTAAAACTATTCGTGCCAACTTCATAGCTTATTAACAATAACACAACTGTAAGTTTGGTAGGATTTGAGGCAGAGCAGAGTGCATTAATTGCAAATTAGTGATAACCAGTTTTTTAATTGGTAATATAAATGTTTTTATAATATACTATCACATATAATGGCATAAGTTTCAGTAATTTGTGGGACTTGTATTCATGATTTACGTTGCATTCATTAGTGCAGTTTCTGTGAATGAATAAGATGGCTGGTCTTGCTGTATTGAGGTGAGCTGAGATGCCCTGTATTATAAGGCATCTCAGTTGTGTTATAAAATTAACTGAACCATGCGTTTATGATTTATATTTCTTTTAGTGCTTTAATGTTTTACGTGCAATGAAATATCATATACTAAAACCCTCACATTAGAGGCCATTGAAGCGAAAAAAAAGTGAAAATAATATGCTGTTTGTAACAGAGCTAACTCGGGAATAACAGAGGTGAAGCAAGTGCAATCACCCACCTGTAATGCCAGACAACAGCAGTGAGATTGGAAACTCCTGATTAATTACTTAATGCATCCATAACATAAGATAGAATCAAATTTAAAGCTATTTAAGGTAATTTAGTACAAGATGATGCACTGAACTATTAACTGGAACTTGGCACTGGTGTAATATTAGTTACCATACATTTTACAGATGCATGGAAAGGAGAGTGTGAACACTAAATATCTTCATAGTTGGGTATGTCATCACTGCCCTCGCTTGGTGATGTGGCTTCACCGATACATCACTCACATCCTGACTGTTGGACATCGCACAATACCAGATAACACCGAGGAAAAAGAGGTTGGTGTTGTAATGCTTTTTTTTCTTTTATGTTCATTTGTCCTCAAAATAAAACAAGATACAGTACTTCTTACTTGCATGGTGGGTTATCTTGAGATGATTTCGGGGCTCTAGTGTCCCCGCGGCCCGGTCCTCGACCAGGCCTCCACCCCCAGGAAGCAGCCCGTGACAACTGACTAACACCCAGGTACCTATTTTACTGCTAGGTAACAGGGGCATAGGGTGAAAGAAACTCTGCCCATTGTTTCTCGCCGGCACCTGGGATCGAACCCAGGACCACAGGATCACAAGTCCAGCGTGCTGTCCGCTCGGCCGACCGGCTCCCATACAGAGTATGGGTAGAGTAAATAGTTTCATATATATATATATATATATATATATATATATATATATATATATATATATATATATATATATATATATATATATATATATATATATATATATATATATATATATATATATATATTAGTATATTTTGGTAGCAGTCTTTCCTGTAGACATATATTATTAAATATGACCGAAAAAGTAAGATTAATAATTCTAACACGAATTTTCTCAATCTTTCGTACATTACGCTTCACTGTTGGAGGTAAATCAAAAATCACTTCTCCAAAATTCATTTTTATTTCTAGTCTGACGCGACACGGGCGCGTTTCGTAAAACTTATTACATTTTCAAAGACTTCACAAATACACAACTGATTAGAACGTATCTCTGATTTTATATCTACATTTGAGTGAGGTGGGAAGGGTGATGTGGCATTAACACAAGACAGAACAGGAGGGGATATTAATAGGGTATTAAAAGTATCAACACAAGACAGAACAGAAACAATGGGTATTGAATAGAAGTGTTTGTAGAAAGCCTATTGGTCCATATTTCTTGATGCTTCTATATTGGAGCGGAGTCTTGAGGTGGGTAGAATATAGTTGTGCAATAATTGGCTGTTGATTGCTGGTGTTGACTTCTTGATGTGTAGTGCCTCGCAAACGTCAAGCCGCCTGCTATCGCTGTATCTATCGATGATTTCTGTGTTGTTTACTAGGATTTCTCTGGCGATGGTTTGGTTATGGGAAGAGATTATATGTTCCTTAATGGAGCCCTGTTGCTTATGCATCGTTAAACGCCTAGAAAGAGATGTTGTTGTCTTGCCTATATACTGGGTTTTTTGGAGCTTACAGTCCCCAAGTGGGCATTTGAAGGCATAGACGACATTAGTCTCTTTTAAAGCGTTCTGTTTTGTGTCTGGAGAGTTTCTCATGAGTAGGCTGGCCGTTTTTCTGGTTTTATAGTAAATCGTCAGTTGTATCCTCTGATTTTTGTCTGTAGGGATAACGTTTCTATTAACAATATCTTTCAGGACCCTTTCCTCCGTTTTATGAGCTGTGGAAAAGAAGTTCCTGTAAAATAGTCTAATAGGGGGTATAGGTGTTGTGTTAGTTGTCTCTTCAGAGGTTGCATGGCTTTTCACTTTCCTTCTTATGATGTCTTCGATGAAACCATTGGAGAAGCCGTTATTGACTAGGACCTGCCTTACCCTACAGAGTTCTTCGTCGACTTGCTTCCATTCTGAGCTGTGGCTGAGAGCACGGTCGACGTATGCGTTAACAACACTCCTCTTGTACCTGTCAGGGCAGTCGCTGTTGGCATTTAGGCACATTCCTATGTTTGTTTCCTTAGTGTAGACTGCAGTGTGGAAACCTCCGCCCTTTTCCATGACTGTTACATCTAGAAAAGGCAGCTTCCCATCCTTTTCCGTCTCGTAAGTGAAACGCAGCACGGAACTCTGCTCAAATGCCTCCTTCAGCTTCTGCAGATGTCTGACATCAGGTACCTGTGTAAAAATGTCGTCAACATACCTGCAGTATATGGCCGGTTTCAAGTTCATGTCGACTAAGACTTTTTGCTCGATGGTACCCATGTAGAAGTTTGCAAACAGGACACCTAGGGGAGAACCCATGGCGACCCCATCTACTTGCTTATACATGTGCCCATCCGGGCTCAAGAAGGGTGCCTCTTTAGTACAAGCTTGGAGTAGTTTCCTCAGAATACTTTCTGGCATGTCAAGAGGAGTACAGGCTGGATCACGATACACTCTGTCGGCTATCATTCCGATTGTCTCGTCCACAGGTACGTTGGTAAACAGCGATTCTACGTCCAACGAGGCTCTTATCCCTGTGGCCCGTGTGCCCCGCAGTAAGTCCACAAATTCCTTTGGAGACTTCAGGCTGAAGGCGCAAGGAACATAAGGAGTCAGCAGGCCGTTGAGTCGCTTTGCCAGTCTGTACGTGGGTGTGGGTATCTGGCTAATGATTGGCCGAAGTGGGTTTCCAGGCTTGTGCGTCTTGACATTTCCATACGCATATCCAGGTTTATATTCCCCAATGATCTTTGGCAGGTGGAGTCCGGATTTCTTGGCGTTTACAGTTTCGATCAGTTTGTTGACCTTTGCTTTTAATTCGGCTGTAGTGTCCTTCGTTACCCTTTGGAACTTAGTTTGGTCAGAGAGTATGATGTTCATTTTCGCCAGATATTCGTCTTTTTTAAGAATGACATATATTGGCGACTTGTCACCTCTCCTGACAACTATCTCCTTGTTCTCACGAAGGCTTTTAGCTGCCGCTTTAAGCTCGGGGGACAGTATGGTGCTTCTGTAGTTGCCTCGATTCTTTCCTCCTTCTGCAATAAGTTCTGCTTGTAAGGTATCTTTGGTAGTGACCTTCTTTTGTGTCTCGAGGTCGAATATGTCGTCCAACAGAATTTCCAACTCTACTTTCCGGGCCATTTCACTCGGTCTGGACATAACATGACAGTTTATGCCCAGATTTAGGAGAGTGACTTGGTCCTCAGTGAGGTTAATTCCTGCAAGGTTCAGGAAGCCATCTCTTGGTCGTGGAATTGCCATAGGTCCTCCATATAATGTTGTTAGTTTCTTGATAATCCTTGTTTCAGTGCTGAGGTGATGTTGGTCTGTGAGGATGTCGAGGTGTTGTTCAATGCGGGTACGGATACTATGGTCGATGTTGCTATTTGTTGTTGCTATCATTAGCCAGATACCCACACCCACGTACAGACTGGCAAAGCGACTCAACGGCCTGCTGACTCCTTATGTTCCTTGCGCCTTCAGCCTGAAGTCTCCAAAGGAATTTGTGGACTTACTGCGGGGCACACGGGCCACAGGGATAAGAGCCTCGTTGGACGTAGAATCGCTGTTTACCAACGTACCTGTGGACGAGACAATCGGAATGATAGCCGACAGAGTGTATCGTGATCCAGCCTGTACTCCTCTTGACATGCCAGAAAGTATTCTGAGGAAACTACTCCAAGCTTGTACTAAAGAGGCACCCTTCTTGAGCCCGGATGGGCACATGTATAAGCAAGTAGATGGGGTCGCCATGGGTTCTCCCCTAGGTGTCCTGTTTGCAAACTTCTACATGGGTACCATCGAGCAAAAAGTCTTAGTCGACATGAACTTGAAACCGGCCATATACTGCAGGTATGTTGACGACATTTTTACACAGGTACCTGATGTCAGACATCTGCAGAAGCTGAAGGAGGCATTTGAGCAGAGTTCCGTGCTGCGTTTCACTTACGAGACGGAAAAGGATGGGAAGCTGCCTTTTCTAGATGTAACAGTCATGGAAAAGGGCGGAGGTTTCCACACTGCAGTCTACACTAAGGAAACAAACATAGGAATGTGCCTAAATGCCAACAGCGACTGCCCTGACAGGTACAAGAGGAGTGTTGTTAACGCATACGTCGACCGTGCTCTCAGCCACAGCTCAGAATGGAAGCAAGTCGACGAAGAACTCTGTAGGGTAAGGCAGGTCCTAGTCAATAACGGCTTCTCCAATGGTTTCATCGAAGACATCATAAGAAGGAAAGTGAAAAGCCATGCAACCTCTGAAGAGACAACTAACACAACACCTATACCCCCTATTAGACTATTTTACAGGAACTTCTTTTCCACAGCTCATAAAACGGAGGAAAGGGTCCTGAAAGATATTGTTAATAGAAACGTTATCCCTACAGACAAAAATCAGAGGATACAACTGACGATTTACTATAAAACCAGAAAAACGGCCAGCCTACTCATGAGAAACTCTCCAGACACAAAACAGAACGCTTTAAAAGAGACTAATGTCGTCTATGCCTTCAAATGCCCACTTGGGGACTGTAAGCTCCAAAAAACCCAGTATATAGGCAAGACAACAACATCTCTTTCTAGGCGTTTAACGATGCATAAGCAACAGGGCTCCATTAAGGAACATATAATCTCTTCCCATAACCAAACCATCGCCAGAGAAATCCTAGTAAACAACACAGAAATCATCGATAGATACAGCGATAGCAGGCGGCTTGACGTTTGCGAGGCACTACACATCAAGAAGTCAACACCAGCAATCAACAGCCAATTATTGCACAACTATATTCTACCCACCTCAAGACTCCGCTCCAATATAGAAGCATCAAGAAATATGGACCAATAGGCTTTCTACAAACACTTCTATTCAATACCCATTGTTTCTGTTCTGTCTTGTGTTGATACTTTTAATACCCTATTAATATCCCCTCCTGTTCTGTCTTGTGTTAATGCCACATCACCCTTCCCACCTCACTCAAATGTAGATATAAAATCAGAGATACGTTCTAATCAGTTGTGTATTTGTGAAGTCTTTGAAAATGTAATAAGTTTTACGAAACGCGCCCGTGTCGCGTCAGACTAGAAATAAAAATGAATTTTGGAGAAGTGATTTTTGATTTACCTCCAACAGTGAAGCGTAATGTACGAAAGATTGAGAAAATTCGTGTTAGAATTATTAATCTTACTTTTTCGGTCATATTTAATAATATATGTCTACAGGAAAGACTGCTACCAAAATATACTAATATATATATATATATATATATATATATATATATATATATATATATATGTATGTATGTATATACATATATTGCGCATCACGTCATATGACGTGTTGGACGTTGTTCCAGTCAACTGCGCATCACGTCATATGATGTGTTGTAGTACTACACAAGATTTAAACGGCCCGCGGATACACGGGGTTCACCACACCTTCATCAGGGCTCTTGTAAACAGACGCCATTTAAAAAAAAAAAATCGTGGGCCAAACTCCCAGGTGTTATTGGCCTCAGTATTGAGTGAGCAACCAAGCCTGACACACGCAGCATGAGCTAACAGCACTGCTGTTCAGCTTGTGACCACAGCATCGCCTAAAAATGCCAAAATATACTTGTTCATGCTATTATGTAGCGATGATATTATTACAGAAGACCCCTGACTGTGATAAAACTGACCAGGGTTCTGATAATAGCAGGATTGTGGTGATATTTAGTGCTGTGCGCCATGGAGGGAGGAGTAATGCTGTGGGAGGGAGGGTGGTGGCGATGTCTTCTGACTGTGTGTGGCCACCTTTTATTGACTGCACTCAGCATACCAGCTTAGTGGTTCGCTGTGGTGAACACAAATGTAGATACTTATATATAACGTGTGTATAGAGGGTATAAACAGCAAGAGAAGGTTTGGAGCCGCCATTTTGGTGAGGGTGGTGGCGTCGTCTGCACGACGCCACCGTGCAGATGACAGTGTTGTTTACTGGTTACCACGATGGTCTTTGGGCACCATACCAGTTTATTTGTACAAGTATGGTGAATAAAACAGGTAGATATTTATATATAATGTGTGTATATAGTGTAATAACACCACACAGTATTGTTGGAGGAGAAATATTAGTGCGTCTGGCCTTGAGGGCGGCAGCCATCAGCTGACTGTGTGAGGTCCTATGTCTTTGTGCCTTTACTCACCATACAAGCTTAGATGTACAGTTATGGTGAACAAAACATGTAGATACTTATATATAACATCTGTATATAGTGAATTATAGCAAAAACATTATTGTGGGAGGAGAATGTGGGTGAATCAGATGACTGGAGGGGGGGCGGGAGTGGCTGGCTGGTACACGGCGGTCACTCCTCGTTACTTTTTGACTCATAATAGCTACTTAGTGGTTCGTTATAGTGAACAAAAATGCAGATACTTATATATAACCTGTGCTTATAGTGTAATAACCGACAAATTATTTGTTCACTGATTGATGAACATAATTGAATCAACAATATGCACACCATATTTTTGAGTACAGCAATGATTCACTCATTTTATTATAAAAATATATCAAACTACACACTATTGAATAATAATACAACAAAAAAAACAATGAAAAATCAATCAGAGACATTGAAATAATTCGGTAATTATCTCTTTGTGGCAACTCCGGCCTGACAGCTGGCGATCAAGAGATCGCTTGGGACGCATGCTGAGTCAGCGCCTATAATTTGCCAGACTTCCCCGCCCTATAGCGGGCAATATATGCCACTTACGATTTTTTAATTATTTTTCCCGTGATCAGTGAACACAAATTAACAGGAAGAAAATTTTTTTTTTTTTTCAAAATGACATGCACCTGTGGGGATGACAGGATATTAAACCCCGAGCATGTTAAGGGTTAATTAAAAAAAAGTGTGCAGCATGGTAAGAACTGAAAAGTGTCACTGAGATAAAGCTGTAGCAGGCCATTGCGTTAACCATTTTAATGACAATGTGATGTCTCACTACAAACAAGCATTAAAACAAAGGGGAAAAACAAGTGTTTAAGGACAGATTCTTAGTAAGACAAGCAAGCAGAGACCCTCAACCAGGTCCTAGTGGCATGCTTGCAAAACATGGGAGAGGAGTATCCCAGTGAAGCCATCACTGCCTGATGTTATACTGGAATGGGACTCCCCTTTCCTAACACTAACATCACCCCTCCTCCTCCCCCGTCCTCCCCCTCCTCCCCCCATCATCATCCCCCGCCCCTCCTCACCATTTTCCATACGCCAATAAGTCATTAATAAAGGTATGATATACTAATTTGTACATACTGTAGTGCAAAATATTTGTACAGTAGTATTATGTATGAAATGTATTTTGAAGTTTATATTTTTGGGAGTGTGGAACAGATTAATTCAATTTACAGTATTTTTTACAGGAAAATTCGTTCCGGTTTACGAATTCTCGGTTTACGAACCGTCTGTGGGAACGGATTAAATTCGTAAACGGAGGTACCACTGTATATTATATAATATATTATATATTATAATATAAAATTCTTGAAACAATCCACATAATAGTAGAACAACCCACTATAAATACCCAAGTAATAGAACTAGTCACTCTACCCACCATGAGAGTAAGAACAAGACCGGAACACAAAGATGGCAACGGAGATGACACTGCTCACCACCACCATGCCCACTACACCTGATTAATATTTGTATGTGCTTCCTTTCCCTTTTTCCTGCTTTATTCGTCCCCATTTATGTCTCCATTTATGCCCTATTCTTTCCTTCTTTATGCCATACTCCTCACCTATTTGTATTATGTACCAGACCTCCCTAATGGTATAAATCCAATTGCCCAGTACAGATCCATCCCTGGCTCCTGTGCCAGGTAAGTCCACTACGGGCTCACCATAGTCCGTGCTACTTGGAACTTGTTCCGAGTAGCTGAATCTATAACAACAACAATAATAATACAGATCCATCACTTGAGAATGAACTACTGTATGTAGGTTCGAAACGTTGTGTAAATTTATAATGTGTAATACATTCTAAAGTTAATTATTTCATTTAGTTTACCTCGAACAAAGATAACATTTGGAGAAATGTTTTGTGTGCATTTTATTTATTATGTTTTGTCTTCTAAACAATAAGATTTGACTCAGATTTTACCGTCATTTTACACTAAATTCTTTTCTGAAAATGAATGTTTTGTTTAGAAACTATATTTGTCATCTTGTCTATTTTCACAGCTTGTCTTGGTGGTGGTGTGATAAGGAATTTTATTGACCTTACCAACAATGTTAATATTTAAGGTATGGGGGTAGTTCCAGATTGACCTTTAAAATACAGCATTAGGGGAAGACAGTTCCCCTAAGACAGTCATATATATGTAGTATTTATTATAAATTACTTAATAATTTGATAATAGTAGAGTTTAAAAAGTTTTATCCATTTATGCAGGCTGACCAAGATACACCCATCCTAGACTGCCCCAGCAAAACTTCATGTGTTACTCTGCACCCTGCACTCATCTGGCTTTTGACAGGGTCTCTTCCAACAATATACACAAAGCAACAGAAGAAGAATAATCTCCCTTCCTCTAACAATCTGTTAATGGATCCTCATGTCTTCATTAGCAGAATGGTGAGATTTTAACTTTTATTGTACTGTAACTGTAGTGGGACCGTTATATTATTTGTTTTGTTTGACATGGTGAGTGCATGACTCAGTGTTGTCAGAGGTTGACTGGTAAAACACCTCTTTTTAGTGCATGTTTTTTTCCACTGCCTTCATGACTTATTGAAGAAACAATATTTGTTCTCTTTTCATCAATTCTATTGTCTTACCTAATCAATATACAAAGTATTGCCATGCAGCCAACCTATGCATTACACATATGCAACACACTCACACATCTTGTAGGAAATTACTAAAATTGTTAATTAGGCATCAACCATGTGGATTTGTGTTTGTTTTTCTTCCTTAGTTTCCATTCAGTATCTAAAGAATGTTTCATTGTATTGACTTGACACATAAAATAATCACTAATCTGTTTTCTGGGTCGATGGGACAAGGGAACTTGGGAAATTGTTTACCTGGCAGATTCTCTCTTGTGCATTAAAACGAAATGGTGTATTCAACCAAAACATGGATTTTTTTTTTTGTCCATTTTAGGTAATTTCTGAGCCATCATTCTGCTGCTCCCTTAGGTATATCATCCCAATATGCAAGAAGGTACAAGACTTTAGTGAGGCAGGAAGACTCTCATTTCCAGCTGTTCAGGCCCTACAATATCCCTGCTGGGTCATAAAAAGGTACAGTACTCGAGAAACACTGAAGATATCCATCCAGCACTTGCCTGGTCTTTTCAGATTCCCCAGGATGTGACTTTTGGATGCCAATGGGAACTCTGGATAGCCTAACAGCCAATTGTAATATTCCCCATCATCCCCCACCGGCAGCATAACCCATGATCTAGGGTCCACCTGTGCATTATCATCTTATATCCTGATAGCTTTATGGGACAGCTGTGAAAAGGCTAAATCAGTTTCTTGGTTAAGTTGATAAATACTGTATTACTTTCCGAGTTCTGATGGACTTTGGGGTTTAGCCGATTTTCTTTGGTTGCTAATTTTATCTGGTTCTAGGGAATGGAGGATGTGGATCATATTAGGTATTCCCAAGTTTCCCATCCATTTTTCTCTTTTTATCTCTTTAGTACCAGTTCTCTAGCTGAAGATTTATTGTGATGCCAATGCTCCTTGGCAGTATCGTACGCAGGAATTTTGGCCTATTTATTAGTCACTTTTAATTCCACTTTGTTTTTTCAATTTTGCTTTGTTCCACTTGATGCTTGTCTGTAGTCTGCTCTTTTCAATTCAGGTTCATGGGTTATTGGTACATATTCCTATTCTTGGAAGTACTAGTGCATACCTAATCATGTATACAAGGAGAGCAAAAATCTAACTCTAGACCCCATACCTCATAGCTACTGTACCTTGTGCATTTATACTTCCCCAGCATTCCAGTAGGTATATTTTATCTTAAAGGTGCAAATGATTGATACATCCACCACCTGTAGATTCAGTTCATTCGACATATTTACCACTCGCTTCATACATTTTTATTGTGTGTTTTGATCTCACCTGTGCTCTTATGTTGTCCCTCACCTGGAAAAAGCACAGACTGTTTAAGTTCTCTTTTTCCCTTCAGTTTCTTGGCCTTGTTCATTGTGATCATGCAAATTTTTGTTCTCTTTAAATCATTAGACAGTTCTGTTATGCAGTTCACCTAACTCGTCACTTGAATGTCTCGTACCAGTCTCATTTGGATTCCATACTGGAGCTGCGCAGCCTAACTTAGGCAGTGTTTAGCATTCTGAGGAATTGCATGTTTAAGTTCTTAAAATGCATCTTTATCTATTTAGGTTTTCTGTTCAAATTTGCCTCTGGTGCTGTGAGGATATGTAGGCCTTTAGGTCACTGTAATATCAGTCTGATTAAGTTATCAGCAAAATAGCATGGCCTCATCGCCAACCACTTGGGATGAATGGTAAAGTAACTCTCTCTCTTCATGCAGATCAGCGTTCTATCCCCGACTGCCCAAGTGACTGGCCACCATTCCTTTCCCCTGTCCCATCCCAAATCCTTATCCTGACCCCTTCCAAGTGCTATATAGTCATTATGGCTTGGCACTTTTTCCTGATAGTTCCCTTCATTTCTGTCTGGGCAGCATGAACAGAACTCTTGAAACTACATAAAGGTACACAACAGGTAATATAGATCAACAAGCATACAAACAAGCAAGAAATAACTACACATCATTGATCAGAGAGACACGGAAACTATGAAAAATAGCAGACAAGCAGAACCCAGCCTATTCTATAATTCATTAAAGGCACATTGCAAGTGAAAGGCAAAATCCAAAGATTACAAATGGGAGATACTCAGTGACTGTAAAGGAAATGTGTGAAACACTAAAACAGATCCAAAGTGTGTGGATGCGAGATGTTTTCGGCAACCCAGCTATAATATTGACTTTTGAATATAAATTACAGTACAGTATATAGAAGTATCTAGCCCCTTGACAGCGCTGCTGCTCATAGCCGACAACACTGCTGAGCACAAGAAAAAAAATTTCTTCTAAGATTGTTAAAACGCAGTATACAACCATACATGAAGTGTTCTACCTTAACTAGAAACAAAGGTTGTGAATTTCTTTTGATGAGCTTGTAAGCAAAAAGGTATTTTTTTAACACTGGGAACCCTGCTGAATGAATATCATGCATCACTGAGGGTTGAAATTTTGTATATGTATGTTACTTAATGTACTCTAACATCCCTGCTAAATTTCATGTAAATCTGAGATAGTCAGGTTGGGAGCTGTGATGATTTATTCTACTGAAATTATCGAAGTGTAGTTACAGGATGAGTTATGTTCGTGATGTTCCATCTTCCCGTTATTCTTTATAATATGTATGGGATGTAATTCCATACACCACTTGTATGGTATCACCACTTGTATGGTGATCAGGTGGCTTCGTTGGTGTCCCACCTGCAAGTTTTGTCTAGATGGCAGTATGAAATTTCCTGGCGGTCCTTTCTGCATTTTTTGTCTCTTCGTAGGTTGTCTTCAATTTCTGATCGGGGTGTTTTTGTCCTCTCTCTTAGTTGTTTCAGGACCGTCATCTTATGCCAAATACAGAACTGTCGCCTCGTATTGTGCGGCACTGGCAGAGCAACTGCAGCTTGCATTCAGGGTGGATGTCACTTCTGCTCCATTCCACAAGCTTTCTGCGGCGTTGTTTTACCTCCAGCCTTCTCATGCTCCGCCTGAGCCATCCTGGTCGTTGGACCGGGTGCTCTCTTTTCTCTCTCCTCTTCAATTTGTGGTGGTCCCCTCGGTTCAGAACTGTTTTTCTAAGGCTCTCTTCTTGTTGGCATTGGCCTCTGGGGGTTGGATCGGGAGCTTCATGCTCCCTCCCGCGCAGGGTTTCTGCTCTTTCGGTCCTGGTGACCGTTTCATTTGTTTGCAGCCGTCTCCTTCTTTTCTGGGGAAAAATGAATCTCCCCTGCTTTCCAAAGGGGACCTTGGGTTGTTGATGCTTGGTTGGTTCGGCCGGGGGTGCATCATGTTTTGTGTCCGGTTGCGGCTCTTCACCATTATCTGCACGCCACCGCCTCAGTGGCAGGGGACGTGCTTTGGGTGGACCCGGTTTCCCATCTTTCCTGTTCCAGGGCACGGGTCTCCCAGGTCATCTGCAAGATTATTTGGTCCAGCCAGCTTGTGGCCTATCCCCGTGCCCATGATGTTCATAAGTTCGCGGCTTTGGCTGCAGTTTTTGAGAAAATGTCCTGGGCTGATATTCGGGCACGGGGCTTTTGGAGGTTGAACAGGGTTCTGGCTGCACGGTATCTCGTTAATGTTCCTGGCCATTCTCGGGCGTGTGTAGCCTTGGGTCGCAGCTTGCAGCCAGTTGTCTCGACTTCGAGTTGAGGAGCGAGTAACAACCGCCTCCCGGGTAAGTCCCTTTTTTTCTTTGTCTTTGGTTAGGTAGCTCCGGGGAGCCAAAGGGGCTCTTCACAGAAAACCAGCATTGAATGTAATGAAACGCCATTTTCTGGGTGAGACCCAGAAGCACCCCGGCCTCCCTCCCTCCCTCTGGTCGGCTTTTTTTTTCGCGTTTTTGATACTCGGCCTGTGAACTGAGGAGAGTTGCCGGCGTGGAGGTCTGGGACCTCCCCCCCTCCCCATCTACTTCTGATCAAAATTATTTGATTAGAAGTAGTTTGTTTTGGAATTCCTACCTTTCTGGGTGCCTGACCTGGTAGATGGCAGACAAAGACTGCTTAAAATTACACGGGGGTGTCTTTAGGCCATTGCTCCTCATGCTTCTCTTGAGGGGGCCAGGTTCTGGCTCTGGTCCCCGGTAGGCCTAGAACCCCATCGATTGACTGTTGCCACAGTCTAATATATACACATCAGACCGGTACAGCTCCGGGGAGCCTCCGGGTCTCACCCAGAAAATGTCGTTTCGTTACATTCAGCGCTGTTTTTTTTAGTTAATAATTATGGGGATGTGGAACAAATTAATTCAATTTACATTATTTCTTGTGGGGAAATTCGTTGCTGTTTTCATAGTTTAGGTTTTCGTAACGTCTCTGGGAACGGATTAGCTACGAAAATGAAGGCACCCTTGTACAGTACTACTAAATGGTTCCCGTAACTTAAGAACTTCAGCTATGAGGAGTGGCTGGAAATGTTAAACATGCCAAGATAAGAAGATAAGAGGAAAAGAAGTGATATGATCATTACATACAATATAGTAACTGGAATCAGCATAATACAAGAGTTTTTTAAATTTGCAACTTTAGGAACAAGGGGTCAAAGATTCATGCTAAGGAAGCAAAAGTGCCAAAAAACATGGGAACATTCTCAATTGCAAACAGAGGGTAGATGTTTGGAGTAAAGTGAAAAGGTGGTGGATGCCAAACACATTAATAGTTTCAAAGCATCACATTGCAAAGAGTAATGGGAAGATGGAACACCACGAACATAATTCATCCTGTAACTACACTTAGATAATTTTAGTAGAATAAATCATCACGGCTCTCAACCTGACTATCTCAGGTTTACATGAAATTTAGCAGGGATGTTAGAGTACATTAAGTAACATACATATACAAAATTTCAACCTTCAGTGATGCATGATATGCATTCAGCAGGGTTGCCAGTGTTGAAATAAAATACAGCTTTTTGCTAACAAGCTCATCAAAAGAAATTCATAACCTTTGCTTTTAATTAAGGTAGAACCTTCATGTATGGTTGTATAAATAGGAAGTTCCTCCTAGTTATATCTTCCCAAATTCATTCATATATGGGCCTATTGATGCATACAAGGTAGTTTCTATTTATATCCATGATATAGGTAGTAATTGACTTGTATGACCCAATTAGCATTCTGTAGTTTATTATTGTTCAGTTGATGATTGGTTGACCTGGTGCACTAAATTATAACTATGAAGAGTTGTGAAAACCTTACGAACATAATCGGTATACTGTACATTTCATGTCCAGTATTTATAATGGAATTTTATACAGTGATTACTGCATTGGCATAGTAATATTTGCAACAATAACCACATTTACATAGCGAGCTATCGTAAACGATGGCCGAAGTTTTTTCTGGTATTAAGGTAAGCTCCATTACTGTACATCAATATAGACATAGCATATCCATATTTGCATCATTTATGTAAAACCCAAACAGTAATAGTCTGCGTATGATAACTACATTACCCAGCGAATATGTATATGATAACTGCACTTTAAGGGTAAAGCATTTCCATACTTTTAAAGGAGCCATATATAGTCTACTATCGTGTTATTGTTTTAGTAACTCCATCCAGCTGTCTGCTGGAAGGTGAGAGTTCAGCAGGCGTGACTGACTGTCACTTTACTCCAATGTACTTTGCTGTTTGTAAACCAAATGAATATATCATTATGAAAGTAGTAGTAGTAGTAGTGTTGAAAATGTTTAACATATAAGCATTGTATGTTTATTACATGACTAGTATACTATGTAGGCAAAATGATGAAGGAAATGCAGTAGCTTGAACAATTTGAGCTCAAATGACATGATAGGCTTTCAATGAAGTTGAAGTGTAGATAGGCTGTGGCCAAACAAGAAGACAGATACGATGACACACATAATATTTATTGCACATTGATACACAAACACAGTGGGGCCGGTGGCTGAGGGGACAGCACGCACGCTTGATATGTATTCATGTGGACCGAGGTTTGATTCCCGGGGCCAACAGAAACAAATGGGTAAAGTTTCTTTCATCCCGATGCCCCTGTTACCTAGCAGTAAATAGGTACCTGGGAGTTAGACAGCTGTTACAGGCTGCTTCCTGGGGGTGTGTGTGGGTGTGGGGAAAGAAAGAAAAAATTAGTAATAGTTGATTGACAGTTGAGAGGCGGGCCAAAAGAACAGAGCTCAACCCCCACAAGCACAACTAGGTGAATACAGTAGTTTGAGCACAGAGGACTGACAGTTACATAGTCATGCCAAAACAGTAGGCTTTCAAGTTGAGTAAATTCTTCTCTCATCTTCACTTCTAACATTTCATCCACACAGAAAAATGCTAACTATTCATATGCTTCTCTGGTCCAATTGTATGTTACTGCCATGTATTTCCATTCTCTTTTTTTTTTATGCTTCCTTTATCATTGTCATTCCTGTCTTCTAACTCAGTTTTGTTACTAAATATATCTAGTGCATGAATAAAACTGATTTTCTTGTAGATTTCCGCTGTGAGTCCAACACACTGGATGCAGTTGTATAACAGCGATAATCACGGTCTCAGTATTAACAGGTAAGTTTAATAATAATGAGAGCCTTATTATCAGAAGGTAAGTACATATTGTACTGTAATTTGATAACAAAGATCTCATCATTGTTAGTTAAATCTTAATTACTGTACTGTATATTGATATTGGAGGAAGTTAAAATTAAATAAAAATAAAAGATTAGAAAATATTTATTACTCACCCTGATTCTAATAGCAGCCCACCATTGCAAGGAGAGTCAACCTTGCAGCGACTGAGGTATACCTCACAATGCTGCCTTGACCACAGTGTGTCATGGCAAAAACCATTGGAACACTGGAGGGTGAAGAAAGGCAACGAGAGGCTACACAGTATCATATTACAGTACAATTAACATAAACATACTCTGAACAGGACGGCTCTTTCACATACTCATGTACAGTACTCTACTAGCTCGCAATGATTACATACTGTAAATACAGTGGCAGTCAAAAATATGAAAATAAGGTACAATACATTCCAGTAATGCTTTAGATGAGCTGTGTGAAGAGAAAGCTCTAAGCCTGCTAACAGGTGTAGGAAGACTTCTCCTATACCCACCTGTGGAAAAAATAATTGGAATTTGTGTTGCATTTAAAGGCAAAGAATAATGTATACAAAATTTTATGGTTTTAAACAATTCAATGAAGTTAATGCTTTTTCTGCAGTAATTACTGCAGTGAAACCCCTTTCTGGGCTGTTCCTCAGGAGCACCATATAATCACCCTTTGTTCCCTATTTTACCCAAGGTATATTTTGGGGGGGCTGGGCTAGAAGCGAGGTGGCCTCCTAACCTGACATTTTAGTTGGACAGGACGCCACCTAGTGGCAGTCGAGGGAGTTGGATAGTGGTGGTTAGATTGTTTTGGAAAATATGCTTCTGATAGAGCTTAAATTTTGTAATGTTACTCTGTTAAAACAAGCAATTTGCCATAGTTATGTGATTTATCTCTGATATCCATGAGTTTTCTGCCCCTATAAGATGACATGAAAAAAGTAAACTCTTGGTTCCTGGTAGGTAAGAGAAGTCATTCAATGTCTAATGTGACTAGTGTCCTGGAGATGTATTTTTCGATCTGCCCTAAAAAAAATATCCATATCTAGTTGAGTTTCTGCGACTGCCCAGGTCCTTTCTAAATGATTACTGTACTGTATTTATTTTCTGATAGTGTAATTACCTAAGTGTAGTTACAGGATGAGAACTACGCTCGTGGTGTCCCGTCTACCCAGCACTCTGAAACTACTGACAGTTTTGGCCTCCACCACCTTCTCACTTGACTTGTTCCAACCATCTACCACTCTGTTTGCGAAAGTGAATTGTGTGGGGTGCTGCTGTGATTTCTATACACAAGTCCATGTGATGCAGTTTAATTCTTACTGATTTTGAATTTTATTAATAAATGACATTTTATATATTGTTTACTGCAATGATTATGCTTAATTCATATAATAATGTACTTTCAGATTACAGCACCATGTATTTGGTTACAATAGCCCAACAATGATGTTCATTACAGCAGAGGGTGGTAACCTTTTCTGCCTAGCAAGTGACGTTGGTTGGAGGGACTCGAAGCATTTCTGGGGTGGAGAGAATTGCCTCTGTATGCAGTTGACTCCAGAATATAAAATCATTGAAAGTAAGTGATTATTTGACCTGTAATATAAGTTGAAAGTTTTAACTTGATTTGCATGTCTTTACCACCAATTCTATTTTGGTGATTTTATTGTTATTTTGCGAAGTGGTAAATCTTTTGTAAATAGGCAACTTTGTGAGGGTGTTCATATTTTAGTTCAGAAACTTTTAATATTTGAATGTACTGTATGTTTGGAAGGATGTAGATAATTCTTAATTAGCTTATTATGGACACAAGATAAAAAATTTTGTATGTTTAATCAAAACTCTTATATTTTGGATATTTACACAAGCTATATTACTCTAGTGTTGGTATACTGAATAAATATTATTTCAGTTACAGTATATAATTATGCTAGTCCTTATGTCATTTTTGCATAAAACTCAGAATTGAGAAAGTTCTTCAGCATTTTGACTGCAGCAGATTAGATTTCCTGAGCCTAACTATTCTGTTGTTCTCTAAAGCAAAGTACAGTACTTGTCCATCCAAGGACAGGTGTAAACAACAGCAGGCAACTATCGGTATTGCCTCCTGTCGTGGTGGGGATTTTTGCAAACACCTCTGCCAAGGTTCTTTTGGATTTTGAAAATTTATACCTACCATCAGTCATCCTTGCAGAAATGCTTGATTTTGACATGTATGACTAGAAATAATATAAAGATTAACCATCTTGACCAAATGATTTTGCTCAAGGTGGTGAATTTGTTTACTAAAGTCTTTTTTTCATAATCATATATTGAACAAAGTGACAATGTTAAGGACAGTATGGTATATCATTTGGTTGCCAAATACAGTGGTACCTCGGAATGCGATTGTCCCTGTATGCGAGGTTTTCGGAAGGCGAGGTGTATTTACTCCAAAAATTTGTCTCGGAAGGCGATGGTTACTTCGGGAGGAGAGTTTGGACGCGAGTTTGTTGATACGCGTACAGCCGACCTAGCGCGTGGTGGTTCGGCGATCGTCGCCCCTCCGCCCCGCCGCCCCTCAGTTTACCATTGTCTCGCGCTCAGTGACTACCCCCACATCAATTCTTGTCGCGGATTTTCAGTGTTTTGTTGGATTTTTGGTGATTTGTCTATACAATTTGTTATTATATATCTCACCATGAGTCCCAAGAAAGCCAGTGGTAAGGATAAAGGCCAGAAAGCTCATGTGAGGATGACAATAGAGGAGAAACAAGAGATCATTCGGAAGCATGAGAACGGTACACGTGTTGTTGAACTTTGTAGGCAGTACAACAAAGCCACATCAACAATATGCACTATACTTAAGAAGAAAAATAAGATTATGAGTGCTAATGTGGCAAAAGGAGTAAGAACATTAACGGCACAAAGACCACAAATACTTGAAGAAGTGGAAAAGTTGTTATTAATTTGGATACACGACAAGGAGTTGACGGGTGATAGTGTTTCGGAGGCCATTATTTGTGAGAAAGCCAGGGTGTTGCACGAAGACCTTCTAAAGAAGACCCCTGCAACGAGTGATGCAGATAAGAAAGAGTTTAAGGCAAGCAGGGGCTGGTTTGAAAAATTTAGAAAGAGAAGTGGTATCCATAGTGTTACAAGGCATGGGGTTATGTGATGTGATTATGGAAGGGGACTCCCCCTTCCAAACAGTAACTCCTCTCCTCCTCCTCCCCCCTCACCATCTTCCATACGCCTACAGCACTCGACAGCAAGGTAAGTAATAACTGGAACATAGTTTTGAAGGTTTATTTAGATGAATTAGGTAAATTAGGTATAAAAATTTAGTTTGATGTGGGGTTTTTGGGGTAGTCAGGAACGGATTAATTCATTTCCCTTTATTTCTTATGGGGAAATTAACTTCGGAATGCGAGTTTTCGGAAGGCGAGGCGTCTCCAGGAACGGATTAAACTCGCATTCTGAGGTATGCCTGTATAAAAAAGAAATACGTACATAGAAAAGTAGGGTCAGGAAACGTATAAACTTTCCAAGCATGATTTCCCCCCTGTGTTTTCGCTAGTGCGCTCGCGGCTAACTACTCTCCACTTCACACACTCTTGCGGGTGGGCAATTACCTATATTAAACATTCATATGCATATGTCCGTGTAGAGAATTTTATTGCGATTCCAATGATACCAAAATTAGCGATGTAGGACAACTGTAGGCTTCGCAACCATTAAGAGAGTGGAAACATTTTGTTGCTGTTTGGCGCTCTCGGCGAGTGATCTGCATAGTTTTTTATTTGGTGTTGATACTCCTTATGCTTGGGCGGCATTTTATAGGTATGCTCTTATAGACAATTTCATTGCGAACACAGTGATACCAAATTTAAATACGTGCGCCTTCAATTATTGTCAGGACAGTCAAAAGAGTGTACACTTTTCGGTCTTACCGCGTAGGCGCGCGAAGTGCCGAAAGCATCTGGGGTATTGTTTTTTTTTGAGCGCCGAGAGCGCGAAAGTGTTAAAAGTAGTACTAGACACTCTACAGTTTATAAAAAGACTGATTCTGTTCAAATTTTTGTGCTATTTTGGCATTACAGTAGCTGATTGTGCGTTATTCTTGGAGCTGCTTATACTTTTAAGTATTCCATTTAGCAGTCTTTATTTTTTTTTTTTTTTTGTTACAGGTTAAATGATTGGTTTGCTAAATAATACATACATAATGGGTATGTGGTTTGGGGAATACTGTATAACTATCAGTTATAAACAAATAAAACCTGAGAAAATCAGTAGGATCCATGAGGAGGATTTGAACCTGCACACACCTTAAACCACTAGGCCACAATATTGAAAAGTAATGTTACTTGGTATTCTACTGAATCCTCTTGGGTTCTAGAGTATGTACAGAGTACTGTACCAAGTGTACAGGTGCAAATCCTCTTTATGGCTCCTATTAATTTTCTCCATCGATACCTCTCATTAACACTTTCTGCGGGCTGAGACAGAAATTGCACCCATAAATAACTCTGCAGATGTCTAGCGGGGATGCATGTTGCATCCAAAATTTAAACATATGTTAAAATTTGATTTATTCTATTATTATGGGACTAGTTTTAAAATGCGTGCCTTTCAATTGCAAACAATTTGATACCAAAATGAATGACATGGCATGAAAATTGAGGTGAGAAAACTGAAGAGAGTATACACGTATACGCGTTTTAGTGCGGGTGCTTGCTCATGGGTAATGCTCAGGGGATTTTCTGGTTTGCTGTGGGTAGTGTGCCTGTTTTTGTATTTTTACCTTATATACATATATCACTTTAGAGAATTTTATTGCAAACAATTTGATAGCAAAATGAACGACGTAGCATGGAAAATTGAGGTGAGAAAATTGTAAAGAGTATACACATTTTAGTGCAGTTGCACACTCACGGATAACACTTGCCCGAATATTCCTTTAGAGAATGTTATTGTGAACAATTTGATGCCAAAATAAACGACTTAGCATGAAAATTGACGTCAGATCAGTGAAAGAGTATAAACATTTTAGTATGGGTGCGCGCTCACGGGCAACGCCAGGCTGACCTTGGGGTGGACTGGGGCGCGCTTGCCGGGCCATGCACGCCGGGCCGCGCAAAGTGTTAATGTGATTTCTGTGTACAAATGAAATCTATGGTTTGCACAGCATTTTGGACAAGTCCAAACTCGTCTCTATAACTCCAAATTTATAAGTTTATAACAAGTCTAAATTTATAACTCTAAATTTTGGATAAGTCTAATATTTGGAGTTATAATAACAATTAGTGTTTGTATTTGATATGTTAGGTCTCACTCTATATTTGATCCATATCTTTATTTTAAAACTTAGTTCTATTTTGTTTTTGTCAAAGCAATCCTGTTTTTCAGTTCTGCATTTCTGCTTTGGTATTAAAATTAAGCTACCTTCATTACAGCAACAAACTATCCCAATCAAATTAATATGCTATAACATTCTCTTAAGAAGTACAATTTCTGATATTTTCTTGTCCTAACTCCTATCATTATAATTGGCAAAATTATATGCACCAAGACACGATTACTCTTGCCTAATGGGGAGCCGGTCGGCTGAGCGGACTGCACGCGGGACTTGTGATCCTGTGGTCCTGGGTTCGATCCCAGGCGCCGGCGAGAAACAATGGGCAGAGTTTCTTTCACCCTATGTCCCTGTTACCTAGCAGTAAAATAGGTACCTGGGTGTTAGTCAGCTGTCACGGGCTGCTTCCTGGGGGTGGAGGCCTGGTCGAGGACCGGGCCGCGGGGACACTAAAAAAGCCCCGAAATCATCTCAAGATAACCTCAAGATGGATACAGATACTGTAGACCTAAGATTTTTCCTTTTTTGGGGTACTAACAGTGATGGGGACACCCCTTACTAGCTTGCTTTGTAAGCTTCCCAAATTATAGATTCCAGATTAAAACCAATCAGTATGGAAAATCTGACTCTATCTCAATCTGCTCTTTTTTCCCTCGGTATTGGCAGCCATTCCCCTCTGTACTGGCAGCCTTTCCCGCAGTAATGCCGGCCTTTCCCTCGGTACTGGCGACCTTTCCCTCGGTACTGGCGGCCTTTCCTTCGGTACTGGCGGCCTTTCCCTCGGTACTGGTACTGGCCTTTTCCTCGGTACTGGCAGCCTTTCCTGCAGTAATGCCAGCCTATCCCTTGCTACTGGCAGCCTTTCCCTCAGTATTGGCAGGCTTTGCCTCGGTACTGGCAGGCTTTGCCTCGGTACTGGCAGGCTTTGCCTCGGTACTGGCAGGCTTTGCCTCGGTACTGGCAGGCTTTGCCTCGGTACTGGCAGGCTTTGCCTCGGTACTGGCAGGCTTTGCCTCGGTACTGGCAGGCTTTGCCTCGGTACTGGCAGGCTTTGCCTCGGTACTGGCAGCCTTTCCCTCGGTACTGGCAGCCTTTCCCTTGGTATTGGCAGCCTTTCCCCCAGTACTGGCAGGTTTTTCCACAGTAATGCCACCCTTTCCCTCAGTACTAACAGTCACCAAAGAATTCCAGCACTTACCATTTTCTTTAGCATTACCTGTATTTTATCCATTGTTAAAATACAGCCCACTATTTAGCCCTTCCACCCTTCATGTCAGTTTAGTACTCTACTACAAACATTATTTACAGAATTTTCTTTGATGTTTGCTAAACACTTTCTCCCTTAACTCCCATGCCATTTTTGCATTATTAAATAACTTAACTTTACAGGGAAGCACAAACTGAGCTGAAAAAGCGTGAAGTGAAAGACGTTGAGAACAGGAGGAAGGTTAAATTGAATAGTTCAGATTGGCTAGATAATCCTGACCGCTACCTTATTGAATTGGCCGGCACACGTGTCAGCTATGCCCAGTATGACTCTCCGCCACCAGAAAAAGACTCCAGCAAATCCTAGCTAAGGCAACTTGCCTCTTGAACTTGGTAACATCAGATAGTTTGACATTCTATTTACTTTGGTTGTTTACTTTGGTTTTAATGTGTGGAAGGTAATGGAAGTTCCAAAAATTCAAATAATATATATAAGCAGATTAGGAAATTGGTAAGAAAACATTCTCAGGATATCCATGTTGGCTGTGGTGTGCTTATAAATGTGCATTGATATACAGTATCATTGAATCATCAGTATTTTGTGTAGGAAAGCTGTAATGTTTTTCTGTTTGGTGCAAGTTAATTCTTCTTATTACAGGTTTATCCTTGGTTATGTTCTAATTACTGTATTGACTACATTGCAACAGATGATTCTCTTGTACTTATTTAAAGTAATCTGACTACTGTTGTTCACTCCACACATTAAGATTATTCTTACTGTGAAGGAGAGTTATATTTATCAGTGCAATTTTTACATCTGTTCTTACCTCAATCAAACCAGTGTTTGTTATTCTTGGTTATGCCTCATGCTCCAGCTCCTCTCCTCTACCATTAACGTCTCTTTAATTTTATTGTATATCTCTGTTTCATACCATCTTCATAGGCTTCCTGCAACAATATCACAATTTAAATATTACAGTACTTGCACATTTTGTTTATTCCACTGAAATTGATTCCTCTATTATGTTTTTGAATATACTACACCCCTATATTTATCACCCTTCCTCTTTTATCTGATATTTTCCCAGCAGTTAATGTAAGATATCATTAGATTTTTTTACTAGAAACTAGCATCACATTCTTGTTTTTATTAATAATGTACCAATGACTTGTATTTCTTACTGGGTAAACCATTGTTATTGTGTGTGATAAGCAAGGCTACAGCAAGTGCTGTTTTGATGGTATTGTAACCATTGGTGCCAAGTTTGGAGTTAAACAATGATAACTTGCAGTGACTGGCATTGACACAATGCTCTTTGCGCTACCCTTCCTGAAATGCAAAGTTTCTTAATTACTAGTGGAACAGTCATTTGTTATAGTGTTTGTTGTAAAACCATTATATATTTGTGCAAATATTCTTATTTTAAAGAATTTTTAAGTACATTTCACAACAATACACAAAATGAGTCATATAAATATAGTACTTCAAGAATTTATTTAATATTTTATACCTAAGGAATAGGATACAAATAATAATTAACTCTTTGACTGTGTACAGTATTTACATTTGACTGCATATTCACACCAGATGCCGTTGAGCTCTAACATTTTATATTTTTCCCTCAATTTCTTTTATGGCATTTATAATAAAATAATGGTGAGAAATTAATAAAATAAAATTGAGGCAATTTTTTTTAATTGAAATGTTGCCATTATCAATACCAGACCAAATGTCCACAAAGCCTAGAATATTATATACAGTAAAGAAAAAATAGGATTTTATGTATTTTAACAGAAAAATGTAATAAAACTCCTTTACTTTATTCAGTTTTATTTCTAACAATATGTACCATTAAATATTTAAATATGCATGTAATATTCTGTTCAGTACATTGTAGTAGAAATAAAACTCTTTAATGTGAATAATTAAGTTTGATGAGAATTTAGAAAAACTACATTAAAGCTTGAATGTCAGTACTGTACCATTATGCATAATTTTGTATAATAGGCTTAAGTAATATGTTAAAATGCTCAAGGCATAATGTTAAAATGTAAAAAAATTATGTAAAACAGTTGTATAAATAGGACATTTTTAATGCAATATGATATAATACTTTTGGCTATTGCAGCTAGCATGTACCGAGGCATGTATTTGCAGTTTTTAAGGTTGCATGAGGATTGTAACCGTTAAAAACACTGAGAAGGGGTCAGGATAAGGATTTAGGATGGGATGGGGGAAAGGAATGGTGTCCAATCACTTGGGCTGGACGTGGGCGTGTGACGATCTTGCTTCATGCAGGTGGGCATTCAATCCCTGATAGTCCAAATAGTTGGCACCATTCCTTTTCCCTGTTCCATATATATCCTGACTCCTTCCCAGTGCTATAGTGTCATTATGGCTTGACACTTTCCCCTGATAGTTTCCTTCCTTCCTTTCCTTTCCATCTTTAGAAGTAAAATATTCAGGAATCTCTCTCCTGTGCTAGTGTAAACAAGTCTACACCAATTTACAATTTTCATTCCAGCAACAGGTGTCAACCATCATAGCTAAAGGGTTAAATAGTCTTTTCAATGTTGGAAATTTATTAAAAGTGCAGAGATAACTGTGAAAAATATGGAATAAGAATACATTGTGGTGTTCAGAAAAGGACACTTAATATTTCATCAAGGTCATCGACTTTTGAATTGCAAGCAAAAAAATTTTATACCCACACACTGGGTCATGCATAATGCTTACATGATAGATTAGTGCTTACATAATTGATACAAAACGGGTGTAAGTTCATGTATGCTCTTGACTGATGCTATATGGTTGCCATTCTGAAACAATAAACTGTATTAGTAAATTGTGCAGATGTTAGGAATCAATATATATATACAGGCAGTCCCCTGCTACAAGCATGTTGTATTCTGAAAATGTGTTCATGAAGCATTTGTTTGGAATGTGGACCGAGATTTCGCATAGAAATTCACATAGGTGCTATAAATGGGGGATGCATTTCCGGACCACCAAAAATCATCATAACGCCAATATTTTTGGGACATACAGTAATATGAAATGTTCAATATATTATTTACCTTGAATGATGGAGTTGACCTGCTTGTCAAAGTTGGCTGTGGGTGAAATTTTTCCCACCTATAGACATAAATAATTGAATAATAAATTGATATAATAATAAGCTGCTATGAAGATTTGCCCTATGTTCTCAAATAATAACTTTAAATTAAATGTATAGATGGGCTGAAAATTTTCTCTAGAATTCATCAGCTATAGAATTTACACGTCACCACAAGATGTTGGAGTAGCTGAAATATTTATTTTAAATTTTGTTAATGAGCTAAGGTATGGAGATTAAATCCAATACCTTGTATATAAATCAAATTAATATATTTAATTTGAATCCTGTAACAGTACGTATTTAAAGATTTAACTCTCAATAACTATTGATACACGAACTGGGGTGGGGAAGGTACGTCACCATAAGCCCAGCTAACTCTGAGAATCTAACTCACTCACTCGACCAACAACATGGAATTGACACACGTATTGTTCATTATAAATCACTGTTGGTCGCTTAAGCTGCACATTGAAGTAGATGGCTGTTAGGAGATTAAATCAACAGCTCTGTTCTGACCCAGGCATTAAGTACTGTATCTAGCTCCCAGTATTGTTATTAGTCAGGCCTGATTATAGATGGTGGAAGTGGAGAAAACCTAGTACTGGTTATGGGCATATGATTTCCAAAACTCATGTAAGAACCTAATAAAAAACTTTAATAATTAATTGATTACAGTGTGTGTTTACATAACATCTGTATATTTCTCACATTAATAATACTGTATATTCACAGACAGGAGAAGTCAGGACTGAAATGTACCCTGTTGAACGCCATTACACACAAGGTGACGCTACCTGTGCACAGCGTGTATAGAATTTTCTCTGGGTTATTGATGACAGTATGTGTTACTACACCATAAGAAGTCATCATACTAGCTAAAAATACTATTTAAATATTTAACAATTCAGGTCACACATTATATTAATTTGAATGACTGTAATTTACTGTATTAATTATAACCAATTTCATTCCTCTGGCAGTAGGCTTATGGTCGTATGTGAGTACTTTCATGTTGTAAAGTGTAATTATATGTTTGTCGACAGTCTGAGTAGCCTTAGGATTGAATTCAGAGCAGTAAATCTACATTTAATTTCTACAATTTACCAGATAAACTGTAAGTTCTGAATTTATTAATTAACATTATAATAAGCCCTCCACTGGGAATTGTGTGCAGTCCATTAGAAATAAATAACTATAACCAATATACAGTCCACTTGCATTTAAATTGAAGTAAATAATTAAATTATCCACATAATCCTACAGTTTGTGAGGAGTGAAGAGATATAGTTGCTGGTGGTGGCGATATGTCGATGACAGAGGTGGGCTTGTCATTTTCAGTGTCACTGGCTGCATTTGATGTAGTAGATGATTTGTGGTTGGCAAACACCTGTGGGTAATCCATTATCAGTGTCACTACCTGTTGTAGAACTCAAAGTTTTTGATTATCTCTTGATAATCTCTTGCTTTGTCTCTATGGTAATGGGTTGCATTTTTCTTGACACTAGTGCATCACCACCACTCTTCCTCTTCGCCATTGTTAATGGTATTTTCCCTCAATAAAGTCCAGAGAATGTGCAATGTTTCTAGTCTTGGGCATGAGGAAACTGCTGAGGCAGCACGGGTCTCCACAGATAAAAGTCATTGTTCACATGATAATTTGGTAACGTATTTTAAAACCTACCTAACCGTACCCAAACAAATCTATTATAAACCAACTGAGCCTTCCTTTATTTCACAGCATGATCTAAGCTAATACCTCCTAGCCTAATAATTCTTACAGCTTTAACAATCGGAAAATGAGCTGTTGAACATTCGAGTACGATTTGACCATGCCCCATCTCCCCTAGTGGGCTGTACAGACATTTTAATACCACCCTACATCACTATATGGCTGCCATATGGACATTTCAGTGCTGTTCATAATATTGGGGACAGTAGTGTGAGTTCGGTTTGTGAATTGATACATGAAAGGCGACTGGGGAGACCATTCAGATGGACAAGTGTTTGTATAATGGGCATTCTTATAATAAGGACCTCTTTTACCATATACGAATATTGATTCTTAATATCTGCATGTTGTTGTATTTTTTCATGGCACCAAAAATGTAGCTTCTAATCAAGCTCAATGCATAGTATTGTACAGTATTAATTTATGATTAATGCAATAATTACTGTATATTATGTACTCTTTAGTCATAGATGTGCTCAATCTTTTTCTCTTAATCCCTAAAAGTCTCTGCTTTATACATTCTACTGCCTTCACTTAAAGAAATACCGCATATCCCCCTTTATTCAAAACTCTTGTATTTTTTTTAATCATATTTACATTGGGAAGATAATTTCACTAATGTACTATACTGAATTTAATTTAACTCTATAATGTTCACTACTGTACTGTACTATACATCTATAATGTACCATGCATCTATAATATGTTGGATGCAGTGTAAGGATTCCCATGTGGTAAATACAATCAATATACAGTATTTGGTTGCAATGAAAAATAATGTTTGTTACAACTGATCAAGGCCGTGCATTCACGACCCAATTTCAGTGCCAAAAATGTAATTATATTTAAATGTAACTTGTAAGGTTATTTTGGTATCAAAATGTGCACAAAAATGTTCTATTATTTATACTAATAAAAATATATTTTGGTATAAAAAAACAGAAAATAGCGAACCTTGGATGCAATGCCATTTTAGTTTCAGAATGAGCAGTATGATATGAATCTCTCCATTCGAACTTCTGTAATTTAAAATTGTTAGTAATTTAAAAGATCTGTTGGGACCTAGTAAAATAGGTATTGTCTCCAATGACCTGCATATACAGATGCCAAATAGCCATTCATACATGTCTTTTTACTCCAAAGTTCATCAGATTCATTGAATTTTACCCATTAATAAATAATGTTATTTGTAAACGAAGGAAAGATCTGTGGTTTGTTTTGAAAAATAATGTTAATGTCTTCAAGAAGGATTTATTCACATGACCTTCCTTGTTTCACCTAAATAGGAAATGGAAAACTTTGTTAATCTGACTGTAGGGGCCCAATACGATTAAGTCGTGAACACTTGATGGAAAAGGAGTCTACCTGCTTATCGCTGTACTAATTGCATAGTTCTGCTCAGTCATGCATTTAATTATTGGTTGCCCTAATTTTCAAGATAAAAATATTGGCTTCCCAACAATTTAAATAGTTAATTAAAACTATTTAATATAAAGTTACAGCATGTATATATATTTTTCTTCGTTATCAGCAATTTATGTAATACAGTATACTGTATAGATGATTGCATTATTTGAGTCTTAGTGCCATAGAATACTGTATAGCCAAACTGGGTTAGTATTTTTTGTTGTAATCCACTAAATATGAGTAGATAAATCCTACATATGGTTGTGTTATTAAGTTAACCCTTTTGTGGAAATATTTGAATTTTTGTATTGAGAAAAATGTGGACGTGTGTATGATGTATGGTTCTATTTAACTTTAAGGCATCATGATGTATGGTGATGAGTGCAATAAATGGTGGAAAAATGAAGTTGGTGAAGATGTATATAATAAGTATTGTACTGTACTGTATTTGTAAGATAGCATACCAAAATGTTAAGTGCAATATCATTATTTTTTAAGTATACTGTACTAGTATTGTTATTTTTTGCTACTGCTGTGTAAGTCACACCAGAATGAAAGATGTGTGCATTTATAATGAGTTAATCTATTCTTCTATTTTAATATTAATTATCATCAATGAGTGTAAACAATTCTTAGAATGTTTTGGTATTCAACCCACTGTATTATTTTGTGCATTTATATTTTCAAAGCAAATTATCTTATTAAATATTCGCTATGTCAGTGAATTTATGATGTGTGATGTAAGGCAAACAATTCTATGATCAATGTTTATAATAGTGAGTGTTCCTAAGAATGCAAGTGCATGGCATTCCATTATTTTAAAATTTAAAATTACTTGGATATTCAATATATGAGCAAACTAGAATTATCAGTAAATATAAAAATACTCTCAACCCTCAACCCTCCCTCATAACAGAGTATATAACTTACTCCTGGGCAAGACAGGTATGTCACAAAAGAAATCATGCTGGTACTGTACTAGCTTCCTCATTTCATGGCGAAGCCGAGTAATAATACTTGTACAGTACTTGAGTTCAGAGTAATGCGGTAGTATACAAGGAATGGAGCTTAGTGAGGTATGTAAAGATAATAATTTTATTTTTTTTTAACTCGAGATTTGAGCTTATGGAAAAAAATTGTAAAAATGCTCAATTATATTTTAAGAATTTCCTTTCAATCTTGCCTCTGAATTTTGCAGGGAATCAATACATTTTGCTCACTGGAAGAAATTCATCATGTAAGCAGCCTTCATTACTTAGTTATGACAGCACTACCTTCTTTCAGGGCATTTTTTTTATGTATATTTGATTGTATTTTAGCCATATAATAAGTACACCTGCGTTTGTTGCTTCGTAATTTTGTGAAGGAGGACTTTTTAAAGTCTTCTTGGAAAGTCTATATCTTGATTGTATACCAAAAACTAAATCATGCATAGTTTAGCACATACATGGTATTTTTTGTCATGTGATTCAACACACTCCAAAACACACTCCATATATTTTTGTGGTACAGTACCCGTGTTAAGTTAAAGAACACATATGTGAACATTTAAGTATTTTATATTTTCAAATTTTTTTTTTTTTTTTTAATAATAGTGTGCATGAAATTGATCATTAAGCCATACAAAACTGTAGTGTATTACTGCATATCCTCACTTAGATACATATAGCACCCCATATTAATTGCAAGTAAATTTTAAATTTGTAGAGAAAACTATAAAAAAAAATGTAAAATTATATTTATTGTACATTTGTTTAACCAATAATAAGAGTAAAAAGAATAGGCTTATCATTACCCAATTTTCTATTAAACTGTTCTAATATTTTATATTGAAATATATATACGTGTACTGATATGTTATTCACTTGGACTATCAGGGGTTGCAAACTTGGACCTTTTCTTTAACTTTTAAAATGAGTCCATCACAAGCAACATGGCTAGGAAGACCACCTACCTGTTGGTAGGATGCTCACAATTAGGAAAGGCCTTGGAAAGTTGCAAACTGCTACACAATCTAAAACTAAAATTTCCCTATATATCAGCAATATAAATTGCTGATTTATATTGAGTAATTGGGGATCAAAGGTAATTTTGGGTAGTAGAACCAGGCATGGATACACAAGGGCCATGACAAAGGTTCGAACCCTCGTCATGGCCCTTGTGGATTTGTTCATTGTATGTATTTTTACCTGAATAAACATTTACTTATTATTTAAATAGAACTAGCTTGAAGTGTTGAGTGGCATTTGGAAGGTCATTGATGTACAGTAAATGAGAAAGAGGAGTGGGAGAAGGAGCGTTGTTCAGACATACTGGAGCCCATCACTGAGGTAAGATTGCAGGTATTGGAGAGAATGATTTCCGATTTCATTGTGTTGTAGTTTGAGAAGAAGGTTGTGGTTAATGGTGTCAAAAGCCTTACACAGGTCTATCCTATCACTTACATTCTTGTAAAGCCACTAGCATGCATAGCATTTTGGGCAATAAACTTAATGCCCCTGTTCCTCTAGCAGTAAATAGGTACCTAGAAGTTAGTCTGCTTGTTGCAGGGTTGCATCCAGGGGGGGTGGGAGGTCAGTATTTAGACCCTTGATATAAGCCTAACATGTACAGTATGTGTAAGCTGGCAGTCTACAATAAATTGTATGTGAATGTGATTGCCCTGTTATCAATAATAATAATAATTTAGTCACAAAAAGGTACAATGGGTTGGTGAGATTACGTAAGATTGGTAATTTTACATTCATGCAAAACCACTAACATGCATAGCGTTTCGGGCAGGTCCTTAATCTAACATATCAGGTATGATGAAAAGGTACATTGTAGCAAGGTTTTATATCAACATATAACTACAATATAAATTGACAGGTGATTACACTGGTAAAGATGTCTTAATTTATTAAGTGCTAATACTGTATTGGGGAAGTGGGTTGTACAAGATAGTGTGAGTTTGAAGCACAAGGTAGGAAAATATGAGGATAAAATTGGGGACTTTTTGGTTTTACTTTTGATTAAGGCATAGATTAGACAATATTTTTTAATTCATCAGGGAGTGAGTTCCATAGACTGGTAGTCTTTTTTTTTTTTTTTTTTTTTTTTGAGATATATACAAGAGTTGTTACATTCTTGTACAGCCACTAGTACGCGTAGCGTTTCGGGCAAGTCCTTAATCCTATGGTCCCTGGAATACGATCCCCTGCCGCGAAGAATCGTTTAATATTGAAAGAGGAGTGTCAGAGGTAGAACAAGTCCTGGATGTCAGAGCCAGAGTGAATGGGGAGGGGGTGGAAATCCTGTTCCGGTTGCAGTAGAAGTCAGAAAAAACTTGTGGGTTCAGTAGAGCTCGAGGTTGCAATCCTTATACCATGTCGTGGTCTATATAGGTGGTCTAGTTACTATATGCGTGTGCGTGGGAACACCCACAGCTTATTATAATTATTATTATTATTATTATTATTATTATTAATATTAATATTTTTATTTTTAGCACGAATTTTATAACAAATTTTTGTTATTCGTAAGATGAGTTGATGAAAACCCCGTGGCGCAGTGGTAACACACTACACATCTTTTCTTTTCTTTTCCTCCCCTTTCTTCCTTCCTTCCCTTTTTTCTTTCCTTCCTCCCTCTCTCTCTGTCTCTGTCTCTCTCTGTCTGTGTCTGTCTCTCTCTCTCTCCCAGAAGGTACATTAGGTTTATGAGAGTACAGAGACTTGAAGTTTTACATTCTTATAAAGCCACTGGCACGCACAGCGTTTCGGGCAGCGTCGGGAGCGCTTTGGCCAGTGTTGGTAGCCTGGCCGGGGAGGATTGACTAGGCGCCGATCCTTAACCGTAGCTTCTGTTAACCCAGCAGTGAATGTTGTTAAACGATTTGACGGGGTCGTATTCCGGGGGAACATTAGCATTAAGAACCTGCCCGAAACGCTATGTATGCTATTGGCTTTACAAGAATGTAAGAACTTGTATATGTGAATAAATAAATAAATAAAAATATACTAATAAATGCGAGCGGGTGAAGGTAGGGGAGGGATTAGGCAGGGGACCCGGGCGCCGCCGGCTCACCACAACACACCCAGCACCACCTCCACCACCTGCACCTCACATCGTCCCTCACACTACACTTCTCTCTATATTGATCTTTGTTAAGTGCTGCTATACTTACAGGGGGAACTTGTACACATTGTGTGTGTGTGTGTGTGAGGTGACAATGGCGGCGAGAATTGCAAGCAGACTAGCTGGATTATCGCTATCCGTAAGTCTATTTAATAATTCATTTTGTCGGGGACGGGCAACCTGTGTATGTATATGCGTTAAGCTTATAGTGTACATCCCCGCGCCTGTGCCAGATAAGTCCACTACGGGCTCACCATAACCCGTGCTGCTTGGACCTTTTTGTTCCCAGTAGCTGGATCTAAAAGAAGAAGAGCGATCAGTAGTACAACCCCAAGGGTGAACAACTGACACACTCCAGGATGCAGCCCTACAACAGTTGACTAACTCCCATGTACCTATTGACTGAAAGGTGAACAGTGGTACTAGGTGAAAGGAATCGTGCCCAACCATTTCTGTTCTGCCCGGGATTCCTGATTGTGAGTCGAGAACAAACCAAACTATAATGATTAATAGGTAACTGATATTTAGCAGTAGCTTCAACATTGTTGAGGGACAGGCAGCCAGTGTATTATGCTTCTATATATATATAATAATATAACATGTATATAATATATCCATGTTAGTCTTATATTGAGGTCCCCCCTGAGATCAAATTACAGACCTTCCCCCCAGGATGGAAACCCACAAGATGCTGACTAACTTCTGGGTAGGGGATTCAACCTTGACGGTGTGTAAACGCCTGACTTCTGCTCCACCTGGAGGTGGCCAGATTACATTTAGCCTTTTTCTGCCCATAGGGTTACGATTTGACGAAGGGCACCTTCCTTCAACTGCCCCACGTGGTTGTCGTCTGGTGTCTATATCGCCACTGGAGCGTTGATAGATTTTCTTGCGTTTTACGGCTTGGCTGAGAAGTGCTGGGGTCCAGTCCAGCACTTGGCACTTCTCGGCCAAGCCAAGTGCTGGGGGTTCTTTAGAGTAACGGCCTTGATTCATGCAGATCTGCATTGAATCCCTGACAGTCCAAGTGGTTTGGCATCATCCCCCTCTCCCACGCCATCCCTTCCTGTCCCATTCCAACTCCTTATCCTAACCCCGTCCAAGTGCTATACAGTATCGTTGTTTTCAAACAGATTTTTAAACCTACTCGATCAAACCTGACCTGACTAAACCTACCTTTATGATTTATATGGGTTTACCCACCTCTGTGCAAAAAACATTATTTTTATTTTATATTGATTATTTCCAAAGAAAAAAATCATGAAATATTTGTTTTCTCACCATTTAATTATCCTGGTAGAGAAATCTTGGGAATTTTATTGATAAAGTTGTTAGCCCATTCATTTTTGGGCTAATACTAATTGTAGAAACATGTAAAAAATTTGGAACCCACAACACATTTTTTAATTATATTTTAGTTAACAAAATATTGTAATCTATCTTGGCAGTTTTTAATGAATTACAGTACTGTATTGTATTTTATAAAACATTTTCAAATTTAACATATTTTTGTAGTACCTAATGTCTTGTGATTCTTTCCAGAATTGTACTGGCAGTGCGTGTTTAGCACCACTAAGTCGTAGCTACTATGTGTATAAAGATCCCAACTACAAGCATCATTTTAATAATTTCTCTTTCAAGAGAAAAAATTATGTTTCTAAATTCAAAAAGGACAGGCAATTGAAGGTAAGACATTTTATACTAATGAAAGAGCAAGACTTTTCAAGTCATAAATGTTAATAGTATTTTGTATATCTATACAAGTGTGTACAGTATATTTACACAATGAGTTCACTCATCTTTTCCCATGCAGACTTCCCCCAGTGGTCACTTGTAATAACTTGACATCATCTCTGTACTTTTAAAATTTGATATCCATGATTATCTTTGGCCACAAATTCATTCCTGAAATTCTTAGTTCAGTGGGACTGATGTATTAATATAGGAAAGATCATTTTCAAGTCATGGTCTGACCTCAATGCTTTTGGAGCTCTGTTAGTGTCAGAATGCTCACAGACCTTTATAACTGTGTTTTTAAATCGTAACATGATTAATCCATATACAGGTACTGTACAGTTTAACCTCTATTCTGTAAATCTCTGAGTACAGTACAGTACTAACTTTACAGACTGAATTTACTCACCCACTTTACCAAACAATTGTTTGACTAAAAGGGTGATGTGTGTTTTTGCTTAGGATGCAGGGTTAGTTTACTGGCCTGTACTCGCCTACTTGTACTTTTTCCATCTGTTTAGCACCATTTAGGGTGATCCTTAAGGGTTAATCTTAACCTTTTTTTCGTACCTGCTAATTCTCCTGTAGTCAGACATTATCTTTGATTGTAAGACATTCCACTAGCCCAACAATTTTATCTACTATCATTTTTTTATGTGGCTTTCTCTGTCCTATATGTTATCTTTTTTTTTCTTTGCAACCAAAAATTAATAGGGACTTTGGTCAACTGTGTTTTGCACCAGTTTTGGGTTTGATGCCAGTTCCTTTCTGACTTCTAATCTAATGTCTGTGCTTTTCTGATTATTGCAGTTTCTGGCTTCCTTTATCACTTCTATTATTTTCTTCTCCCTGGCCACTTGTGCATAGGTTAGTTGCATATCCTTGCCCTCTTCTATTTCCTGTGTAACGTCCTACATCTGTACTGACAAGAGCTGTCTTTCCTGGTGGATTTCTTTACCTAATTTGTTGTATTCACCAATGTTTAGATTTGCTTTAACTTCTTTAAAAAGTATTTTCAATATTTTATTTTCCTCCATGGCTTTGCTTTTAGCTTCCCAGTGATTCTTGTCCTTGCATAATGCTTTCATTTGCCCTTCAAGATCTGATGATTTGCTACTCAAGTGGTTAATACTTTCTTTCAAATTCCTGATTATTTCCACATGATAGTTCACAATAATGTCTAATTTTGCCAACTTGTTGTGCAGGCTGCTTATACGAATACTTGCCTCATTGAATCCACCAAAATCCAGCTCTGTTGTATTTTCTTCTTGCTGGTGGCCATCTTGAATTTCCCCACACGTTCCCCCAAATGGTGTACAGGTTCCTGAGCTTATTGAGCTCTAATATGTCTTCATATGAAGCTGTATGGAGTCTACCTCCACCACATCACTTCCTAATCCATTTGTTAACTACTGACCCTGAAAAAATTCTTTCCAACATACCTGTGGCTCATTTTGGTACCAAGTTTCCACCTGTCCTTCTTGTTCAAGTACCATCTGTGTTAAATAGAATGAGAAAGTTGAAGGGCAAGGTTAACTTGTACTATTCTGAGGTCATGGCCCTAGTTTGAAAAAAAAATATTTAATTGACTGGATCCTGAGAAACACTGGTGATGAGGGTGAAATTTATTCAGTCGGGTTCTGGTAGGTATCAGTCATATGATAGGTTGAAATTAAAAGTTCCCCTCAGTAAAATTCACCCATAGAGTGTGTGGGAATAAAAATAACTCCATTTGTAATGGAATGGAGTGTGGGAATATTAGAATATTAGGTAACTCTTTTTAATGTATCCAATCACATTTTTATTGATTGTCATAGATGCACAACATTAAGGAAATTGTTGCTGCCTTGGACATCATTGAGCATATTTAAAATAAAATTCCATGGTTTGTTTTCATTTTGAGTTTGTGCAGTTTTCATTAATCCCTGTATGGGTACTGTTACCATTGAAAATAAAGTTTCAAGGCTGTCATGGGAAATAAAGTACAGTAGTTGTGGTAAAATCTCTTTACTGAAGAGCTTTCCAGGTAATTGTCCATTATATGATAGGCTATAATTTAAGTTTTGCTCAGTGATATTAGCCCATAGATCAATAACTAGGGTATGAATAGTAACTCCTTTAATTAATATGGCTCTGATTACATTACAAGACAATTATTGATGAATAAATCATTAGGAAAGAGAGTCGTGAAAGTGTATTTTTCTTGTATACAAAAATTGTATTATAAAAGTGCCTCTTGAAGGCATCTTCAGTTGCAGTGAATCTCCAGCTACAATAAGCAGCCCCTCCTCCGAATAGACAGTATGTTTTAACAGTATTGCACCTCGGGCGTGCGCTCCACGCATATGCACGAAGTAGGTCTGGCGGTGCAGGCAAGTGCTCAGCGACACTAAATGTGTATTGTCATTTCAGTTTTCTCACCTTAATTTTCGTGCTACGTCGCTCCTTTTGGTATCATTGTGTTCACAATAGAATTCCCTACAGGTGTATATGCATATAAGGTCCAAAATCCAAGCTTGACTCCCCTCAGCAAAGCCTAAAATCTGGAAAAGTTACCCATGAGCGCACAAAATCAGTAAAATGTGTATACTTGTTTCAGTTTTCTCACGTTAATTCTCGTGCTACAGTACGTCATTCATTTTGGTATCAATGTGTTCGCAATTAAATTCCCTGCAGGTGTATATGCATATATTGTCCAAAAGCCCAGCGTGACTCCCTTAACTGAGCCTAAAGTTACCTGTGAACGAGAGCCAATTATCACACCAGCAACCTAATGTGTATACTCGTTCAGTTTGATAACATCACTTTTTGTGTTACGTTGCTCGTTTCGGTATCAAATTGTTTGCAATATAAAGGGGCGTATTTTAAAACTAGTCCCATAATAATAGAGCAATAACTGGAATTTTAACAAATATTTTAATTTTGGACACTCGTCACAAAATTATTTATATCTTTCCAGTGTTCTGACATAAAATTTAGTGTTACATCTTTAATTTAGTATCAAATTGTTCACAATGTAAAGGCTGATATTACAGTTTTATAAAACTAATAAAACAAAACTAAAATCTTTCAATAAATTATAAAGTAACTCAGGATATTTTAAAATTTTGTATAAAATCTCTATTTAATAAAACTGAAAAAAAAATTCTTTATATTTAAAACTTGTGTATATAGAATTGAACATGAAAACTTCATCCTAAAATTTTGAGTATCTTAACAGAAAATGAGGAGAATATATATGGAGGTAAATGTAACGGCACAATAAGTTTAATTATGTACTGTGCAGGACAGTCAGGCAATGTACTTATTACATTTAGTATTAAAATGTACTGTCTATTCGGAGGATGCATTGACAATAATGTAGGCCTGTTCCTGTATAGCTCACTAAATTGAGGCTGCAGTCCAACCTCAAAAAACAGAACTCAATATGTCAGATTCCTTAAAAATCCCAAATAATTTTGCTATCGGAAAAATTTGCCAAAATCCAAAAGAGGCTCATAAATTGTAAGAATTTAATGCATGTTGGTGGAAATGTGGAAAGTCATACTGATTTAGAACTATTGAATACCACTTCACATGAGTGGATGAACATACTGTATTGAACATCTTTTGTTCTGTGATATTATATTATTAAAGTACAGCAATCTTTCCATTCTTTCTATAGCAATAAAAATAAATCATTTGCGTAAACAAATTGATGATTATATGTAGCTACACAGTGTAGACACGTTTATAAATCAGTTAACTCAGTTGTGCTTCACATTCCAAACATTGGTTGTCCCTTTTTTTTTTTTAATGTATGGTTGTCCATGCAATGTTTTTGTGCAACACCTGCCTATATTGGTATATTCTATTGGCACATTATCCTTGCCCATATTCATCCATTGCAAGACAAGGTCTTTTTTAAACTTTTAATTAAGAGACATATCTGCATGGATAAATTGTAAGCTTAATAAAATACAACTGCCACTTGGTCAAATTGAATGTAATTACCCGAGTAGAGTTACAGGATGAAAGCTCCGCTTATAATTAGCACTGTCAAAATTTGAGATGTCGGTCTTGAGTTATTTCACATATCTATGAATACACAAATATGGGTAAAATATATTCATATCAGTGCTTATATACTATAATTTTTTAGGTTTATATGGTAGGCAATTCTTTCACTAATCAGTATTTCTTTACAATTTACTTTGTATTTATTTTCAGTTCATCAAAGTAGAACTTCCAGACTTAAATGAGAAGGCTGAAATGGAAGATATGACTCCTGATGAGCTCCGAGCCAAAGTTAGTTCAATTATTAAAGTTTTGTGTTGATTTAATTATTATTTTGGTGGATAATTCATAAAATGAGATTTACATATCAGACCACTTAACAGTAGTGTGAGAAGAAACATAATTATTGTAGTGTTTGTATGGGACCAGGTAGGTAGATGAGTTTAAATTTTTAATACAGTATCTTTACCCTCTCTTTCTGTACTGCTCTTTTATGTACTTTAGGGTCTAGACTGTTAAATTGTCATCTATGATTGTAAGAAAAGTGTTGATACAAGCAGTCCCTTTGTACAGGCACTCTAGAGCACATGATTGAGGGGGATTTATTAATTTGTTAGCTGCTATTTGGTAGAAGTGGGTATCTTCATCTTATCTTGAGGTCCTTGTCCATAAAAAAAAAACTTATCTAAACAATTCATTTTCATTATAAATTTGTGCCTTTCTCTCTCCATCATATTTCTTTGTGTATAGTTATCCATTAATATATTCTAGAAGGAAATATTCTTAGTTATTGTATTTCATGGTCAAAGCTGTATTTTGTGTCGCCAATGGTTTAAGCATTATTACAGATGTAGGCTTTTGAAAATATGAAGAGATTTGAGAATTTTTATTTTTAGCAAAAGTACAGTACTGTACAGTACTTGCATGGCTTTCTTTCTCTATTAGTGTAAGGTGGTGACGTGTATATGGTATATTGAGAACTCGGGCAACTGATCGAAAGATTTGTTGTAAATACAGTAGATAAACAAATACCCAAGGTAAAAGTGCCTTTACTCTGCAAAAAATATGATTGCAGGAATACTTATACTTACACACAAAAATCCATTACAAATAAGTAAGTACCAAAAGGTACCAAGCTTGGAAGACTGTAGCACTATCCGTGACACAGAATATTGCAAAGTTTCTCAATATCCTTCAGATGTCGACACTAAAGCAAAGACGAGTGATATCAAAGGAACCATATTCATTGAGGATTTTACCGAGGGGACATAAGAGTCAAAGGAACAGTGGGAGAATTTTTTTATATAAAATCTGAATATTGGGACATTTTATGAGGCATTGCATGATTTGGACAGGTGCATCAGCACATGTTTGAATCATGTGGTGTATCATACTCACCAAAATGCATCTGATGCATTTTGAATAAGCTGTGCATCAGTAAACGTGTTCATTTAATTCTGTATTCCTTCTGGTAGCTCATTCATATGGTCTGAGTATGTGATTAGGATGAGACTTACATCTCATCGTCTAATCAAAGGTGAACGTTGATTTGACGTTGAGATGCAAGTCTTGTCCTAATCAAACACTCGGACCCTGACAAAGCGCTCAGGAGAGTGCAAAAGACTTGGTGTAAATTTCACAAATACACAAATTTGGGTTTTATCCTATGTTATTATGTCTGTGAGTAGACATTACCATCACTAACAGTGCTATACCATATATTATAATACAGTATATGCATATACAATTATACATTTTTTATACCGTACATTCTGTAAGAGACAAATTAAGATAACTGTATCTGTAAATCCTGCCAAGCCAAAAGATGTTCATTTCATTTAATTTGAATAATCTAGACCTAACTACAGTACTGTATTAGTTTTCCTTGGTTCTAACTGTCAGATCTTTAAATTTTCATGGGCCTCATTGATTTCAGGCTGTAAAGGGCTCTCCATTTTATCTTAACTTTGAGATTTGTTTGTTTTTCAGATGAAGGAAAAAGGTATTCAGCCTGTGCGTCCATGGCAGGAGAAACCCTTCGTAATATCAAGCACGGCAGGAACATTTGAGGCATATGTACCCCCTGAAGGTGATGGAAAACTGTCTGCCACATCAAAAGCAGTGAGTTGATATTTAGTACACAAGATATATTTGCATGTGGGATATATAGCAAAGTTAAAGAAATGTTCCATCTACATTTATATTGATAAATGTTAGTTAAAAAATGTGTCAACTGTGAATATATAATAATAGGGTACCCCCCTATGCCTCCATGCTCACAGTTCATAAAATACAGCATCTATACTCATAAAACATTTTAAAGCATGCTTATCACTGTATGATGAAAGTAGACAAATTATTATTTTATTGGATATATATAATGTTGAAAGTCGCTATGTATATAATGTACTGGATATGCATTTTGTGAAAACAAATTTATCATGTGATGGTGTCCCAGCAGGGTGGTCTTCCTTGCTCCTCTCCATTTTTGCTTTGTAAAGAACTTGCTGATAATTTGTCTGGTGAACTTAAAATCCCATTGTTAGGTGGTGATATCCTGGTTGGTTTCTCAGTTTCCCTCTTGGAAGATGTACACAAAAATTCAGCCGCAAGGAGTAAACCCAGGTTGCTGTAAGCCCTGCTATGTGAGGAGTAATCTTTGATCCTTTCATCATATCTTGAGTAAAAGGGGTTTTTCATGCAACCCTCTTAACTAGTTCCAAGGACAACATTCCTAAGAGCTCCTCTTGGGCTAAATGGCATTGAGAAGATCCTTGGTAAGAAGAGTACTGACCTGAAGAGAATGAATACATTGGCAACACAGGTTTTCATGATGACCTTCACCTTTTCTCCAGCTTAGGGTCCCTTCCCAGGTTAACACTTTGATGCTCTGAGCGCACGTGCACCGCACTACCCTGGGTGGGTTTGGGCATTCTGCTGGAGCGTGCGGTAATTCTGAAAAGTGCGTACTCTTTTCAACTTTGTTACCTCAATTCTTGTCCTAGGTTTTTCAATTTGGTATTGTGTTCGCAATAGAATTCTCTACAGGACTAAAGGCATACAAAGTCCAAAAGCCCAGCGTACCATCCGCAACAAACAGAGAAAGTGAGAGAAAGTTACCCGGGAGCGCACAAGAGCGATAAAATGTTTACTCTTTTCAGTTTTGTCACCTCAATTCTCGTCCTAGGTTTTTCATTTTGGTATCATTGTGTTCACAATAGAATTTCCTACAGGAATATATACAAATATAAAGTCCAAAAGCCTGGCATACCACCTACAGCAAACAGAGAAAGTGACAGTGTGTTACCTCATGAGCGCTAATAAAGAGCAATAAAATGGGTATGCTCTTTTCAACTGTTACCTCAATTCTGGTCCTAGGTCTTTAATTTTGGTATCAATGTATTCACAATGAAATTCTCTACAGGACTAAATGCATATGAAGCCCAAAAGTCCGGCGAGAAAGTGAGAAAGAGATAGCGTGTTACCGGGGGGCGCACAAGAGCAATAAAATGTGTACACTCTCTACTACTTTTGACATCTCAATTCTCATCCTAGGTCTTTCATTTTGGTATCATTGTGTTCACAATAGAATTCCCTACAGGAGTACAGTATATGCAAATAATCATTGTGTTCACAATAGAATTCCCTACAGGAGTACAGTATATGCAAATATAAAGTCCAAAAGCCCGGCGTACCACCCCAGCAAACAGAGAAAGTGACGGAGCGTTACTCCAGTGAGCGCTAATAAAGAACAATAAAATGGGTATACTCTTTTCAACTTTGTTACTTAATTCTGGTCCTAAGTCTTTCATTTTGGTACCAATGTATTCGCAATGAAATTCCCTACAGGAGTATACGCATATAATGTCCAAAATTGTGGCGCGCCCCCTCCCGAAGCAGCCGCCAATTTGCCGCCCGCCAATTACTGCCAAGGACTCCATGTTGAGTCCTTACCGGACTTCCCTCTATTTTACGGAGGACTCAATGCTGAGTTGTCGCCGAACAAAAGTGTTTTAACCTACTTATTGAAAAATTACCAGTCGTACAACATTCCTAAGCCAGGTTCTTTGGTACCGTGGTCAGCATCATAGCCTCAAGGGCCATGAGGCTGGGCAGAAGCAATTGGGCAATGTTTCCTTTCACTTGATCCCTGTGTTTATCTAGCAATAAATTTGTACTGGCTGTACCTGGGAGTTGGGCAACTGTTGTGGGTTGCATTGTGGGGAAGGTCAGTAGTTGGCTTAGTAAGACCTGGCCTAAATGGCTTTCTGTCCCTGACTATGGGAAAACCTTATCGTTAGTAAGGATGTCTGCCATCACTGGCTGCATTTTGTATCGGGAGAGAAAACACCAGTTATTATGGGTTCTGATTGTATCTGGCTGCCCCATCCGGGTCGGCAACAGAGGCATTATTCAAGCCTGCTCCTCCTGCCGAGGCTTCCGGATCTTACCAGCGGACTCCCTTCTTCTCAGCCTTTCCTCTGGACTCGGCCTTTTCTTCAGGGGCTGTGGGTGTGGAGGGCGGGCTTTGCCCCGGATCCTGATGAGGAGGATACTGGAGCTGGGGAGGAGTTGACTTGGAGGGGGGGGGCCTTGCCCTGTTTGACCCCGCTTGGGTGTTGATACACTGCCCTCCTTGCAGGGCTTGTTGTTGCAGAGGGAGGGGTTTTCTTACCCACCTTCCCTATATGACATGATTTTGGTTCAGCTCCTCCCCAGGTTCGGTTCTGGGTTCCTTTGGGTTCTTAAATTCTTTCCAGAGGTTTTCATCTTCTCGAATCCCGCCTAGGGAGGTTTGGGAGGATCTTGCGGCTTACTTCCTACGAGACCCAGATTCCACCTCAGTGATGGATCCTCCGTCTATTGAGTTAGTTCTACTTTCCCCTATTGAGTGCGTTACCAGTCTTCCTGGCTGGCAGACTGCCCTTTCTTATCATTGGGGTCATGGCATGGGTTTTGTCAGACTCGCACACTTGAGTGGCAGGAGACATCTACTATTGTGCAGGTTTACCTGGGGGGTCGAGTTTGAGCGCCTAAATGCATGCTTGTTCGCCCCTGTGCTTCCTCGGGATGTTGGTGTTGTGCAGCTGCACAGGATGGTTCTCTCCCTTTCGGCTTCCTTGGTAGCTGAGGATTTGTGCAGCTGCATGGGATGGTTCTCTCCCTTTCGGCTTCCTTGGTAGCTGAGGATTTGTGCACCTGTGGGCATTTGGCCTCGGTCTTGCGTTTCTTTTCCCTTCTCTAGCTGTCCTCAGACTGACTTGAAGACGATGTTGGGAACAGGGTCTTCTTCCAGTGCACTTGCCTCGATGACTTGGGCATTGGCTGCCTTGAAGAAGTTGTATGTGCCGATTCTCAAAGAGGCAGTGTCTCTGTTTTTTGCCTCTCGCCACGTGTGCTGACTGGCCATGCTTGCACTCTCCTTGGAATCTGCTTGGGCCCTGGCTCTTAGGTTTTCGTCGCCTTTTTGACCGTTGCGATGTGCGGAGTCTGCTGTCATGCAGTTTCTGCAGGCAGCTTTGTCTAGTTGTCGTCCCATGTTGGACTTGATGGTTGTCTGGGGTGGACGTGGTAGTTTTTCCCGGAAGGGTCATACCAAGGTTCAGGGTTCCTCCAATCGTGGTAGGCCAGTGATGTCAGTTTCGGAGCTAGTGACGTCTGGTCGGCGTGGTGATCGCTCTGCTCACTGGTCTGCTTCTTGTAAGGGGTGTAGGCTCTTTTGCCCTGTTGGCTTCCCCATCGCCCCATCAATGGCTCGCGCTGTTTGCTCGCTCCTGGTCCCACGATTTTTTAACGTTTCGAGTCGTTTCCTTTGGCCTTTGAACCCGTGGACGGTCATGGTGCTCCAATTTACAGTTGGTTATATTTATCAGGCAGCCCAAATGGTAGTTAATGAGATCCTACATGGGTCTCAAATTAATTCAAAGCTCTGGAGATGTTAAAGGTTCTGTCCATACCTGTTCAGATAAGAACATAAGACTAAAGGTAACTGCAGAAGGCGTGTTGGCCCATACAAGGCAGATCCTATTTATAACCACCCAATCTCATTCATATGTGGATTTTATATGGATTATATATGGATCATGGATTTTTAAAATAAGGGCGCTGGTGGCTGAGTGGACAGCACGCTGGATCAACCCGTTCTCGCAAATTTAATAAGTCAATATTGACTTATTAAATATGTGCATAGGTGACATACTTAACATAATAGATACCCTTAAAAAGATTCATAGAAAACACTGACCTTACCTAACCTTGTTAGTATCTTAAGATAAGCATCTTATTGCTTCGTAATTACAATTATTACCTAACCTATAATAGGTATAGGTTAAGTAATAATTGTAATTATGAAGCAATATGATGCTTATCTTAAGATACTAACAAGGTTAGGTAAGGTCAGTGTTTTCTATGAATCTTTTTAAGGGTATCTATTATGTTTAGAATATCACCTATGCACGTAGTTAATAAGTCAATATTGACTTATTAAATTTGCGAGAACGGGTTGCGCTGGATACGTAGCCAGGGTTCGATTCCCGGCGCCGGCAGAAACCAAAATGGGCAGAGTTTCTTTCACCCTGATGTTGTTACCTGTTGTTTTCACCAATCATAGCGGCTGGCTCTGTTCCGCCTGGGTACGCTGTACTCTTGCGGGGTTTTCTTTTTCTTTTTGTTTGTCTACCTGGTGGGGGGCTCTGCCTTTGGTTCTTTTCCCCTTTGTGCCGAGTTCTCTTCCTTCTTCCGGTGGTTCCCCCTGCTAGGTCCCCGTGAGTGTACACGTCCCGGGGGTTCAGCTCTTAGTATGTTGTTTGCTAGCCATGGGTGCCAGTTAGCAGTACCCTGCCTGGGATTACCTGAGCACGAGTCCTCTTATAGTAAACGCTCGGGACCTTGGGAAACCCCTAGGGGGAGCGTGGGCCCGATAGATGTGGCCCTGGAGTCCCCCCCTCGCTTTGTGTGAGTTTGAGGGTTGCTTTGTCCCCTTGTCTCAGGGTGACTCTCAGGTTTTGCCTCCTTCTGCAGCCTGTGGGGTCGGTGACACCTTTGGCCCGGGGGGTCCTGCAAGTTTTGTTGCTTGTTGTGGCTCGGTTACCCAGTCTTATGCTGACTGTGTGGGTGCAGGCTGCATGAGTGTTGCACATTGGGTTTCAGTGGCAATGTGCTAGTTGTTTGCTCCCCGGAAGCCCCAAGGCTGCCCCGTTTTCGTTGGTGGTCTTGTCGGGTCCCTTTCCCCTTCCTCCCAACATCCGGGTCTTTACCGTCTGTGGGTTCAGGGTCGGGGCGGGGCTTCCATCGTTTTCGGCTCCTTCGGTCGGGGTGATCGGTTTGGTCGTCTGCTGCCTTCTTCTTTTCTGGCGAAGAATGAGACTGCTGCTTTCCGGAGGGGTCCCTGGGTTGTTGATGCTTGGTTGCTTAGGCTGGGGGTGCATTTTGTTTTTGTCCGGTTGCGGCTCTCCCCCGTTTTGGGCGCGCCGCGGCTTCTGGGTCCGTGGACGCGCTTTGGGTTGCTCCTGTTCCCTTCTTCCCTGTTCCAGGGTGTGGGTCGCCCTCGGGATTATTATGGCTTGCCAGCCTGTGGTCTATTTCCATGCCCATGACGTCCGCAAGTTCGCGGCTCTTGTCACTGTGTTTGGTATTGTGTCCTGGGAGGACACTCGGGCACGGGGTATTTGACTGTCGAGTAGGGTCCTTGGCTGCTCGTTACCTTGTACACATTCCTGGGCCGAGTAGGGTCCTTGGCTGCTCATTACCTTGTACACATTCCTGGGCCCAGTCGGGCCTGTGTCGCTTTGGGTCCGCGGATGCGGTCTGTCCCTATTCTCTTCCTCTGTAGGTAGTTAGCTTCGGGGAGCCATAGGGACTCCTCCCCAGAAAACCAGTGTTGATTGTAATGAAACTCCATTTTCTGGGCGAGTCCCGGAGGCTCCCCGGCAACCCTCCCTCCTTCCGGTCGGTGTTTTTTTTTGCGTGTTTTGACATCCAGCCTCAGAACTGGGGTGTGGATTGCCAGCGTGGTAGGTCTGGGGCTACCCCTTACCCCTCCCGGGGAGGGGGGAGCTGCGCAGACAGCGGTGCGATGACAGGTGACGTCATACTAGTTTTTGTTTGGGGAGTTCTATCCACTCGTTCAGTTTTTGGTTGCAATTTTCACCAGAATAGGGTTTGTTTTGGGACGCCTATCTTTCTGGGTGCCTAACCCGGTCGATGGCAGACATAGAATGCTTCCAACCACACGGGGGTTTCTATTGGCCATTGCTCCCCTTGCCTCTCTGAGGGGGCCAGGTTCTGGCTCATGATCCCCGGTTGGTCCACAAGAACTTACACATGACTGATGCCAAAGTCTGACATTAGCATATCAGCCTGGTAAGCTCTGGGGAGCCATAGGGGCTCCCCCCCAGAAAAGGGGCGTTGACAGAGCCTTCGCCAGACGAGGTCTGCTCTGCCCGAGCTGTCAGGCGGCAGTTGCCACAACTATATTATTACCTAATTATTTCAATGTCTCTGATTTTTTCTTTGTATTTTTGCAATAATATTATTAATAGTGTGCATTGTGATATATTTATATAATAAAATGTGTGAACCATCGCTGTACTCAATTATGGTGTACATATTAGTGATTCAATTATTATGTTCATAAAACAATAAACAAATAGTTATATTATATACACAGGTTATATATAAGTATCTGCATGTTTTGCTCACTATACTCGAACCACTAAGTTGGTATTGTGAGTCAAAATGCAACGAGGAATGACCCACACACACCAGCCAGCCACTCGCTGCCACTCCCTCCCTCAACAACACCTTACTCGCCCTCATTCTCTTCCCACAATACTGCTTTTGAATCTATTCACTATACACAGACATTATATATAAGTATTCACATGTTTTGTTTACCATAATTGTACATCTAAGCTTGTATGGCGAGCAAAGGCAATAAAATGTAGCTACTCATAGTCAGCTGGTTGCGGCCGCCCTCAAGGCCAGACGTACTAATATTTCTCCTCCAACTATATTGTTTGTGGTGTTATTACGCTATATTCACATTATATATAAGTATCTACCTGTTTTATTCACCATACCTGTACAAATAGCTTGTATGGTGCCCTAAGACCATAGTGGCCACCAGTAAACAACATGACAAGTCGTGCAGACGATGCACCTCCCTCACCAAAATGGCAGCTCCCAACCTACTCCTATTGCTGTTATTACACTCTATACACATGTTATATTTAAGTATCTACATTTGTGTTCACCATAGTGAACCACTAAGCTGGTATGGTGAGTGCAGTCAATAAAAGGTGGCCACATGGAGTCAGAAGACGACTCCACCACCCTCCCTCCCACAGCATTACTCCTCCCTCCATGGAGCACAGCGCTAAATATCACCACAATCCTGCTATTATCAGAATCCTGGACAGTCTTGTCACAGTCAGGGGTCTTCTGTAATACTATCATCGCTAAATAATAGCATGAACATGTATATTTTGACATTTTTAGGCGATGCTGTGGTCACAAACTGAACAGCAGTGCTATGCGCTTATGGTGCATGCGTCAGCCTTGGTGGCTCGCTCAATACTGAAGCTCTCACACCCATGTATGTTGGCCACGATTTTCTTTCTAGGTGGCATCTGTCAACTATCATTCGTGGCTTCACTATAGCTGCCCCTATCATACGCGTGGCATTTAAATTAAGGCGCTAGACACTAAAACAGCTATTAATGTATTGCGCAGTTCCGGTTTGGTTTCTCAAATCATCCGTACATGTATGTATTGCTCGGTCTAAGGGTTAATCCGTTCCGGCACCGAGCTCGTCATGTGAAATGCTCGTCTTTCAAAACAAATTTCCCCATTTAAAATACTAGTAATGGAAATTAAATTAATCCGTTCTACTGCCGAAAAACATCCATATGATATTAAATTTTTTAGATAATGGAGCAGCCTACCTGGCAAACACTGAACGAACCTTTATGACATTTATTCTATTTTCAACTTTGTTCATTTTTTTTATTTTTTCATTTTTTATAGCAAAAAGTTTTTTCAGAGTATGTCAGGTAGGGTGCTCTGTTTCTTAAAAAAAATGAAAAAAAAAAAATTGAACAAATTTGAAAAAAGGACAAATGTCATAAAGGTTCGTTCAGTGTTTGTCAGGTATGATGCTCCATTATGACAATCTTTCTTTGCTTCAAATGTGTTCAATTTATTTTGTATTTTTCATTTATTTATTAATAATGGAGCAGCCTACCATTCACACACTGAACGAACCTTTATGACATTCTTCCTTTTTTCAAATTTGTTAATTTTTTTTTTAAGAAACATGGAGCAGCCTACTTGACATACACTGAATAAACCTTTTTAACATTTTTTTTTCAAAATTTTTCAATTTTTTTCAATTTTTTCTAAAACAAAAATCAATACTTTGCAACATTACAACACTCACCCCTTTACATCCCAACATCATTGGCATCTTTAAAAAAAAACATTTATTAGCATCGTCGGAGGTGTCCGAGAATTTGCGAGAACCAGAGAGAACGCTAGGAAGCACCACATGGTTTCCTCGTTAATAGAGCGCAAGCTCATCAATCGAGACAAATTTTCGGGGAGTGGCTCGCTCATTACTTGAAATGCTCGTAGATGGAGACGCTTGTCGCTCAAGGTTCCACTGTATGACCATAAATAAATAAATAAGTAAATAGACTATAGATGAAAAATAGATAAATAGATAATAAGAACTAAATAAATAGGAGATAACTGTGCTGTGAATATGCTATATACAGTATATTTATACTGTACTTGTACTATATTAACCACCATTGTTTCTTTCATAGGGAGCAAAACAAAAGATTCGGCTCCTGGAGAAAAAGGGCAGATCCATGATGGCAATTAGAAAAATAAGACAGTTTGATGAGGAATTTGACCCCAAGGATTTTGCCGAAGAGGCACAACAAATTTATATCGACACACACAAGGCTTTAACAAAGTAAGATTTTGCAGGTGTTCCCTCTTATTTTTATTCAAATCAGTATGAAAATAATGTTGCTAAAAAATTTAACAAATATTAGTAAAATGTATTAATTTTTTTTTTTTTTTTTTTTTTTTTTTAAGCTTTGACAAAAAGAGACTTCATCAGACAGTAACTGAGCGAGCTTACCCTCTGGTCACCCATCAAATTCACAGAAGCACCGTCAGATGGCAGTTCCTCGGTTCTTTGGAGCCCCCACGTGTAGTGCATGCAAGATGTACAGACCTAATTAGCAAAGACAATGTTTTTGCTCAGGTTACAGTTCGATTCCATACTAAGCAGGTAAGATACTGCATATAAGATTTGCATCACCTTTAAAAATATAATTTACCTGAATTTACCTCTACTTGAGGGCCACTGTCTCCCTAGTGGCATCAATGGAGACAGGAAGCTACCGGCTTGTCAGAGGTCCACCCATTGTTCCTAAGGATTTTTTTTTTGTCTGGATTTTAAACTGAGGTAATATCTTGGCATTTACAGCTTTGCCGGGTAGGCAGTTCCACAGGTTTTTAACCCTATGGGTGAAAAAGAATCTCCTATTTTCTGTCTGACATTATGACTTGTTGAGCTTAAAGCTGTTGCCCCTTGCATGTATTATATTTGACCTTTTAAAGAAGTGGTCTGAGTTAATATCCTGCAACTTGTTCAGTATTTTAAAGATCTTGATGATATGAATCCTGTCATGTCCAGTTTGCTGTGTTGATAGTTTTGTCAGTAGTTAGTATCTCCACCATTCCTGGTATGAGAGTCAACTTAGTTTTGGGAGGATTTTTGTGTGTTTAACTTCCTTCAAACCAGATATGTCCTTTTTGAAAGTTAGTTCCTCATGCATGGATACAGTTGTCTAGATGAGGGTGCACCAGCGACTTGTACAGTGTTGATATTATGCCATATTATAAGTACTGTATTCTAGGCGGGGAGACCATCACATTTTCTGGGGGAAGCCCCGTTGGCTCCCTGGAGCTTATCCAGGCTGTTAGGCTAATATCAGACTTTGGCGTCAGTCATGTGTATTGAGTTCTACGGCCTTCCGAGGACCACGAGCCAGAACCTGGCCCCCCTCAGAGAGGCAAGGGGAGCAATGGCCTATAGAAATCCCCGTGTGGCTGGAAGCATTCTATGTCTGCCATTGACCGGGTCAGGCACCCAGAAAGGTAAGCGTCCGAAAACAAACCCCTATTCTGGTTAAATTGCTACCAAAGCCGAACTAGTGGATAGAACTCCCCAAACAAAAACGAGCAAACTAGTATGACATCACACGTCGCCGCGCTGCTATCTGCGAAGTTCCCCCCCTCCCCGGGAGGGGGAAGGGGGAGCCCCACACCGGCTATCCACACCTGAGTTCTTTGGCTGATGCTAGAGGCTTAGGTCGTGTGCTCCAGTTCCGGTGGTTGTTTCAGCACTGTACCTAGAGTGCGGTGGCTGTCTTCTAGGTGGTGGGTGAGCCGAGAGTGATTCTCCAGAACTCAGGCTGCATGTTCCTAGGGTTTCCTCCCTAGGTGCCCTGTAAATACTGCCCTTGGGGCTTGGGGCCACCTTCCACAAGTTCCTTGGGTTCTACCCCTGCTAGGCCATTTACTGCTTGGTTTTCGGCTGCCCTTTGTGTGCTTGGGTGTTCTTTCTCCCTTGTTCGCCTTAGGGTAAGGGGCAGTTTGCACTGGTGGGGCGCAGGGTACTGCTCAGCTTGTTTTCACCAATCATGGCGGCCGGCTCTGTTCCGCCTGGGTACGCTGTCCTCTTGCTTTTTTTTTTTTTTTTTTTTTTGTCTGCCTACCTGGTGGGGAATGGTTGCCTTCGTTCTTTGCCTCCTGTGTACTGAGCATTCTTCCTTCTTCCAGTGGTTCCCCCTGCTAGGTCCCCATGAGTGTACACGTCCCGGGGGTTCAGTTCTTAGAAACGTTGTATGGTAGACTTGGGTGCTGGTTAGCAGTACCCTGCCTGGGATTACCTGAGCGCGAGTCCTATTATAGTAAACGCTTGGGACCCTGGGAAACCCCTGGGGGCGAGCAGGTCTGATGGATGTGACCCCGGGGACCCCCCTCGCTTCCAGCAAGTTTGAAGGTTGCTCTGTCCCCTTGTGTCCGAGTGACACACTCTGTCTTTGCCTCCATCTGCTGCCTGTGGGGTTGGTGACACCTTCGGCCCAGAGTCCTGCGAGTTTTGTTGCTTGTTTGTGACTTGGTTACCCAGTCTTATGCCGACTATGCAGGTGCAGGCAACACGGGTGTTGCACATTGAGCTTCGATGGTGGCAATGCTGTTGGTTGTTTGCTCCCCAGAAGCCCCGAGGCTGCCCTGTTTTGGTTGATGTTGGGTCTTGGTTTTTTCGGCTTCTTCCACGCCCCCTTGTCTTTCCCCTGTTGTGGTTTAGTGTGGTCCCCCCTTCTTCCCTGCATCCGGATCCTTACCGTCTGTGGGTTCGGGGTCGGGGCGGGACGGGGCTTTGTTTGTTTTGAGACTGGCGATCTCGGGGAATTCCTCGGCGGGGGCATTCGAGCCTGTTCCTCCAGCCGTATTGTACGAGTGCCGGTGGGCTCCCTTCCTTAGTATTTTCGCGGCTATCCCGGTTTTTTCTTACGAGGCCGGGGGCCTGCCGAGTGGGTTCCCTGGGCTGGGGAGGGGCTGACTTGGGGGGCCTAAAGCCACGTTGGACCCCGCAGAGAGTTTTCTACCCTCTAGTCGGGGCTTGCGGTTACGCAGATTGGGTTTTTTCCTTCCCCCCTTTCCGTACGAGTTGTTGGGCGTTGGCCCCTCCCCGGGCTCGGTTCCCTTGTCCCTTGAGTCAGTTGGTTCCGTCCTGTCGGTGGGTGCGCTTCTCCATTATTCCCCTCTTTTTCATGGGACGGGACTTCTCCGTCATGTTCCCCTCTTCTTGGGGCTCTGCATGACTTTTGGTCTTGGGTGCGACTGTGCCTTTGTGCCATCGTGACTTGTACTTGCTTCTGTGTGTTCTCGAAGGTTCGGGAAGGTTTTTCGCTAGTTCCCGGATTATTGGAACGTCTGTCGTCTTTCAGTGTGGTTTCCCTCCAGTTCTTTCTAGGGCTTGTTGGTCCTCTTCCGTGCTTATTCTGGATTTGCAGTTCTGTCTCGTTCTATTGTTATTGTGTCTTCTCTCCGTGCTCTGTCTCAGCACTGCTCGTTTTCTTTGCATGCGCCTAATCTGAGATGCCTGCTTGGGCTACTTGTAGCCCAATTGGGTTGCCATTTGGGTTTGTTTCCTTCAGTGAATAAGCCTGCTATGTATGTTCCTGCTTACTAATTTTTGGCTCCTGTTACCATGAGCTGGGTTGTTTCTTCTCCTGGGTGAATCACTCGGGTCACAGTCTGTTTGGCTACTTTTCTTGTGAAGTAGTCCTAGTTGCCGCCTTCCCGCCGAGCGGGTTGTGCGGTTTGGACAGTGTCCTGCGCATGCGCCATGGGAGTTTGTTATGGTTATGGGCGGTGTGCACCAGTGCTGGTGTTTTGCATCCTTTTCTCTTGAGAGCTTCGCCACTCGCTCTTCTCTGTTCTCCAGTCCGAGCCTCGTGGCTACTGGGGTGTTCTGGTTTGTAGTTACGGGGTGGACTCCGGGGTTTTCTCTGTGTTATGGGTGCGGGGCACCACCTTCGCCTCTACCCTGCTCTTCTGCCTGTGCGGCTTTGGCCTTCTTTCCTTGGTGGTGCTCCCGGCATCTTCTTGGCTACATTGTTGTCGTGACATGTTCGTGCCTACGTTCTGCAGGTGAGTTTCTGCTGTCTGGCATTGGTTCTTGGTTTTGGGGTACGAATGTTAGAACATCAGAACCCAGGTGCTTGCTGGGGGCCAATTGGCCCATACGAGGCAGCTCCTAATTATACCCATCCCGTCCCACTCGTATGCATCCCACTGCGTGCAGCCCCATATCAACTATACTCATCATATCATTATACTATATCATACCATAAATATACCATATCATAGTTGAGTTTTTTAAACTGTCTTAGTAAAATCTGAAAGTCATGATTAGTATGGATTTTAAATAAAAACAATATTGTGTGTAAATATTTAAAATGAGGCAAATAGGATACTGTACTCGAATTCATATTTAGAAGAATTAATAAGACATCAATATTTTTATTAAGCTTTATCTTGCACTTGTTAGGGGCCCCCATTTAGATTATGAAGTTTAGCTTTAGTCACATTACTATAGAATGGACCTAAATTTACTTGAATGTCTTCAGAGATGGATAACAGTTAATTCCAGAAATTGGGAACCATTGATGAAGAAAATTTTTAAGCTTACTCTAATTTACTTTATCTAGAAAGTTAGAGAAAAGGATAACATGACTGAATTATATAAATGGGGGAAATGGTATAAGAAAGGGATTGAAATAACATTTTAAATGTCTACACAAAATAGAATTCTTCCTTCACCCCTTCCTCAAAAGTTTTTTCTTGTCATGGTGCAGCCCATCCTTTTGAGCTGTCACAACGGACACATAATTATTTTCTCAGTTGCCTGAACCTAACCTAAGGCTTTTCTGGGCGTTGTATGTATGAAATGGAACAAATATAAGGATTCTGTTCAGGTAATTGAACCACCCATTGCAGGGGTTGCCAGTGAGGGGCTGCTCCTCTCTGATGTCTCCTTCACTGAACCCCTGTCAGTTTACTTATGCTCCCTGCTACATTTTATCACGTCTATGCGTGCCATATATGTTCTCTGTATTCCCTCTATTTCAGCAGTCTCTCCTGCTCTGAAGGGGGAAATGAGTACTGAGCAGTACTCGAGACGGGACAACACAAGTGACTTGAAGAGTACAACCATTGTCATGGGATCCCTGGATTTGAAAGTTCTTGTAATCCATCCGATCATTTTTCTGGCTGACGCAATATTTGCTTGGTTATGCTCCCTAAACGTTAGATCGTCGGACATCATTATTCCCAAATCCTTGACATGCTGTTTTCCTACTATGGGAAGATTCGATTGTGTTTTGTACCCTGTATTATGTTTCAGATCCTCATTTTTGCCGTACCCGAGTACCTGAAATTTATCTCTGTTAAACATCATGTTATTTTCTGCTGCCCAATTGAAAACTTTGTTGACATCTGCTTGTAGTTTTTCAATGTCTTCAGCAGAGGTAATTTTCATGCTGATTTTTGTGTCATCTGCAAAGGACGACACGAAGCTGTGACGTGTATTTTTGTCTATATCTGATATGAGAATAAGGAACAGTAGCGGTGCAAGGACTGTACCTTGAGGTACAGAGCTTTTAACATCGCTTGGACTCGATTTTATTTGATTGACTGTTACTCTTTGTGTTC